GCCCCAAAGCTTATGCTACCGTGCCCTCTCTGCAACCACCCAAATCGTGCTCACCGCACGAACGACGCCAATGAATGCACAAGTTCTACAAGGCCAACCATTTCAAGAACGGGCACAATAGAACGGTATTTGAGAAAGCGATCCTCGAATGCAGTAGTCTACTAGCTATACCCCATGAATAATTCAGTATGCTATCGCTCACTTTCCTTTGAAATGACCTACGTGCTGTCATGGTGCCGCGGGCCGCCTTTGTGACGTGGCACCACACCAACCCTGATGAGCTCGCGCTCCGGGCCTCGACGGCGCATTTCTATGTGCCCCAGCGTCCTTCAAAAGTGCATCCTGGCCTCATATTAATTATTAGGGGTGGTCTCCTGGGGCCTCTAAAAATCGATCAATCGCGGCTTATGAGCTCAGTCGCCCATACGAAATGCATCAAGCCAAAATTCCTCACTTTGAAATGGGCCCGGCGCTGCCGCCTGGGCCAAGGAGATCAACGTGATCCTCCATCGTGTGCCGCCTGGCTACACGTGGATCGCGCAGCCCGCCGACGTTGTGTGGAATCACACGCTCAAGAACCGCATCCGCAAGAGGTGGATCGAGAACCTCCGCACCCAAATCGCCAAGCACAAGCTGCATGGGGGCAAGTTTCCCCTCAAGCCCCCCAACCGCACCGAGCTCGCTGCGTGGGTTCAGGATGCTTGGGACTTGCTCCAGCCAAGCACGATCAAGAACGGCTTCAAGAAATGCCACCTTTCTGCGCACGACCCCAGCTTGACGGGAGAAGAGGACGACGCGATTTCTTGCCTCGATGCGTCGCTGCTTGAGTCTCTCGTCGCGCTGAACATTTCCACGGACGTAAACGAGGAGGAAGACTTCCTCAACGGCATCGAAGACCCTCCTGCGGTTGTCTAGCTAGACATTTGTATCTTCAACATCAATTCGTTTTCGTATGGGAGCGCAATTGCAAAACACACAGCCCGTGCCTTGGTTGTGCAGTCGTGTCAAGCCCTCCGGTTGAGTCCCCTCTGAACTTGATATTGACCCCGCTCATGCGCTGCTGCTGATAGTGACCCAATAACACCCATATCAGTATTAACTTGATTTAACTATGACCCTACAGTGGTATTAGGAGGAAGGACGCCACATTTTCGTCAAATTCGGATGTCGCATGTCGTTTAGGATATCGCTTCTAGGGTACATCACTTGTTGAAGCCCAAGTAGCTTTAGACTCGACTCTCCTCTCGCGATGCGTGTAATAATAACCGGTAAGACCCAAGTGCCGTCAAGAGCCCGCGACAGCTGCCCACGGCCAGGTTCCTTGCGTGATCGTTTGCAGGAGCGTTGGTCCTTCACTGGGTCTTTCATGTGCAGTAAACGCCACAAAATATCACGGAGCTATCCGACGTCGCTTTGCACATACCGGAAATAAGGAATCGGCACCCGACATTGGTATCTTTTCGCAAGTATCCTGAGTCAAGATACTTCGAGTATGCAGTGCGCATGCGAGCAACAACCTAGACAACTATTAATACTATCTCGCGCGTGCGTTTACAGAGCCTTAAGATACAGATGAGCGTATAGTATACATAAAGATCACATTCAGACAATAAAGTTTCGTTTAGTACTAAGGAAAGATACGCCTTCCCTGCGGTCTTCTTTATAGGAGTGTGTGGTACCCATCTTCAACGTTGACAGTCTTGGCCTTCTTTGTGGCCGCGACCTTCTTTGCGACGACCAGCGCAACCATGCCAAGGCCAAACGAGAGGAAAACGGCGGCCGCGGGCGACACTTCGCCGGCGCTGAAGATGCCCGCGGACGTGAGCAGCTGGCGCATGAGCGACGCGCGGTCGATCGCGTACTCGTCGCCAAAGAGTGCGTAGACGTTGGGGCGCTGGCAGAGCACAAAGCCGCAGAGGATCGAGGCGGCTTGGCCAATGACCTTGGAGAGCGACGACGCGTAGTGCGACGACACCGAGTAGCACGAGAGGACGGCTTCCATGCAGTCGCACTTGAGCGAAAAGATCTTGTAGAGGCACGCGATCGTCTGGTACGACGACGAGTAGTCCGTGTGCTGCGTGCGGAGGTCGGCAATGTCGCAGTTGGCGTGGTCAAAGAGCTGGTACTCAAGGTACGACGCGTACTGGTCGACGTTGCAGTACTCGAGAAGACCGTCCGTCGGGCAGTGGCGCGCAGCCTTGATGGTCACTTCGTCGATCGGGACGTCTTCTTCGGACAAGTCCGTAAAGAAGCCGTCGGGTGTCTCCTTCGCCAAGCCGACCTTGTATTCGCACGTCGAGGGCGCTTCTGACGAGACGACCGTGTGGCTCGACGGCAGCCCTTCGGTCACCGAGTAGTAGAGCAAGTCGCGGGCGCTCACGAAGTCGTAGCGGATGCGCTTGGGCGTCTCATCAGCCCCTTCGATTTCGTCGCACGGGCACGGGTCGTAGCGTTGGCCTCTCTTCTTATGGGTCGCCGTGGGCTTGATGAGCGGCGTCGTGAGCGTCTTGGTCTTGCCGTTGACTTCGTATGTCGTCGCGACGCAGACGTCACTGCGGAAGCTCACCGCGCGCGGGTTCGGGTGGGCGTCCTCGCAGCACGCGCCATCAGGGGCGTCCGTGACGCACGACGGCGCAAGAATCAGATGCCCAAGGTTGCGCTGAAGCGTCTGCAAGTATTCAATCTTGTTCGTGTCATCGCAGACGGTATCGGCGAGCCACTCCATCGGTTTCTCTACCGACGTGCAGTGGCTGATGTAGTCGGCCGCCGACATCATATAAGGCGTGGTCTCCGCGCTGCTGTCCTCGGGGGGCGGAACCTCGTTCTTCGTCGGGTATCGAGGATGGTAAGCGTTGCCGTGGTCGTTGGGCGACCGCTTCAGTTTCGTTTCAACCGGAATCATGATGCGCTCCCACGACGCAAAGTAGCTGTTGGGGAGGCAGCACGACTCGCCAATGTGAACGCGCTCGGCAATCACGTCGAGTTCGCCAAGGCCCGAGAGGTACACGCGCGCCTGGCGCAGCTGGTCGTTCCCGATCTCGATCACGCTCTCGAGCAGCGTCCGGAAGTCCTCGACGGTCTCGAGCGCTTGGCCGGCCGCACACGCCGTGACGCACGACGTGTAGCCCGCGATCGTCGAGATGTTGTCGTTAATGCCCGTCGCGCTGTAGTCGCTCGAAAGCACGTCGCACTTGGCCGCGACACAGTTTTGGTACCCCGTGAAGATGGTGCTGTAGTAGTCGGGGTCGATGATGGCGTACGCCGGCGGAAACGTCACTGTCTTCCGGTTGTAGCCCTTGCCTTTGGGAGCGTAGTCGTCACCACCCTTGCCTTTGGGAGCGTAGACAGATTTGCCGCCACCGTAGCCGCCCTTGCCTTGGGGAGCGTAGTTGTTGCCGCCGTAGCCACTCTTGGCTTGGGGCGCGTAGCCAGTGTTGCCACCGCCGTAGCCGCTCTTGGCTGGGGGCGCGTAGCCTGCGTCCGTTGCAGCCACGACAGTGACGGCGGCAGTACCGGCGAGAAGACGAAGCATGTCTGTTTGGATTGCGGGTTGAGTTGGGAGCAGCGACGAGAGTTCTACTGCGAAGCTCGCACTTGGCAGATCGAATCGAAAAGTAAGCAGTCCCTCGACGCAATATCGAGCGACCGAAAGGGCGCCGAAACCACCCGGATCGCACCGCCCCACGCTCATTGGCTCCGAATATTTGGCTTTGCCGTGATTGGTCGCCAACATTTCCCCAGAGGTCGCGCTCCCATTGGCGCCTAACAATTAATGCCCCTTCGGCAGCCAATCACTGACGAGGGGCGTGAAGGCCGCGACCTCTCGTACGGAGGACCATCCTCCATGGATACGATGTTTGGAGAAGGAGGATTGTGCTCGCCGAGAGGACGATTGAATCATTCCAGCCTCGCGGCGCGCTATAAGCTACTACTGGTTTTCTCTGCGGGAAGCGAACGCGAAGCCGTTGGAGAGAGGGAAACCATGACAGCAGGATAAAGCTACCGGGTAGTTGCGTTGCACGAGACGTCTCGTCTTTTTGTGTGTTGAGTGCACCCCGGTCTGGATGGCTGAGCGATACTACTACTGCCAACCACCAGAGGTGTGCTGTGATGCTATTTCTGAAGTTGCGTCAATCAGTCGCGTGCTGCCTAGTGTACAACCATTGCGGTGGCTGTCTCTTGGATCGCCTTTTGCACGCTCTTGCCTCTATATTGATTAGTCTAGTGCAGCTCCGTGCTCAAGTTGACCACCTACCACTAACAAACTGGTGCGCACGCAGCAACAACAAGTCCTTGCCTCTGGGTCATGAGTACCTCGTGTATCTGAAGTCCACCGATTGAGCATGATTGTTCAAGAGTGCATAAAATGGTAACAACTCTGGTTTTCATGTTGTATCCGATACCATGCAGGGGAGACGTTAAGGTGTTTTCCAGTGCGCTTGATGCATCGCAGAGACCTGGCGACACGAGTCCAGGAGCGAGGGTACGCCTTTTATGCGGCGAGTGGGGCCACTACGAAGTGAGTCTCCGTACACAGCTCACACCTAACGACCAAGTGCTGGTGCCAACTCGCAACCATATATTACATGTACATGGAAAGTTATTGCAAACTTGATTGCCTAGCGAACAAGTTTCTACTACTGCTACTGCTACTACTACTGCTGCTACCACTAACATAGCTTGCATGCAAGTCCGTGGAGATGATCTGGACGCATCTCAAACGAGGCCGTCAACACAGTCAAACTCAGGCGCATTCCCCATCAAGTCGAGCTAGCCCCTTCTATCTGTTGCCATCACGAAGCCAGTAATATCAATTGAATAGTTGAAGAAATATGATGGCCGAGGTATTAACTACATGTCAAGGGCTATAATAGACCCGTGTGCAAGCCCGACGAGCCCAGCGGCAACTTGCGATTTCCGCGCCAAAACCAGCACATGGCACGGCGATGCCCGTGGCCAATGACCATGCATCCAGCGTAATACAATAGAACGCTCCATTTTATCTTTCTTTTTGTATGGTTTGTCCAACCAATCCATGCCAATATGCATCCGACGTCGGATTGGCCCATAATCAGCTTTTGTCGCACATATGGACCAATGAACGTGCGTTCTGCCCCATGCGTCGATGCCATTGGGTATAATACGAATCTGCTGCAAGCCAGTCAATCGCTGGGTCGGCCGCGCGATCCCACCGCTGCTCTCATTTTGGTTTCTGCACCCGTCCCGAAAGAACATGCGTCAACTGCTTAGCACCCGTAACGTCAACATCCCGGAAGACGTCAAGTTTTCGCTCGAGGGCCGCAAGGTCACCGTGACGGGCAAGCGCGGCACGGTCTCGCGCGACTTCTCGCACGTCACGCTCGACATGCGCCGCATCAACAAGACGACGCTCCGTGTCGACTTGTGGTTCGGCAACCGCAAGCAGCTCGCTTGCGTGCGCACGGTCTGCTCGCACATCGAGAACATGATCACCGGTGTCACCGTCGGCTTCAAGTACAAGATGCGCTTCGTGTATGCCCATTTCCCCATCAACGTCACGTTCGAGAACAACACGGTCGAGATCCGCAACTTTTTGGGTGAGAAGCGCGTGCGCAAGGTCACCTTGTCGGAGGGCGTCACCTACGTCCGCTCGGCGGACGTCAAGGACCAGATCGAGCTTTCGGGTATCGACCTCGCCAAGGTCTCGCAGGACTGCGCCAACATCACGCAGTCGTGCCTCGTCAAGAACAAGGATATCCGTAAGTTCCTCGATGGTATCTACGTCTCGGAGAAGAGCAACATCGAAGAAGTCGAGGCTTAAACGCCTTGCTGACGCTGTGTCAAGCAACGTCGTACTCCTCTTTAACGTGGCGTGCACGAGCTTAAATACACTTTCGGGTCTACCTCCGTCACCGGGTTGATGGTCATTTGGGAAGACTTGCTCTTCCCACTGGCGTCTTCTGTCCGGGCGGGATTTATAGTGTCGCGATGTGCCGAGCTCCTTCGACTCGGCATGTTTCTGCAGTGTGAATTCCGTCTTGTACCACCAACGCAATATCTCGCATCATCGCACGAGCAAAGCGCCATCTCGACCATTGAACTAATGCAGCGCAGCGCGGTAAACGAATGCAAACAGCCTCTGTCGCACAAGAGGATGACCAGGCCCACCTTGAACGCAACACGAGAGCATCACGCGCGCATCACTGGGACCCCAATAACCAGCGACTCAGTCGTCAAAAGACAGCCCCACGGCCACCTACCCAAGTGCTCCGCTCAAGCTATCCTTGCCCGCTGTACCTGGAGTACACAAGCGCAGACGCGGGTGTATCGTGAAAAAGTGTGTCGCCAACGATTGGTGGATTGCACGATGCTTACGGCGCCGTCTTGGCGGCTTCTCGCAGCTCTGCAAGACGCGCTTCAATGCGCGCTTCGACGTCGTCCTCCGAGATGCGCAGAAACGACGGGATGAGGTCCGGGAGGTCAAACTTGTGTCGGTCGGCCACCGGCGTGTACGCGGTCTCGACGCGGCCGTTGAGAAGGATCGTCTCGTGGGCGTCAATGCCATGCTTGGCTTGGTAGCGCTCGATGGACTTGGCGTGCCGCCATTCTTGAAATTTTTGTCGGCAAAGTAAGCCCCAAGGCCGACGACGGAGCCTGCAATGCTACCTTGGACCGCGCGCATGGGCGTGCCGATTGCTATATTAGCGTGCGTCAGAAGCCATGCAGAGGAGACGTATGTACAGACGACAGACCTGCGAGTCCGAGCAGCGCGCCGCCCGTGATCGTGCCGGGCAGCACGAACGTCGAGATGTTGTCCGTGGACCCGCCGTTGTTGCGCTTCAGGATCTCAAAGACCGTCATGTACGACGCCGACGCGAGCGCCAAGTTGGCGCCAATCGAGGCCGCGTAGAAGCCAAGGGGCTGCGACCGGACCGTCGCGAGACAGACGCCCCACGTCGCACCGACGCTGCCTACGCCAATGCACCATCACCGCCTTGGCCGCCCATGACGCTTGATGAGACGATCGACGTACCTCCGATGGCGCCGGCGAGCAGCATGTTCTGCGTCGATTGCTTGACCTCTTCGAGCGGGCTTGTCTTGGCCATCGCGCTCCTTCTATCGTCGGTTGCCAGCCGTATGAGACGAATACTATTTCATGTGTTTTAAATAGTGTCGTCCACTTTGCTAAATTCGGCATCCAACGTATCATTGCCTTAGGATGTCCGCCGCTGCTGGTACGGATCCAGGAATGCGAATCTCTGCCAATCAATCGTGCGTCATGGCACTCGCGCCGACGATGAGGCCTTCGCCTCGTGACGGTGGCACGAACGCATCGTGACCACGCGCCGGGATTGCGACTCTAAGATCTTGCGTTCTGCACCTGGCGTAGAGCCACGCGAATGCTCTCAGCATGCACGCGCATCAGTGTTAGGCAAGTGGCGTGTACGCTGTGTGGACCTGTCTTGTCTTCGTTGTCGGGCGCTTTTCTCTGGGGCTGCATATCATTTCACGCTCGTCGTGTCTTTAGCACGGACGTTTACCTCGACAGGAGCGACGTCGAGGAAGCAAAGGAGGGTGCTGGGCATGCTCCGCGCCTCTTGTCGCCCGTGGTTGCCTGCGCGACGACATGTTCTCTGTCCATCGTCGCAGTAGCTTGAATATTTCTCAGCGGGGATTCATCGCTCCTTTGGCGTCTTGCGATTGGCTCGCGCCGGCGTGCATCGCGATCGTCATGGTGGTGGGATGCCGAAAGTAAACTGCAACCTACACTATTACCCAGCTAAAACAATGAGAATGCCACAAATAAGCCTAATAGTGTGATTTGCCATCCTGGGAACAAAACATTGCGACGGTTGTGGCGTTGCCAGAGCCAAAATTCGCACACGCCTCGTCTTACTCTAGCATTACCTCGATGAACGACAACCAGTATGTGTACCTCGAGACGCCCAAGACCGGACCCGAGGTCGACGACGAAGCCCATACGCTGCTCGAGATGGCCGCGATCAATGGCGCCCTTCTCGCTCAAAAGTACTTTGAGCTCGAAGGCGACCTCGACGAACTCCACGAAAAGCACACACAGTCAATGGCTCTTGTCGCGAGCTACGATGCGCTCGTCCGCGACCTGCGCGACGAGAAGCAAGCTCTCATCCAGCGCTGCCAAGCGTTCGAGGCGGAAGTGGACGATCTCGTCGCCGCCAAACGAGATGTCGATGGCCGCCATGGCAGGCTCCAAGCCACATGCCACAGCCTCCAGCACTCAGTACAGCAACTAGCTGCCGAGCGCGCTGATGCGCTGGACGCCCTTCGCCACGCCCAGGACGAGGCATCGGCGCTGGATGCGGTGCGAAGCCATTTAAAGGCGTCGGTCGAGACGCTCCAGCACGAGCGACGCGCCCTGCAGAACTACGTGGCAGAGAAGGATGCGCAGATTAGGCTCTTGCTGCAACAGGAAAAGGCGTGGCGCATGACCTCGGACGTCCAACACCAGAAGATCCAGCGGCTCGAGCGCACCGTGAACGACCTTGGCGCCCACGCGTCGGAGCTGGCTTCGGCGCTGCATGCTGCTCACGACCAAGTCGCATCGCTTCGTGCCGACGTGCAAGCCAAGCAGCAGGAGCTATTGGATGTCAAGGCGGCCAAGGCTGCATTGCCGATCGAGATCATATCCGTGCCAGCGCCTGCCGCACCGACAACGGGACCGTCGTCGGCCACAGGCATGCTCATGCTGCTCATGTGGCTCAGCTACCGTCGGGTCCTGTCTCGGCGGCCGCGCTGGATGAGCGTGCTCTCAGCTACCGTCGCCAAGCCGCAGGTGTGGGCCCCCATGGTGCACCAGGCATGGATCCACCGCGGCTTTTAGCATTCCTGCTTATTTATCTCGACGTACCAACCACCACTTGGATCATTTATTTAAGACACATTGACCACACATATAGTCTTATTGTCGTATCATGCAACCTGGTTCGTGCCACTTAGGCCCAGCACGGCTGCTTGTGGCTAAGCACGTAGAGGAGGTCGTTGCCCGTCATGATCTCGTGCGGAAGCGGGTTCAGGTACACAAAACCAAACGGCACGGCGCGGTCCATCTCGCTTCGCTCAATGCGGGCTTTCGACTTGATGGGCGACGTGGGCGGCGACGCCATCGCGCCGACGGTCGGGATCATATCGAGCGGGAGGCACCGGTAGACGCCGAGGGTCAGAATCGCGTCCGACGTCAAGAGGTACTCAAAGCAGTAGGCAAAGCTCTTCCCGACAAAGTCCAATGGGAGTTCGCACGTAAAGAGGGACGAGCGCTGCAAGCCCGTGGACGCCAAGTTGCGCTCAAAGGCCGAGAATTTGCTCTTTCCCGGAAACAATTTGCTCTACACAGAACAAAAAATACATCAATAAGAACGGCGCGCAAGGGATCGAAGTGTGTACCCCACGGAGTGGCGAGAAGACGAGTTCGCGCACAATGTCTTGAATCATCGGGTTGAAAAAGTGGTTCACGATCAAATTGTCGCAGAGCTCGGTCGAGTACGTCAAGCCCGACGCGAACGACGGCGAGCAGAGAAACTTGACCGTGTCCCTACATCACGTCATGCTACTCGTCCTCGGACCTCGAGGCATCTACGTGAGCGTCGCCGTGTGCTTTTGCTGGTCAAACCACCCTGACTGCTTGAGGTTGTGCGAAATAAAGTTGACGTTGGACCTAAACCCAACCAAAAATCAAAACTCTCAGAAAGGAGGAGGAGGAGGTTGGACCGGTTGACGAGCTTGGTGACGACCATGGGCGCCTTGCGCGGACCCAGCATCGACGTGATGCTCTTGTGTACCGCGATCGACGTCTACCACCCATCACACAATCATACATGGATGGGTGCATCGATACAACGCACCGCATCGGCCAAGAGCTGGTTCGAGGCCGTCCCAAAGTCCTCTTCACTGCAGAGAATGACGACCTTGAACGCCATCTCAATGCCCGCGCGCTTGAGGACGCCGAGGCGCGTCGGCTCCCCGACGACCACAAACACGTCCAGAAAGCCTTTGAGGGGCGCAAACGTCTCGTCGGCCGGCGGCGCGGGCGACAACAAGACGATCGGATGGTGGTCCCTGCGCGCCCCATCGTACTGATACATTGATACATCGATACAAACACGTACTTGACGGTCGGGGCGCGCAAGGGCGCAATGAAAAACTCGAGGTTCTCGGGAAAGACGGATGCGAGCGAGACGACGACAACGGGCTTGAGCGTAAACTTGAGCTTGTTGACGTCATCGACAATAAACTCTTCGACCTTCTTGTGCTTGCGCTCGCTCGACTCGGCGAGTTTGGACGCGGCCCACATGATGGTGCGGGCCGTGCGCTTCTTCTTCGGCCCCGCGTTGTGCCGCTTGGGCAGCGGCGGCGTGAAGAGGAGCTTGGCCTTCTCTTTGGTCATACCCGCAGTCGCAGTCGTCGTTGGCGAGAGCACGAGCTTTTCGGCCGCAGCCTGCGTCTGCAGCGATGTCTTGGGACCGCCGAGGTCGCTCGCACTCTGCGTTCCATTGTAGCTGTCTTTTTGCATGCTCAGACGCGCTCGGCTTGCTTCCGGTCCCGCGCAATCACATACCTACACCATCCACCGCATCAACGAACGGTATCGGCTGCAAACGAGAGCGGCTACATACGCTGTCTCGCCGCCGACACACGTGTACGTGTTGCCCGGGTTGAGAATGATGCACGAGTTGCTGTCGTTCTCGTCGTGAGCGTCGTACTCGGGCGACGTGACGAGCACTGCGAGCAGAATCGCACTTTGACACTGCGCGTGGACGAGGACCGCCACCTCGGCAAACGACAAGCCGTAGATAACCTAGAGGACAGTATGGCACCTCTTTCCATATGGGCGCGTCGTACGCTCGCCGGTGGAAGGGTGACCGAGTACAGCTCGTGGCTTGCACCATGGAGGAAGCGCGACTCCCACGTGTGGTCGACCTTGACGTCGCTACAAGTTTCGATCGTAGGAACAGCACGACCAGAGGTACTTATTATACCTGAGCGCCGCCGTGAGGTTGAACATGAGCGTTGAAAAGCCCGGGCAGAAACAGTTTTGCGCCAAGAGCGCGTGCATGACCTCGCTGAGACAGAGCACGTTCTCAATGCCAGAGGCTTCGAGGAGGTGGCGGTTGGCCGACAAGTGGATTTGGGTGTAAATGCTCGCATTCGGCGAGATCTGCTGCACCTCGATCGCGCGCATGATGGTGCGGTGGTCCGAGCTGTTGAGGTCTTCGTGGCCCGTCTTGCGCGTGAGCACAAAGATCGCGGCCGCCGAGTCGCACGCCGCTCGCATCGCCGCGTCCGAGTCCAAGACTGAGCCTTGGATGTACACGGCCCGCTTGGCGAAGAACGGGTCCATGAGAAGCGCGACCTAACGAGTAGATAATGATGATGATGATTGCACACTCTGGTCGTGGAAGGTGCGGCTGTACCATGGACGACGGCGGCGGCTCGTCACACATGGCGACGACGCGGATGTCGACGAGGTCGTGGTCGTCGTGGAAGATCTCCCAGAAGCACTGCTCGATGCGCTGGGGCGTGAGGTCGCCGCAGATGACAATGTGCTTGGAGCGCTTCGACGGCCGGTAGCTGTCGTGCTCGTACGACGAGTAGAGCGAGTTGATGTCGAAGAGCTTCGAGAGCTCGTACGGGATGATGATCAACAGGAAGACGAGGAGCGTGCCCACAATGAGCTTCGAGATCGGGTTCTCGGCCGGCGGGTAGTCGACGTACACGAACGTTAAAATCGACTTGAAGAGTGAATTGAAGAAGGTCCAGTCGCCGTCGTCGGTCGCGTCCGAATCCGCATCGATCGACGTCTCGGTGATCTAATCCACACCAAATATATCCATATCTTGGGAGATGGACAGCACTTTTACCTGGATGACGCCGGCGGCGACAAAGATGACGGAGAGAAACTTAAAGTACGCCACGAGACCAAAGAGCATGACGGGCGACATGTAGGCGCGGCAGCGGTTGAGCACGGCGCGGATCTACGACATACATATATTGCCGTCGAATGGACTCGACGAGGACGACCTCCATGGAGCACTTGAGGAAGCGGATCGGGTACACGAGTCGGTAGTAGCCCGTGCCATGCCAAAACGTACTACACGCACATGACAATATTGTCCATGCCAAGAAAACCTTAAAAAAACGCACTGGGAGGGGACAAACATGGCGCCCGGAAAGACGGGCAGGATCACAATGAGGTTGATGAGCGTGTTCCAGCGAAAAATATGCTTCCACACCTCGGCGAGAAGGATGCCACGGAAGAGAAAGTCGGTGAGGAAGAAGAGCGCGCAGCCGAGCTCCATGTTCCAGAGCACGGGCGGCAGCTAATGGACAAGTGGACATGTGATGACATGCGCAGGTTGGTGCTCGTACCCCGGGCTCGGTGCTGTACGAGTGGATGATGTACGTGGTGGCGAACGTGATCGACACGATCGACTGCAGCACGTCCAAGATGAGCCCCGCCGGGCCATTGTCCAAGAAGCTACAGCATATTCGATCATGCAGGTGCTCATTGCGACGAGGCCGTCAGCACCGATTGATGCGAATGCGCGTGTGCTCGTCCTTGACCATGTACCGCGTCTTGCGTTCAAACTTGCTCACGAGCGGCGCCAGCTCTACGACCGAGGGCCATGAGCCGCAGCCTCACGTCGCCGCCTACGCGTGTGCTGCTCGGGCTCAACCGCCAAGTCTCGCATCTTGGACGCTTCCATGGCGAGCTACATGCAGCGTCATCGCCATGATGCCCATCGGCCGCCCTCGTCGTACCGTCACTTTGTTGCGAAGCATCGTTCAAGTCCACGGGTTTGCACCGCAAATCTCGAATTGGCGCTCGTGGATTGGTTGTAAAGACCGCATATCTTTTTGATTTCAGCCAATCGTGCGTGGCTTCTTGCCTCGGCACATCAAATGGGATCTTGCAGGGGAACCCATCGGACCCTACAGAGACCATGTATGACTTGAAGCAGCGCTGCTGCCAGCAGGTGACGCTGGGGCTCACTGAGGGCTGCGCTCGTAGAGCAATCAGCGTCCTGGATGGCATGGCATGCAGTGTAAGGTCGACCAGCTGTTTCTCGTGTGACCTGATTGCTGCGCTTTGATTGGATAAAAGATAGAAACCTATCGATTCGATTGGTACAATGATCTTCGAAGTATGGACTCGTCGGAGCTTTGCTCCGCGACATCCACGGTCCATCAACGGTGGGCCGTCCGGTTTCAGTGCACAGGCACCAAGTGCTTACGCGTTCCTCCACTACAATGGAGCCTCACGAGACGGTCGTGGCAATCATCGTCTCACTAAACCGATTCGCCAATATCTATGTATGATTGGATGAAATGGTTTCTTTAATGTCTTTTGATTGGCCAGAGAAAAGATTTCTAGACCGGGCAGCGATTGGTCGAAACTCTCGACTTCCCATGCAGCGCCTTCGAGGCCGTGCGCTCGGCGCGGTTGCGCTCCTCACGCTGCAGACGTCGCACTCTGTGTGCGAGCCCGCACCGGTGGCCAAGTTTGCCGACAAGAAAGACGCCGCCGTCAAAGACGTCCCGCCCAAGGCCTCGGGCTGGCTACCGTCCATCTCGGGGCTCTGGAGCTACTACTGGCCCAGCGCCGACGATGCCCACTTCGCCAAGTACGGGCCGTCAAGCGACCAAGTGGGCTTGATGTCGTGGCCGACGCTGCAAGCGGGTTTAAAGAAGCGTGCAGATGACGAAGTCGCCCTCCGCGCTCTGACCAACGAAGCGATCGCTGCAACCAAGGCCAACGACGTGGCGACAATGAACGCGCTCCGCGCCCGCATCACGGTGATTGCATACGGCGACGGCGTCACACCCGAGGCGCGCCAGGCGCACTTGGAAAAGTACGGCTGCGTCATGTACACGGACGCAGCGCTGGATGCGATTGCGACAGCGGCGCGTCACACCCGCGGGATCATCGAGCTCGGCGCTGGAAATGGTCAGTGGGCCAAGCAGCTCCGCGCCGCCAAGGGCCTCGACGTCCTCGCCTTTGACAACATGGCCGCGCTGCCATTGAACCCCGCTTTCTTCCGCAACACGACGCTCAACATGGAGTTTTGTGCGGCCGACGTCATGAAGGGCGACGCCGGCATCTTCACCTCGAGCCTCGCACCCAAGCTCCACGGCCGCGCGCTCCTCATCGTGTTTCCGGATCCGGGGCCCATGGCGCGGCGCTGTGTCGAGGCGTACGCCAAGAGCAGCAGCGAAAACAACGTGTTTATCTACGTGGGCGAAGGCCGGGGTGGCGCCAACGGCGACGACGCTTTCTTTGATGTGCTCGAGCGCGACTGGGTGCTTGAGCATTCGATGAGCCTCCCGTCGTTCTCCAAGAAAGGCTACGAGCGCCTCTTTGTCTTTACCAAGCGAGCGTCCGCGTAGAGTACAATAGAACCATCAAGCACACGTTGTCATTTCGATACATGGCCCTGTAGAGCACACGTGGTTTTAACGTCGTCTTGCCCTAAGGAGCCCATACGGTGTCGACGCATGGCATGAAAACCTCGTCCGTGGCGTGGCGAGGCTTAAAAATGCCGCTCAAACAACAAGTACTTATCCTTGGAGACCACCCCGCCCGCGCCATGGAGCCACGTCGTGATGCGCTCCTGAGTCGCATTCTTGGTCAGCTCGATCACGCGCGCGCGACGGAGAAGGCCTTTCGAGCCGTACGCTTCCCCTACCTCACGTTGTGGCTTCTTTTGAAATGATGCAAGCGCATCAAGTACCGTAGCCGATGCCGCCGCCGTAGCAGTGCTGAATGGCTTGGCGAGCAATGCAATAGTCGTTGAGGTGGTCGTGGCCCACGAACGTGGCCTTGACATCGCCCACTAGAGACGTACTATGAGCTATATGCCATCCTGCATCACTATTCCGTCGTACTCGCCACCAATGTCTCGAGGAGGCCGGACGCAGGGCCATGGGAGACGGTCTCGCCTTGGTGGCCGTGAGGCAAGACCTCGCCGTCGTGAACGACGTAATCGGGCGTCGGGATGTGGTAAAAGACAAGTCCTGGCGCGTCATCGGCAGCGACATCCGCCGACATGTTGCGCAAAAGAGCTTTTTGGCCTGCCGAGATGGCGCCCGAGACGCCCGTGTCGATAAAGTAGAGCGCCAAATCGATCTTCTTGGTCTCGGGACTGATGGCGACGACTTGGTAGTTGCCCACGCCGCCAATATCGTCTGGTCCCGCCATCGAGAGCGCATATGGCTTGGCCATGATGTAGTCGATCATGGCCTTGCGCGAGAAGGACGCCTACGCATGGCAGGATCGCAATTACGACAACTCGCTTGATGTATGCGTACGCCTTCGTCGTGGTTGCCAAAGACCATGGACCAAGCCAATTGCCGCGAAATCGCAATGTCAGCGTACGTGTCGATGGCCTTTTTGATTTCGTCGGCCGTCTATCGCATGCCATCAAGCGTCAAGCACCTCGTAGTATGTCGTTGGTGGTCGTACGCGCTCGACGGCTCTGGCTTCGATTTGGTCGCCTGTAAAGACCACGAGATGCGGCTTCTCGGCATCAATGAGCTCGCCAATGAGCGACGTCATGTTGCTTTCCGAGCATGGCTCGTGCGGCGGGTCCCGGCAATGGTAGTCGGGTCGACCAATGTAGTGCATGTCGGGCACTTGAAGGATCTTGATGTGCACGCCGTCGTTCGAGCTCGGCACCGAGAGCACCGCGCGCGGCACGGCAAGCTGCACCACCACGTCATACGAGAGGCTCATCTTGACCTCGTCGACGGAAAAGGCGAGCCGGTCCTGGACGGTCGCCACCATCGCCACGACCACAAGACAGAGCGCACCGAAGGCGAGCCGCCAGCGCGGCTGGACCTCGCGATCTACCTCGCCATGAGTTCTTAGGCCATGCACATACATGGAGCTACCGAGGCGCGAGTCGCTGGGCATGTCGGTCATGGGCGCGTACGCATGGAGCATCGTCGTCGACGCTGCAGGATCGCAAATTGGATCGAGGATTCTGACTGGCAAAAATCGGCTTCCGAAGTGACGTGCTGTGATTGGCCATAATGTGTTTTGGGATTGGCGCGGATTGGTCCATTTTAGAGCGGCCGATCTTCAACCCAGCGAAGACGTCGCCGGGCAAGCGGCCGCGCAGCTGCGGGTCGCACAGGAGGCTGGCTCGTAGCTTACAATATTACGCGTTATAACACTCGACGAAGCCGTGTCGTAGCAGGCTAATCATGGCTGCGCGTGCAGGTGCTGGAGGTACTTTTGGAGGTGGGCAATGTACTCGGCACGGCATTCCCGGGTCTCGCCAATGTCATTATGGCCGCGGTGCGGCACCCAGTGCGGCTCAAACTTGCAGTGGTCGGGCAGCGCTTCGTACAAGCCTTTCCCGTGCGAGAGGGAAATCTCAACGTCGTCTTCGCCATGGATGATGAGCGTCGAGCATTGCACCCGCTTGATGCGGTCAATGTTGGGAAACGTATCAAGACACCCGAGCGCGCGGCTATCGAGCCATTCCGCCATGAGGCCATGCGCAAGAGAGAGGTGTTCTACCTCGGCGTGAGAACACGCATGCCGCTGAGGAGCCCGCTGTGCACGATGAGGCCGCGGATCTTGAGCTCTTTGGCCGCCAAGTAGATGCTTGGGCCGCTGCCCACTGCGTCATGCTCGTTACCACGAGAGCAAGAAGAGATGCAACAGGAGGACGCACCGCTTTGGCCGTACAAGATGATCTTGTGCGCAGGATACCTGAGGTGCTGGACGCAAAAGTCAAATACCGCTGTGATGTCCGTGTAGGTGTTGGCCTCATTGGGGCGACCGGTCGCCGCGCCGTAGCCCGAGTAGTCGTACGCGACAACGTTCACCGCGAGCTCCTACGCGCCATGTTCATTGGGCCATCGGCAGAGAGGAGACGGACCCGAGAGAGCGCAATGTAGCGCGAGTACATGGCGCCGCAGTCTGTCGCGTTGCCGTGGCTAAAGATGAGCGTGAATTCGGCCTCGGGGTACCGAAACACAAAGCCTAGCCAAAGTAGCGCATGGGCCATGCGACATTGAGCGCGTGCTGCGTACATGGCACTTCGTTGCCGGGGCGCGTTGGCACCATGAAGACGCGGGCAGCGGCGACGAGGCGCGCGTGCGCGGCCACAAAGTGCGTGACGTTGTAGAGCGGGTAGGCCTCCTTGGCCGTCGCCGCGTCCTTCTCAAGCGTGTACGTCGATAGCGGCGGGTAGAAGGTAAGCGCGGCCGCGACCGTCGCCGACGAGAACCCGCTGCGGACCCACAGCACGAAGAGCGTGCCAGCGACGCCGCCCATCGAGCACTTGGATTTAAGCAGTTGGCCAACTGCTTTCCGGATACGCGACATGCCGGATACGGCCTGTTCGAATTCAAAAAACGTTGCGGGCGCGCCACGTCATGTCGTGGCCGGCATCTCTCGTCAGCTCGAACGTCGAGAGGTGGAGCCTCGACGCTGCGACAAGGTTGCGGCCGCACATGCAATAACAGATGATACGACGCTAGGTCCCTCGTCGACGTTGGACGCTCAAGGTCCATACTGCAGTGGGATAGCAATCCCATTTCCGACTCCGTTCTTAGCGCTGCCAAGGCCCAATATTGCGCTGCGATCGGATTGCGCGCGCAAATAAGCCTGCATGAGGTCATTCGTTACATCGTTGACGACACTGAGAAACGTCGGCGACAGCGTCTTTTTTAGGACCCATCGGTTTCCCGCATTCTCGTCGTCTCAGTTCGCTCTTCGCGCCCTTTCGCGCCATGAGCGGAATGTTTGCCAACCTCTTTGGCTCCATGTCGCTGCGAAAGCTCACGTCGGCCGCGTCAATGCGATCAAGGGTCTCGATTGCTCCGTCAGTGACGTCGCGCCGAATGGTGTCGGTGCGCGAGCGCTTCTCGCCGTCCCCGAGTCCCCGCGGCAGCGTGACAAAGAGTCCCCGCGGCAGCGTGACCGAGATCAAGCCGGTGACGCTCGTCATCTACTATGGGTCGCAAACCGGGCGCAGCGAGGCCTTTGCGAACCGACTCGTCGCAGCCGCGCGCTGCATCGGGTATGCGGCCGAAGTCAAAGACTTGTACAAGTTCAATCCGGACGACTTTGTCACGGAACGCCACGTGATCTTCATCCTCTCAGCGTACATGGACGGCGGCGCGACCGACAATGCCGCGCATTTCAACTTTTGGATCAACTATCAAGTTGATGCAAATGCCGCGCGCCTCTTGTCGGACCAGCACTATGCCGTCTTTGCGAGCGGCGACAGCGCATTTGGCGACCACTTTAACCTTTTTGGCATCGCCATTGACACCAAGCTCGCGCTCCTCGGGGGCCGGCGACTTCTCGAGTGCACGCTCGGCGACGCCAGCAAGAACCTTGACGTGACGTACGCCGACTGGGAAACACGGCTCTTCGGCGTCCTCCGTGACAGCGCGAGCGTCATGACGCCGCTCGAGACCGTTACCCCGATGCGGGCGAGCAAGCCTTTCGTGCCTTTCTTGGTGCTGCTCCAATTCAAGACGATCGAGGTGCCACCGCCGCACGCTGTGGACTTTCAAATGCGCCTCCAAAAGCAACACAAACTCCCCAACCTCGTGGCTCAAAACAGCCACTTCTTTGACCCGCTGCCGCTTGTGTTTGGAAGCCTCAGCAACGAGGCGTCGCTATGGCACCTCGAGCTCAAGGTGAACCCGCTTCTGGAGAAATGGACGTGTCGGACCGGCGATACGCTGGTGCTCTTTATGGAAAACACGCCCGAGACAGCCCACGCGATCGCGAGCGCGCTCCAGTTCAAGCTGCAGCAGTGGATACAAGCCGTGCCCGTGTCCGGCGTGCCCTTCAAGCACCCGTTCCCGACACCGTGCACGGTCTTGGATGCGCTCACAAAGTACTACGAGTGTGCCACGGTACGTCCTCCATTTCGTTGCGTGCAGGCGATCGATGCCGAGGGTTAGGTCTCGCAGCGCGTTGTCGGTGCGTTGGCCCCGTAGTCGCCAACCCAACAGAGCGAGAGCTCTTGGAGTCGCTGGCTACAGACAAGGAGGCGTTCGAGGCCCGCGTCGTGTCGCCCGAGGTACTTTGATATCGCGGTGATGGTGCTAGGTGACGATGACAACGCGCGGTAGCTGAGCTTGTACGGCCTGCTGCTTTTGTGCCCAAGCATCGAAATCTCACTCGACATCTTCTTGCACGTGGTCCCGAGCATGCAGCCACGGTACCTCACGGTGATGTCGTTCCACGAGGGGACGGTCGGCCTCTACCTCGACGTGCCATCGAAGCCAAACGCGACGATGACGTCCTTGGAGACGCACAGCGGCGCATTCCACGCGTACTTTACAGCGCTCGCAGCCAAGAAAGAGTGCGCGGTGCGCCTCGCCAAGGCTGCCAAGCACAGTCTCATGGCGACCGTCGATACGACGCAGTACCTGCTTCAAGCACTGGTGCTGCCGGCGCGCTTTTCCAGCGGGGACCGAACGCAGCCGCTTGTCCTCATCGCTGCCAACTCGGGTTGCAGCCCATCTTGACGCTGCTGCGCGAACGCATGGTACGACGTGCGATTGCTTATGATGGCATGAGACGCGATTGCTGTAGCGCCCGCCGGCCGCGACGGGCCACCACTGGCTCTTTTACAACTGCAAGAACCAGAACGCTCTGCCACACATCAACGAGATCGAGGGCTGGACGGACGACGACGTTCGCCTCACGTTCGTGGTCGCGAGCCCACCGGACGTCAAGGCGACATCGTTTCTGACGCTTCGCGACGCGGTCCGCGCCCACATGTCCCGGGTCCTCGAAGACATCGACCAGCAGCAAGGGCGCATTTACGTCTGCGGCAAGACGAGCTTCCTCAATGACATTCGGCAAACTCTCCTGATCGGCAAGCGCATGCAGCTCCAGCGCGACGACGGGGCGGCCGAGGCGTGGCTCGCCGAGCTGCTCGAGCAAGACCGATACGTCGAGAGCACGCGAGGCTGATCTTATCAATATAGCACGTCGTATCTACAGCGGCCCACTGCTCTTTGCGGCCTCTTCTTGCTGCTTGCGCAGCCGGTCGCGGCGAATGTCGCGGAGGACGCCTTCGCGCATCTCCTATCGATCGCATGAGGCGCTGGCATTGTGAGCCGCAGAAGCGCGCTACCTTCTTCTCGCGGACCTGCACGTCGTGGACGTAGTAGATGGTACCGAGGACGCCGGCGACGACGGCCGTCGTGACCACCACCGGCAGCGATGGGCGACGCATGGTTCTTGGGTTTTCGTTCGAGTCCGAAAATGCGTTGGATTTTGGCCAATCATCTTGCGGCCGGCTGGACCGTTCTTAACACCTGTCAAGATGTCGGTCATCGTCCATAGTCATCGCCAAGACGAATTGCCTAGTAGCAATCTTCCATCAAGCACTTCTACCCAACCTTTCTTCTCAGACGACTGGCGAAGACCCTTTACTGCGCTCAGCCGAGTTCGGAGCGAGCCAATGTTTCCAGCAACTAGTCCGTCGTACTTGTTGGAAATATTGTCTATCATCAAGCGACGCGAACGCATTCCAGGGGTACAGAAGAATGGCATGGTAGATTAGTAGAGGACGACGACGATGACGGCTAATAAATTACTCCTACGAGCTTGAAAAGTGCTCGGTGAATGGGTTGTGGAAGTCCAGGACGCCGTTCTCGACCGAGCTAAAGCTATTGCTGGACGACTGGTGCATCTTCATCTCGAGTTCCGCGAGGCGCGTCATGGTCTGGGTCAGCAGCAGCATCGCTTCGTTGTGCTGCTTCTCTTGTTCAAAGACGCGCAGCTCCAGCGACGCGTTTCTTGCTTCTAGAAGCCGCACTTGCAGCGAGAGCGCCGAGACGTCCGACGGTTCCTGCTCGCTGCCCGTGCAGCTGGCCGTGTCGCTGCCGCTGCCGCGTGCGCCAATGATGCGCCGCATGAGAATGTCCTTGTCCATCGCTTCCATTTCGCCTCGGGAGCTGGCACTGCGGCGCCGCAGGGACGGTGGCGGCGTCTCGGACGAGTAGTTGCGCGGCTTGGGCGGTGTCGTCGCGGCGTCCGGTGACGAGAGAAAGGTGCTACTGCGCTGGTGCTGGAGGCGGCGCTCGGGCGTTGGCTCGGCCTGCGGCTGGTCCTTCGCGACGCAGTCGGCGCAGAGCACTGCCTTGCTCGACTCGGACCCGTGGCGGCGGCCCATAATGTGGTGCTTGCAGATGCAGACGTGGCAGCTGCAGCACACGTATTTTTTGCGAAACACCGAGAAGGACTTGTGGCACACGTGGCAGCCGCCGCTGCTATGGCGAGCGGATGACGCCGACGACGCCGACGACGTGCGCTTGGTGACGTCGGCGAGTTCGGTGGACGAGGATTCTTCCTCGACCTCTTCAATGCCCATGGGACTGCTCTCACAGCTGTGCTTGTGGTCCAGCACGATCGAATTGAAGAGCTGGCTATCCCGCAAGCTGTCGCGCATGAGCTGCGACTGGCGAAGGAGGTCCCGCTTCGTCTCTTCGTACTGCGCCTCGTCGTCGTCGTCGTCTTGGACCTCTGGGTGCGTCCAGCGATACTGCTCTTCGGCTTTTTGGAGGACGCCAAGCGACTCTTGGTCGAGGCCGCTCATCGTGGCCATCGCGAGTGGGCGAAGACCATCGGGCAGCTTGGTCCAGATCGAGTCGGGCGACGCGGCGCATAGAATCGACAGCGCGCTGGGCCCGACGTTCGAGCGAATGGCGACGTGCAGCGGCAGCATCTGCGCGTCATTCTTGGCCATGGCCGCGTCCGGGTACGCTTCGATGAGCGCGAGGAGGACGTTGATGGGCACATCGTTCTCGGTGCACGCCCAGTGCAGCGGCAGCATGCCATAGTGGTCGCGCTGCTGGGCGATCGCGGGCTTGGCGAGGAGGCATGTGAGCAGCTGCGCCCAGTCACCCTCCTCGGCGAGGCGGATCCCTTCCTTGGACGCGTTCTTCTTGGCCATCACCGCTTCTTGAGACGCTTCGTCAAGGCCAGGAGCAAACTGCGCACACGTGGGCACGAAGGCAAATGCAGCAGCTTGTTTCTCGCAGCTGTTTCCGCCCGCACGTATACAATCCCATTTAATGCAACGGTTTATTTCGCATACAAAGGTGCAATACAATACGAATAAAAAGACACCGCGGCCACCGAGTCCATCCGGATAATCGGGGGCGGCGCCCAAGGTGGCAGCGTAACTACCTTGAAAAGTAATGCGCAGCCTCTGCCGATCCTGTCACTGCTGACCACATGCGTGGATCATGCACGAAGATCGCGCCTCGATCCAGCGCTCGCTAGAGGGCATGCGAGCCTCCTGGGACATATAGGGCTCCTGTAACATATAGGGCTCCAAGCACGACGATGCTGGACAGCTCAAGGCGTCGAGCCGTGGTGGTCGCATCGACGTGTCGCGGCTGGCGCCACTGCACGCCGCAGCGTAGATACTGTACAAGTGGTTGTTGCAAAAATACCGCCAGCGCGAGGACAGTCGCGCTACGGGCATGTGACAAGCAGGACCAGATCTTTATGGACCGCTCGCTGCGCGTGTGTGGGGTGTCGGCCGGCTCTTCTTACGACGACGGCCGCGTGGTTTCGAGGAAGACGAAGCATCCCACTTTGCGACGACAGTGGACGAGTAAGCGACGCTTCGGTGGTGTTGGCGCTAACGAGTGTTGGAGCCATTGGTCGAGTCGTCTTCTCCATGTCTCGACATGCTGTAAGACGCTCCTCGATGTCCATGTAGCGTCCGGAACCCTTTCTTCTTGGAGGATTCTATGGGTGACGGGAGTGGGAAATCTACCATGCATTGGCCGACCAGAGGATTGAAGCCATGGCTTCAACGCGTCGACGCGTTGACGGCAAGGCAAGGATTCCGCATCGATAGGTGGGACTGAACTTGTTTAAGGGAATTCCTTGCGTGTCAAGCTCGACCAGGCACCGTATCCGGACTTGGATCTGGTTGGTGGCCAAAGGACAAAACTCGGATCATTTCCGATCTCGAGCATGGGCAAGGTCCGCCGCACCAAGACGTACCGCGTGCACCAGCCGGCGGCTGTCGCCGCCACCAAGGACGACGACGCTGCGTCGGATGCCGGCGAGCCCGAGGTCGGCGAAGCGCACTTGAGCCGCGGCCAGCGCAAGCGCCAGAAGCGCCGCGACGCGTTCCTCAAGAAGATGGGCATGGTCCAGCGCACGGTGGCCGAGAAGGAGAAGGCGGCCAAGAAGGAGACGGACGGCATGTTTGGCGACCTCGAAGAGCTGCAAAAGTCGCTCTTCTCGGAGGCGCCGGCTGCCGTTAAAGTCGTCGAGGCCGCGCCCAAGACCGTCTCGCAGATGACCGGAAAGCAGAAGAAGCGCATGGCGATGCAGGAGCTCGGCCATCTCAAGGCCGTCCAGACGCACCCGGCGTTCCAGTCCAACCCGTTTGCGGCCATCCAGATGCATCTGCAAAACACCGTCGTGCACAACAACGAGCACGCGACCAAGACCAAGAATTAGACACCCCCACCCTGTACGAGCTAATATACTACTTACTACCTACTACGACGGCTGTGAAATGGACACACATTATTAACGAGCTAGAATACCTCGAGATGTAGAAGTAGCTTGCCTACCATCAAGGGAATAATTCACACCGTCGGGTAGCATCGAGAACGTGTTGCACTTGGTCTGCTCTGGTCTTCATTCAGCAATAACAAAGGCTGGCTGTGGTGGGTCCAAGCGCAAGCATCGCTCAGTACCAGGTAGCAACTTATTACCTGTACTACGGCTGATGGGACTTGGTCAACGGACGAAATTCCTTGCCCATGAGTCATGCATGGGCAAGGTCGTCATGGGCCATGACGACGACCTGGTTGAAGTCGGACCCATCGAGTCGGCTCCAATCAAAGGACGCTGATGAAGATCCAACGGCAAGGAGAAAGCAAGCAAACTGCGCACCTTCGCAGGTCACAACACTGTGGTGTGCTTGCGGGACGACCACCATGACCTTGTATGAATGACCAGCTTACATGCCAATACACACATATATGTACAAGGGTTGATTACACCTACTCTGTGTTGCAGAGGAGCGCGACGCCGCGGAGGCCCCAGTGACGCGGCGGTCGGTTCGAAGGGCACTTCATCGTGACCATAAAGATGATGTACCGGTCCGTTCGCATCGGGTACTTGTAGCACGGACACTCGAACGGTCCGATCGAGCCATAGAGTTCCTTGCGCGACTTGGTTTCGAGCTCCTTGGACATGCTATTGACGTGCAGAACGGGCAGCGATGTAAAGAGCTTCTTGGGCTCCGACTCGACCAGCGTGCCGTCTTGCTTGCTCCACGTCGCGCCGTCGAGGAAGAGGCCGTAAATGAGGATGCCCTCCGCGGGCGGCTGCCGCACCTGCTCCGCGCGCTCGAACGTGGTGACTTCGGTGTGGTACACAACATCGTCGAGGGCCCACTTGTCGGTCTTCGAGTGCTTCCGCGTCACCTCTTGCTTCATCGCGGTGAGCATGCCTTGGGGGTTGAAGAAGCCCGTGAGCCAAAAGCAGTTGGGCCGGCGCGTGTTGAGCCAATTCCGGCTCTGCTCATCGCGCGAGAGCAGCGACGAGAACCAAAGCCCTAGCGTCGGCAGGATCCAGGAAAACTCGTCACCGACAGACGTCCGGAGCCACGACGGCGGCACCTTGGCGTCAAAGATCGCGTTGAGCGTCCAGCTAAGCTCTTCGGTCATGACGACTTCACCGCGGATCGCCATTGCAGCTGCGAGAGCATCGTGCGGACCTTGGAGATGACGCGCTGGAGGCGCTGAATCTCTTGGTACAAAAAGATGTTGAGCGGGATCGTGAGGCCGCCGAGGCGCTGGATTTTGGCCTTGTAGTCGTCTTCAATGTAGTCTTCGGGGAGGCGGTCCGCCAGCTCTTTGGCCTTTTCGCAGACGACGTCTTCGCGCGAGACACCGGAGGACCCGCCACCGCCTTTGGGTTGCGTCTCGCCAAGGGTGCCAAGGAGCAAGTTGACTTCTTTCACGCGGTACGTCAAGTCGGCGTTCGGGTGGAGGCCAAAGATCTCGGGCGAGTCGACGTCCGGAAGGCTGTGGCAAAAGTTGCGGTAGTCGTCAATGTTCTCGGCGACCGGAATCCGGTAGTTGAAGTCGTTGGGCATGCGCAAAATGGGCTCGCCGGGGTTGTAACTAAAGTTGGGCGAGCAGGCTTCGGGCTGGATGCACCACTCGCAGTAGTAGTTGAACATGCGCCGGTCCAAGTTGTCGGTAATCTTGCCGCCGTACTGCACCTCCGACACCATGTACTGGAGCGTCGGCCACGAGATCGGACCGTTGTACAGGTGCTTCTCCAAGAAGATGGTGCACGCCGAGAGATCGCCGTTGTTGTACTCGTACGGAATGCACCAGCCGAGCGGGCCAAACTTCTTGCGCTCAATCACGACCGAGTGTAAAAAGCACAAGTCGAAGAGGAGCTGGCGCCACTGGACCGTCTCGACGCGCTCGAGCTTTTCTTGGTCGACCATGACGGTGAACGACCGAAGGATACCTGCGTGCAAGCCCTGCGGCGGCTCGTTGGTCACCTTGGTGGACATTTGCAGGAGCCCGAGCGGGAATTGCTCGCTCGGGAGCGCGGTCAGAAAGAGTCGAAAGTTGGCGTCCATCGTCTCCGAGAGCTTGAAAATGACGTCTTCCATTTGCTCCATGAGCTCGAGGCCGAGCTCGCAGTTTTGGAGCAGCACCCATGTGCCGTTGACAACACCGGCGTTGATCGCCTTCAACGCGACGGGTTCTTGGCCTTCGCCCATGGAGACGACCGCGGGGGACGGGAACTTGCGCTTCCGCGCCAACTGCTCGATGCTTTCCGTCGGGTCGGCGCCGATCGAGAGGAGGAAGATCACGGGCGTGTCGGCTTTCATTTCCGCAAAGATGCTCTCGATCGTATCGGTCACGGGTTCGACGTAGCGCGGCCCCATTTGCGCCGTGTTGCGGATGAACTCCTTCGTGCAGAGGATCGTGCGGTCCATGCGCAGCGCGCGCACAAGCAGCAGCTTCAAGTACGGTCCAATCGACTCGTTCTCGGCGATGCGGTTCTCGTAGTCGGGAATCATCGTGTTCTCGGGCTCGTTGTCCTCGTACCACCGGCGCCACATGGCCTCGTTCGACGTCATATCGTGGGGCAGCGACGTGTAAAACTTGCACGACTGCGAGAGCTCAATGATGTTGAGCCACGCCTCGTTCGAGATCCACGAAAACGGCTTGCGCCGGACCGTGTTGATGTCCAAGGCCGCGCCACCGCGAATGAGGAGCGTCACCTCCTCGGGCGTCAAAAGCCCGTCGGTCACGAGGATCTTCATCGTGAGCAGCAGAATGAACGTGAGCTTGTCGCACTCGTAGAGACCGCGGTTGATGTAGCGGTAGCTGATGTACGTCATGGTCTCGATGATGTTGGCGACGCGCTTGGACGCGAGCGCGGCCTTGTCGGCCACGTCCATCGACTTCATAAAGAGGGCCAAAAACTGGTTGAGCGACGTCTGGTACATGCAGTTGATGAGCGACATTTCGACTACCGAGAAGTACAAGACCGAGCCGCGCGTGGCGACGGGCCGGAACTGCTCACGCTTTTCGTTGATACTCTTGCGCGTGTCGGCGGCCGCAATGAGCTTGTCTTTGACTTCGGCCGCTTTTCCTTCGTGTTGGCGAGGACACCAATGAGTTCTTCGTCTTCGAGCAAGTTGCCCGTGTTGGACGTGAGACGCTCCAAGAGCGACGCGTCGAGGGCGAGCAGCGACTTGGTGTTGAGGTTGACGTCTTCGAGCACTTGCGCGAGTTGCTCTTCGAGGGCTTTCTGCTCCTTCCCAATGACGCGCCCCAAAAGCTGTTCTTCGAGACCCTTGATGGTGACGGTAAAGTCGATCACAGTCGTCTTGGCCTGGAGCTCCGGTCCGAAATGCGGGTTGGGCAAGCGCGTAATGAAGTACATGGAGAACGCCGGGTTGAACTCCATGTTCTTGTCCGAGACGTTGATCGAGAGACTTCGGCCCTTCACGATGATCTGCCGCTCCAAGACCGGGTCCAACATCGGGTCAATGTCTTCCTCAACGCCCGTTATGACGAGCGCGCGGCCCTCGCCCATGCAGTACTCGAGCTGGTCCTTCAGCTTGGGATGGTTGAGCGCTGTCGAGCCGTAGCTGGGCATGCGCAGCGCCTCGCGATTCTTGATCCACGAAAGCGCTTGGCCTTGCGGGTCCACGAGCAGCGGGTAGCGCGACGACCGTGTGACCATGATACCGTTCTGGATCGAGAGCGAGTCGGTCGGGAGCCCTTGGATGTTCCAGTCGCCGATCGTGCCAATGTCGACGAGGAACGTGATGATGTCGAGGTCCGACGTCACGGGTACGCTGCGGATCTCGCAGTCCGGAATGAACTTGTTCATGACCATGTAGTGCCGAAAGTCTTGGTTGAACGGGCCGCAGTACGAGACGAACGCACAGGCCACTGCGCAATCGCCGACCATGCGCCGCTTCAGATCCGCAAAGTTGTTGGAATCGTCGGTCCAGCGCACGCGCTCGCCCGCGAGCCCGTTGATGAGATCGGACGCTTGCTGCATCTTGCGCGCGAGGGCATTCGCACCGTCCTCGATACGCTTCTTCTCGGCCATTTGCGACTCGAACATCTGCTGGAGCTCCGTGAGCCGCTCCTTGCACTTGAGCAGTCGGAGCTCGGCGGCCGCGAGCGCCTTGTTGGCAGCCTCCATTTGCCCTTCGGCGATCATGAGCGCTTCGAGCTTGGGTTTCACGACTTTGGACGCTTCGTGGTAAAACTTCATCGCGCGCACCCACGTGCAGAGCCCTTCGGCCGCGAGCGACGCGTTCTTGGCGACCGCTGGCAAGAAGCCCTCGAGCTCCATGTACGGGCAGAGAAGCTCGATGGTTTCTTCGTTGATCATGTCCTTGCCGACGGCCCCGAACGTCTGGACGTTCTTGAGAAAGTTGCTGTCGCCCATCACTTGCTGCGCGAATGGCGAGAACGACGTCTCGATAAAGTCAATGTCTTGCTTGGCGACGTTGAGTTTCGCTTGCTTGACGGTATTGAGTTGACTTTGAAAGAGGATGAGGACGCCGTCGAACACGAGGCGGATGATATCGGCGGGCTTGGCCAGTTTCTTGATTTCACCAATGTGCGCGGGCTTGATCGAGTCGATGGCGGTCTCGGCCTCTTCGACGAACGGCTTGGCTTTCGCCAAGTCGGTCTCACACGCCGCTTTCTCGGCGCCAATCCGCACGGCGTCTTCTTCGCACTTGGCCTTGATCGCCGCGACCTGCTCGCCTTCCTTGTACGCCTCGGCCGACGACACTTGGAGCGACTGGAGCATCGCGTTGGTTTCTTCGGTCGCTTTCTGGAGCTTGATTTGCTCGTCGGCGAGCACGATCGACATGGCTTTGACGTCTTCGGCGCCTTGAATGAGCTTCTTCAAACCGAGGTTCACGCGCTGCTCCTTGACTTTGATCTCTTCAATCTTGATGCTGTACATCTTCTTGTACGACTCGATAAAACTCAAGTACGACTTGGGCGTCTGGTACACGCGCCGGCGCATCTTCTGGAAGTATTCGTCGCAGAGGTCGGTGACAATCCGGTGGACCATGCCCATGTGCGTCATCAACGCGAGGCGCGTCACGTCGTCGCACTCCATGGGGTAGTCCAGGACAAAGCCTTTCGAGACAGCGATGAGCGCGTCTTCGGGCCACGTGAGGAACCAATCGATGGTCGGGCCTGAGATCAAGCCTGGAAACTTGCGCGCACGTTCGGCAAACTTGGCATTGAGTGGTGACATGCACAGCACGACGTGGAGGTTGTCGCGGACGCCGTCGATAAAGTACTGCTTGAGATTGGCTTGCGTATCGGGCAGACCCGGTCGATCTTTTACGAATGCATTGCGGAGGTCGGCGGTCATCGCCATCATCTCATCTTTCGCAAACAAGCCCGCGACTTCGCCCGTCATGAGCACCGAGTTGAGCAGCTCGAGGAAGATTTCGTTCTTGATCTCCGAGTCGGTGAAGAGGAACGTCGTCGACTTCTTGAGATGCCCCGCGCTCTTGTACAAGACGCGAAGGTCGTCCATGAACGAATTGGTGTTGTACGTCTTGGTGAGCGTCACCTGGAACGCTGTCGACTGCGCCATGTACGCGGCGAGCCGCGTGAGCGACTGTTTGCCGGACCCGCCGACACCGACGAGGAGCGCTGAGCCTCGCGGCATCTCGAGAAGCCGCGAGAGACGCAGTAAATGGCCGAGCGCGTCATCAAAGAGCACGAGGCGCATGACGCGCTGCGGGTACTCGGTGTTGTACTTGGCCAAAAACTCGTTGACGCGGACTCGGACCTCTTCGAGCGTCCCACCCGGTTCGTACCTACCTCAGGATGTTAGGAATCGAAATCGAAAGCGTTGGCGACGTACACTTTCGGGACGAAATCGTCGACGACGCCTTCTTCGTTCTCGGCGGGATCGCGGAGAAAGTTGACCATGTAGAACGGTTGCCGCACCTTGGTTTCCATCTCGTCGCCGAAATGCCCTTTGAGGAGCTCGCGCATGTACGCTTGGTAAACGTCCTTGTCTTTGTAGTTGGTCAGCTTGTCGGAGAAGACGCGCTCGCACTCGTGCCGCCACACCATCACGATGAGCTGCCCTTGGTCGACCTTGTCCATCTTGCCTTCGTCGACGCGGAAGCCGCCGCCCGACGTGAACGTCTCGGCCGGCGTCAATAGCACGCCTTGGAAGACGCGGCTGAGTTCGCGCATGTTGAAGATATAGTGAAACTTGGCGGGCGTCGGGAGGAGCTTGGCCTTCATGTAGTTCCAGAGGTCGATCGTCGCGCGCGTGAGCTTGCCCGCCATCTCGATCGCGTCTTTCGAGTACGTGTCGGGCGTGAAGCGCCCCGCGAGCATTTGCCCGTAAATGTCATCGATCGACGTCAAGGACGGCAGCACGAGGTTGAAGAGGAAGAACTGCCGCTTGAGACGGTTGGGAATGTCGTTGCGACCGCCTCCTGGATGGCCCATTGCCCCGACGTACTGTAAATCTTCGCAGACCTTGAAGTCGCCGCGCCGGTCTTTCGAGAGGAAGCAAAAGCCACTGCACTCGATGATGAGGCGGACGATCTCGAGCGTCGGCTGGTCGCCCCACGCGTTGACGAGCGGCATGCTGAGATCGTCGAGGAAGATGGTCATCTTCTTGCCATTAGGCGGCCCAAAGCTCTTGCCGCCGCGCTTGTCGAGCTCGGATTCGACGGCGGTCTGAAACATAAAGGGCGTCGTCGCACTGGAAAAGTTGACGCGCTTTACGAGCATCGTGTCCGGGTTGAGCTCGTTAAAGTACATGAGCGCGCACGACGTCTTGGCGGTACCGAGGCCGCCGACCATGAGGACAGGTTTCTTTTGCTTGTGCAGATTCTCAATCAAGTAGAGCGTCCGGACCGAGTCCATCGTCGGCACGAGCAAGTTGGAAAAGTCGAGCTTGTCGCCTTTCGGGTAGTTCCACTTCGGCGGGCGCCACACTTTCCACTCGTACGTTGCGGGATCGACAAAGTGCTCGTACACGAGGTTGCCGTCCACCACCTTTGGCAGCAAATTCTGGTCGTCGAGGTTGCGCAGCCAGTCGTCAAACTTGACGCGGTCTTCGGGCTCGAGCAACTGCCCGACGCTCCACGCAATGCAGTACAAGAAGAGTTTTTCCAGCTGCTTTTGGAGCGTCCCCGGGTCTTCCGACAGCGACGTGCCATGCTCGCCGAGGAGGAGACCCGTCATGAGGTTGTAGAGCCGCGATGCTTGGCCGACGCGCGAGACAGGCATCACCCCCGACGTGTTCCGCGCGAGGTAGTCGAACGCGATACCAGGTAGCAGCGGCGAGTTCTCGCCCATGTACTTGCTAAAGAGGTTGCGCAAAATCTCTTGGTGCGCATTCGGCCGCTTCCGGATCCACGCTTCGACGACCGGCGCCCAGTCGAGGTCCGTGTCCGAGACAAACACAATGCCGGCGCGGCTCACGGTCGCCGGCGATGCGTTGACGAGTGTCTCGACTTCAAACATGAGCTTGACGTTGTCCGTCATGGGCATGCGGTCGCCGTTGGCCAGCGTTAGAATCTTATTGTCGTCGAGGACCGTGTTGAGATCTTCAATCCAAATCGCATCGACGGGCCCGTCGCAGATCATCCACATGATAAACTTGTTGCTTTTCTGGTTGTACTTGCTCCACATGGCCGCAAAGACACCCGTGGTCCACTCGCCCGACATCGGGTCGACCTCGCCGTACATTTCAGCCGCTCGGATCGCTTTCGGGTTGAGCCGCGACTGCTTGTGGTTGATCGTCGTCGTGAACGTGAGCGCTTGCTGCAGCACCTCAAAGATGCGCGATTTGCCGCCGCCCGTGGGACCGACAAGCATGATGCCGTGGCGCACGAGCTGCGTTTCGTAGAGCTGAATCACCTTGTTGAGCCAGCCCGGGTGGTTGACGAGCCCAATCTTGTCGATTTCCGCCAACACCGCGGCCTCGAGCTCGGGGTAGACGCCTTTTGGCGGCGGCGGCACGGTCGGGAACAAGTCTTGGAGCAGCGAGAGGAAGAGCGGGACGTCTTGCGCGACGAGCTTGGAGAGGTTCATGTCGCGAAGCGTCTGGAAGAGGAGCTTGGCTTCGAGGTCGTTGCGGTTGTCGCGCTTGATCTTGCCGGCGCTTCGGAGCACGGCGAGAATGTTGCGGAGACCCCAGTCGTAGTGCTTTTGCGCTGAGAGCTGCTCCTTGCACGTCGAGTACAAGATGAAGAATTTCTTGGCGAGCTCTTGGTACTCGAGGTATCCCACGGAGCAGAGCTTGACCTTCATGATGATCTCAAAGTCCGGCACCATCATCGCGACGCCGCGGAAAAGCGCTTTGAGGTTCTCGGGCAGCTCTTGCCGACCGGCGTACCCGGGGTTCATCGTGATAAAGAAGCCGCACACAGGCAGCAGCAAGATGTTTTGCGGGTCGCCCGGGAACTGGAAAAACTTGATCCCCGTCTTCTTGGCGTTCTGGATCGCAAGCACTTGCTGGGCGACGACCGAGAGCACTGGCAGCTGAATCCGGTTGAACTCGTCAAAGCAGCCCCAGAGACCGCCTTGGCACAGCCCTTTGAAGATCTTAGCGCAGTCCGTGTACTTTTGCTGGTCCGTGCAGTTGGTCACAACAACGTAGATACCCAGCGTGCGCCCGAGATCTTTGACCGTCTCGGTCTTGCCCGTGCCGGCGGGGCCCGCGGGGGCGCCGCCAAAGTACATCCCGAGCGCCTGCGCGAGCGTAATGTAGCACCGATCTGTGAGCGGCGTCACGACGAGCCGCTCTTTCGAGCCGAGGTACTCGAATTGGTAGTTGAAGTCGACGTCCGTGATCGAGACAACGCACGCGCCGTCGGCCGTAAACTCGTCGGCGTTGTTGGGCCGCCAGTAGAAGCGCGCTTGCTTGAGCCACTCGAAATCGTTTGGGTCCGAGATCTTCTTCTGCTTGTAGAGCAAGGCGAGGTCGCTCATGACGTCGCGCTGATGCACGTGGATCGTCACGAGCGTCTCGATCTTGACGCGGTTTTGCTTTGAGCCCAGATCTTGGAGGCACCACGACGAGAGCTCGATGAGGACTTGGAGCTGCTTCTGGCTCATGTCCTTCATCGCGTTCTTCTTACTCCGGCACTGCTCGAGCGCGGTCTGCACGTCGTTGGTCCACATCATTTGGATCCCCAAAAGGGCAAACTGGGCCACGTAGCGGTCGACGAAATCCCGCATGCGCTTGATGTCGGCGCTCATGGCGCCGACGTCGCTGGCGCAGTGGCGGCAAATGTCCTTCATCGTGAGCTGCATGGAGCGCAAGAGCGACGCGAGCCAGTCTTCAATGTTGCCTTGGGCTTTGACGATCGACGAGAAGCGGACTTCGTCGACGCCCGAGACCATGGTGTGGATGAGCGTCTTGTCTTTCTTGTCGTGGATCACGCGCTCGATCGAGTCAAACACCTTTTCATAATGCTCGTTCATGCTCAGCGGGTCCGAGCCTTGCGAAAGGATCATGAGGAGACCGGGGTTCGACACAAAGTAGAAGCGCGGGAACTTGTTGCGCTTCTGCTCGAGGTAGCCTTCGAGCGATTTCTGGCACTTTTCCAGCTCGCTGTACATGTTGGGGAGGCACGACTTGAGGAGCTCGCTCGCGCAGCACTGCACCGCGTTCTTGATTTCGACCGACTTGGTCATGATCTTGGCCCAGTCCTTGTCGATTTTTTGAAATTTCTTGGCTTCGACGGGCATCTGCTTGGCGATATCGCCGCCCGTGAAGACCGACTCGAGCGAGCACCACAGCATTTGGACTTTGATCCAGCGCTCGAGCGTCTCGCTCGTATCGCTGAGCTGCTCGAGCTTTTGCTGCGCGACCTCCTTGAACGGCAGCACGTGGCGCATGCTGAGCATCGTCTGGAGGTTCATCTGTGCCTCTTCCAGCGCCTCGACGACCGGCACAACGCCTTTGAGAACGGGTACGTTGCGGTTCTTCCAGTCGTTGAACTGAAACTCTTCCGCGTCCCAGTGCTCGTTAATTTCGGCGAGCGCGATCTCGATCTTGAGCTGCTTGTCGGCGCCGTCCGTGATCTCTTCAATCTCGGTCTTGTAGAGCACGATGTTGGCGTCCATGAGCGCTTGCAGCTTAAAGTCGGCCGCATTCACGTCAAAAGACGTCTTCGTTTTCTCCATGACCGCGTCCCAATGGCGCGGCTTGATCGACGGCTTGCTGAGCTCTTGGAGCAGCGGAAGGATGTCGGTAAAGTCGTCAATCATCTTCTTCAGGACAGCGTACGCCTCCCACTCGCGGAGCTTGGCCGGCATCTTCTTGCAGCGGTTCGAGAAGCCATCGACCTTCTCGGTCATGGACTGCATGTTCTGCGCGACTTGGACCCACGGGATCGTCTTCCACTCTTCGAGTGTGGTAAGCACGTCGACGTACAAGCCAAAGAGCTTGTCTTGCAGTTGGAGCTCCTTCTTGGTCATCTCGAGCTCGGGATAACTCGTCTTGGGTAATCCAAAGAGCTCTTCACCGGACGTATAGAGATCTTGCTTGCGCTCGCGGATCTTGTACTCTTCCTTGTACCGGTTCAAGCGCTCGACAGCCTCGGACGCCGAGATGCCAATCACCATGGGCCCGTTAGCCAGAAAGTCCTCGCGAAAATGCTTGACGTCCACAAGGAACTCCTTAATGTCGCGGAGAAGCCCGCGCTTGAAGCCCGCCTGCGTCTTGGAGAGCTCGTCCGTTCGCGTCTCGGCGTGGTGGATGAGCTTGCGCCAGTTGCTCCGGAGCACGGACTTTTGGTCCATTTCTTCCTTCTCCATGAAGCCATCCGGGAGGTAGTACTCGAGCATCTCGTACATGTCCAAGACCGGGTTGATCTCCATGTTGATGCCGCTCTCGCGCGCGCGGACTTCTTTGAGGAGGTTCATGACGAACCGGAGCGAGTCGAGGTCCACAACCTTGCGGTTGAGCTTGCCCATCATGCTGCGGAAGTACTCGGTGAGCGACTCCATCTTCTTGCGCGCTTGGTTGTGCAGGTTGTCGCTGTACTTGAGCTTCCACTGCGCATTCTCGTGCTTGAGCTGGAGCTTGATATTGCGCGTATTCAGCGAGAGCGCGCCGATGTTGTGCACGGCTACAATAGTTCAATATTGGACTGTGAGGTAAATATTTTGGAGGTGTACCGGAGATCGCCGTAATGTCTTCGTCAATAATGACAAACGACTTGAGTTTGCGCTCAAAGTCTTGGAGCTCGGGGCTTTTTTGAGAAAGTCGTCGTACGACACATCTTTGTTCTCCATCCAGAGCCACTCGTACTGCTTGAAGGACGCAAGGTACTCGGTGACGCTGTTGCGAAGGCCTTGGACGCTCCCGGTCAAGAGCAAGACGACGCGGACGATCTCAATGTCCTTGGTGATGCGCTCAAAAACGTCGTTTTCTCTTCTTTTGGCACGTCGGCTTGGCCCCAGTCGTAGAGCTCTTTTGCGGCCGCGAGCACGGTCTGGGCCGCGCGGTTGATCGCCAACTGGATGTCATCGAGGCTAGGCGAGAGCTGGACGCGCGGGATACTCAGCTGCACGTCGACTTCAAAGAACGGCCGGTCGGTTGCGAGTGGCGTGGCGCCGGCGCGGGACGCCACCCGCTTCTTGACGCTGTTGAGCGAGTTCTTGGTGCAGTGAAGCAGCGCTTGGTACATAAAGTGGTTGTAGTGCTTCTTGAGCTTCATCGCTTCTTCGGTCGAGACGCTCTCAATGTGCGAGTCGAGCGGGTACTGCGTAATGATCTTGAGAAGGTCCTCGACCGCATTCTCAATCTCAATGTTTTGCCTTGGAGGAGCGCGCCGGCGCGGCGGATGTTGGAGCCTTGCATCGACACAAACTCGTCAAGCGAGAACGACTGGTCCGTCGGGAGGTCCACGAGCATCGTTTTCGAGACGATGCGCAGATTCTTCTCGACCCGGTTCTCGATGATGTCGTTGATGTTGGTCACGAGCTCTTCGAGGCGCTGGAGGCCCGTGTGCACGTGGTTGCGGTACGCTTCAATGTTCATGCTCGTCCACGTCAGCGTGATCATGCCAGGCCGGAGCTTGAACTCCATATCGTTAAAGTGCGGCCGCAAAAGCATCGCGGTCACCGGAATCACCTTGGTCACGATCCGGTCGTACTCGGAGAGCGCGAATTGGAGCTCGTTGAAGTAATTCTTGAACTTTTCTTCCTGGAGGAGCACGATTTTGGCCGACTCTGGGATCTCGATGCCCATGCGGTCGAGACACTTGGCTTCGCGGAGCAGCTGGAGGATCTCCGGATCAAAGTTGACGTAGAGAATGTTGTCTTCGGGGTGGCGAATGATGAGCGTGGCTTGGAGCCCGGCTTTGGCCGTGTCAATGTACTGCACCCACGCTTGGTACCAAATGTACTCGAACGCGACAAGCGTCCGCGCGACCTTGTTGTACATGCGGATGATGCGCTTGGCGTCCTTGCTTGCGAGCACATTTTGGTTGGACTCGAACTTCTTCATCGGTTCTTCAATGCGCTTGAGGAGATGGCGCGACCACGTGATGTTGCCCGCGACGGGCGGGAGGTTCCGAGGGTACGGCGGGTTGTGCTTGTGGCGCTCATATTGCTGCAAGACGTGCTCGAGCTCGAGGCCGTAATTCTGGAAAATGACGTTAAACTTCGAGTCCAGATCCGACTTGAGGTTCTCGCGCTGGAGGATCGTTTGAAACTTGCGCAGCAGATTGAGCGAGTGCTCGATGCTCGTAATGTTCTCGAACGAGTCGTTGATGAACTTTTGGAGCAGGCCCTCGAGGTCCGAGATGCGCACGTTGAACTCGACGTAATCGCGATCGAACCGGTTGTTGCGGTAGTCGAGCAAATCGTGGTTGCGCAGCCGGAACTCACGGATGACGCCATTGAACTTGCCAATGAGCTCGTCCATGCCCTCGAGTTTGTGCTGTCCAAGCGACGAGAACTGATGGATCGTCGTAAACATGTCGATGAGCTTGATGATGCGCCGGCAGAAAAGGTCAAACTTGCCAAAGATCTGCATCTCGTTGAACTCAAACTGCTTGCCTTTCGGCATCGCAAACAGCTTGTCTTTTGTCGCTCGGTACTGCTGCTGGTACGCCTCGTTGAGCTTGAGGCACGAGTCGAGGTTCCGCACGAGCTCTTCCGGCTCCTTGCTCCACATGACTTCAAACGTCTCGCCGCCCGTGATGCAGCCCTTGCAGTTACTGATCATTTGATTCGTGATCTTGGTCAAGAGCGACGCCATGCGCTCGGACGTGTTGTAGTAGCGCGCGATCGAGTGGATCATCTTGATCGAGTTCATGAGCGCGGGCAGCGTGTCGATGATCGTGTTGGGCGTGCCCGAGTAGAGCGGCACGATGAACTTCTCGAGCGTGAAGAGGTACTTGACGTTGTCCTTGGCTTCGTTCGTCGCTTCCGTGATGCTAATGTCCGTCTGCTTCCACCGGCGAAGGAGCGTCTGGATGCGCTGCTTGGTGTCGTCACTCACGTTTTTCGACGTCCGCGACAAGACGAAAAAGACATCCTTGTACTCGTTCGACTTGAGCTGCTCCGTGATCGACGTCAAGCGCTGCATGCGCCGGCGCCAGTACTCGAGCTCGCCCATCGGGCCATCGTCGTCGATCTCGTCGTCCTTATTCTTGCCGTCGCCCGTCGTGTTGGTCTCGAGGTACGTCGAAATGACGTCGCACCACTCCTTCAAAACGTCCTCGTAGTGCGCAATGACCTGCGGCGACTCGCTCACGGCCGCGCCGCGCGTGCCCGCGTTCTCGTACTCTCGGTCGGGCCGCCGGAGCTCGAGCCCACTGTCCATGCTGTGGAGTGCCTCCTACATGTCACAGATTTGACTCGACGACGACCTCGTTGTCTCGGTACCTTGAGGTCGTTGGCAAACTTTTCCGACTCGGTCATAAACTCGACTTTGAGGTCTGGATCGGCCTTGCCCCAGTCTTCACGGGCTTTGAAGAGCGGCGTGAAGAGCTGCGAGAGTGTCGCTTCGAGGTCGCGGAGGACGTTGGGCGCGAGTTCGCCAAAGAGAAGCGTGCCGTCGCTGGCCTGTGTAATGCATGGGCATCATCAGCATCATTTGTCGTCTCCAAGGACGCGCAAGGTACCTTGGTTGTGTCAACTGCTTTGCCATCGGCGGTGACGCGCAGAAAGTAACAGCACTTGGAGCGGATCGGGATCGTGTTGCCCGCAGACGCCGTGAGCCGCGTGCGCGACGCGTCGCCCTTGTCGGCCGGCTAATCCATCAACACCACCGTTCAGAGGCTATATGATAGAGGCGTCGTACGTCGGCTTGGAAGTGCACGAAGATCTTGCTCACGTCTTTGGCGCCGATAAGATCGTCCCAGAGCTTCTTGGTCGCTGGCGTCGCGAGGAACTCGTTGACTTCGCCGAGCGACACGAGCGGCTCGAAGCTCTCGACGATGCGGGTCGCGACCCACTGCATGCGCGCGTTGGCCATCGTGACGGCGACAAGTCGTCTTGCCTTCGCGCCCCTTGACCAAACGCAGACTGGCACGCCTCTTCAAGATACCGTTTCGTGCTGAAAGTGAAAAACGCTTGTTTTGAGTTGAGTTTCATGGCGTCCTGTCGGCGTTCTTGCGATTCTTGCAGCGCGCGCGTAAAGCTCTATGCGTGCCTCGCACGTGGCATAGTGTTGTACGCAGCGGGTGGATCCTGTCGCATGTCCGCACTTGCATCGTAAGCGAGCGATGATCGACGGACTCGTGTTTTGAGTTTGAGTCCGACTGGAAACTCAACACCATCACTCTTGCACGCGTGCGTTTCATTTTTCCACGACGCTTTGTTCGAAAAACCGCGTTAGAAGAACCAATCTTCAACCGTTCGGTTCCAACCGGTTGGCAGGGATCCGCCACGCCGACGATGGAGGCCAAGAGCATGGAAGCGTCGGGGACCATGTGCTTCCATGGCATCGAGTACTCGGTCGAGATATGGGTCCAACGCGATGAGCTCCATGTCCAGGTCGAGGAAGAGAGCCTCAAGGCGACGGCCGACGTCGATCGATGGGGTGGCGCCTTCCCGCCATGTGTGCGATCCTTGCGTCGCGACAACAAGCATGACCGCTCATCCTCGCGTAGACATTGAAGAGCTCACGAAGAAGACGGGCAACTTTAAGCGCTTCTACACCTTTGTCAACATGCTCGTCTCCGCCTTGAACCACAAGAGCGACTCGGTCTTCATTGACCTCCTCACGTACTCGGACTTGGTATCGCTTCGACACGCCATCATCCATACGACATGAGGATGCATGCCATGTAGGAACTCTACCGGAAGCGCAAGTTGGGCAAGTCCTCGGCCGAAGCTCCACCGGCAGCGGCGCTTCATGCGACCAACAAGCGCTACCTTATCCTGACCTACGCGGTCGAGTTCGACCGCGTACATTACCCGCTGCCGCTCCTGTACATTGAGCAGCCCACGCCCGACATTCTGCAAAAAACGATCCTGCGCCTCAAGCAGGTAGTCATAGCGTGCGACCTGCGATCCGACCTTGGCCTCGTCATCATAGGCGCTCACGGACGCCAAGGTCGACGGTGGTGTCCCCGACAAGCAGCTCACGGCGCTGCAAGACGAGAACACGTCGCTTCGGCTCCAGATCAAGCAGCTGCAAGCCCTGCACGACGCAGCTAAAGTCCCATCGTCCGATGTACATACTTCGTCCTCTGCATCATTCTTGCTGCGGGTCTGACCATGGCGCAGGCGCGAGAACTCAGAGAGCTCACGACCATGTACCAGCAGCTCCGAAAAGATCGACGAACGAGATCATCGAGCTCAAGGCGCAGATCGAGTTGCTCGAGTACGAGTCAACCCACGCGCATGTGTCGCACATCGTCTGCGTAGACGGCAGCATTCCCGGGACGACGTCGAGGCTTTGGAGCAGCGCTATGGGCAGCGGATACGTCAGCTGGAGAAAGACGTTGAGCGCGAACGGGCCGACCACCACCGTCTTGTGGTAGGAAAGCGACTTGCGTCTTTCAAAGCCCACGAACGGTTCGTGTAGCTGCAATTGGAGCGACAACTCGAGGACGAGCAAACCAAAGCAGGTGCCGCCGAGACAGAGTTGCGGGAGTTGCAGCTGAAGAACCGAGAACTCATGCGCCAGCTCGCCGTGGCGCGGACCAAATCGACGCCGCATCGAGACCGCCCACAGGCCGCGACGACGGCGCCGCAGGTATCCGATATAGTATATTTACTCACAAAAAAACACATCCTTCGGGCAGAAGCCCCGTCCGCGCAGCACCACCGTGTCGTCGCGGCCATCGAGTGGCCACGACAGCAGTGACGGGGCGCGCAAGCCTCGCTACACGGCGCCCGCCGCAGCAACCACGTTCAAGCGCTTTGACCCGACAGCATACCACGTAGGTCCCCCACGCATTCGTTCTCTCGCCTTGAACGTGCCAGTGTCCTAGCTGGAACGCCAAGCCAAGCTCCGCGCCCGATCGCAGTCGCCGCAGCCGCCATCGCGGTCGTCGTCGGCGCCGCGCCAACCCATCATGTAATACCGTCGACGCAAGTCGAGAGCGTCGTTTGACGTTGAATAGGAGCGGGTACTCGTCCGACTCGTCGGCAGGGTACCAGTCGGGCGGATCCAATGCCTCTCGACGGCCACGGCCGCGCAGCCGCCAGGGCTCCACCGAGCGCCAGCGGGATGCGGTACATGAATGTCTTCTCTGCACGTGAAAACGCTGACATACATGGTGCGTAGGATGCGCGGCTCGCGTCGCCACGGTGGAGCGCGTCGACCAAGGCGCCTCTCGCCGTCTCGAGCCGCCGGTCGCCGTCGCCGACCGTCCCCCGCAAGGCGACGACGCCACTTAGAGGGTCGCGCGCCCCGGCCAAGACGACAGCCCCCAAGCCACCGGCACGGTCAAAGCCCACGGTACTCCTCCCAGTAGGCCACCTCGACTTGTACAACATGCTCATCTTGTTTCAGGCGGTCCCGACGACGCCACAGTACCTCTACGACGACGACGAGAGCGACACGGAAGCGCCGTCGACGTTCACCGACATTGACAATCGGCTCAACGCGCTCCAGCAGTTTCTGCGCGATGCCAAGACGCACCAGCCAAAGCTCGGGAGGAAATAATTACAGGACGTCTTACAAGTCCGTGTTGGCGTGCGAGCTCGAGAAGCTCCAGCGAATGCTGTCCTGGGGCTCCATGAGCGTGTGCGGCGAGAGGACGCTGCGGGCGACGCGGCGCTTCCCGTTCGGAATCGCCTTGCGGACACCAGCCATGAGGCTCTTCATGCTCGCGCTAAAGCCGAGGTTTTGCGCAAAGTGGTACACGTCGTTGCGGGAGAGTGTATATTGGTGCGCCAAGCCGAGGTACGACGTTGGGTCCGAGAGCAGAATCGGCAGAATTGGCTTGCCCTTGTCTTCCGCGAACGCGAGCTGGTCCTGAATGAGCTCGTTCTGGTTCTTGGCCGACAAGATAATGACAAAGCACGCGCACTTGAGAATCGCCTCCTTGGCGGCGTGGATGCGCGTCGTCATGTCGCCATCCGGGCTCGGGTGGTCAACGTACACGCGGCAGTATGGGTTGAGCTCCGTGTACACTTGGCGCACAAAGTCCTCGTGCATATCGCCAGAGGCGAGAAACACAAACGGAGCGTTCTCGGCCTCGGTCGACGTCTTGTTGTTGAGGAACGTGTCGACCATGGTCCAGCCCAAGTGGGCGCCACTCGTCTTGGCCAGCGCTTGGCGCTTCTTCTCGATCTCATCGCGCACGCCGTCGAGAAGCGACCGGAACTGACGCGCAAACGCCACCTCGTTGTACTCGTACGTAATGTTGCGCGGATTGCTCTTCTCGATCGCGGTGATGGCCGACTCGAACGGGACGATCTGCCGCGCGTACAAGTACACTTGCAGCTCTTCGCCAATCTTGACGTTCTCGGTCGAGAGCGCGAGGACGGGCGTGCCCACTTGCTTGGCGAGCGCGAGCTCTTTCAAGCACCACTCCGACTTGGGGTAGTCTTCGGTGAGGATGCTCACAACGCACGACGCGTTCGAGATGCCGCGGGCAATTTCTTCGCGCCACACCGACCCGCCGCCAATGCCACTCGGGTCCACTACGCAGCAGCAGCAACAAGAGCAGTCTTAGCACGACGACGACACACATCCGATGTGTACGTACTGAGATCGAGCCACGTCGTAATGTGGTTGTTTTCCAAGCTCGTGCGCAGCTTCTTGGCAAACTCCATGTGCGAATGCGTGTAGCTAATCATAACGTCGCGACTCCCGGCCGCGCGCTTGACGGCAAACTGGAGCTCGGTCGACGTCGTGCAGTCGAGCGGCCGGCTCCCGTCGCCGTTCACTTGCATAATGTCTGCGCCCGCACCGAGGAGCGCGAGCGCGGTCGCCTTCTTCCCGCGCTTCATCGCAATGTGCAGCGCGGCGTCCCCAGAGTCGGCGAGCGCATCGTTGATGTTGCCGCCGCTCTGCACAATCGCCGAGAGGAGCTCCTGCGACAAGTTGTCGGCAAACGCGCCCGCCAGGATCGGCGTCATGCTTTCGTGGTCACGGATCGACGGGTTCGCGCCGTAGCGCAAAAGGCGCTGCACCGCCTCGACGCGGTTGCAACGCGCGGCCCAGTGCAGTGGCGTGCGACCACCCGCGTCTTGAAAGTTCGGGTTCGCGCCCTTCTCCAAGAGCAAATGCAGCGTGTCTGTGCTGCCGCTCACGGCCGCCCAGTGCAACGGCGTGCGGCGGTTAAAGCCCGAGTAGCCGTACTCGCCGAGGCAGTCCGGAATGCAATACTTGAGGATCTTCTTGACCTTGCGCACATTGTTGAGGCCCGCCGCGAGGTGGAGCGGCGTTAATGCAACGTCGCCGCCCCAGTCTTCCAGCACCGCGCCAACAGCATAGTTGCCGCGGAGGTACGCCAGCTCGAGCGCCGTGACCGTGTTCATGCCACTAGACAGATACGACGATGCGATTGATACATTGATACAACAAGATGCGAAAAAAAAGTACCCCGGGTCGGGCACATGGAGGTGGTCGGCGTTGGCGACGAGCAGCATCTCCATGATATTGGGGTGGTCCACAAAGAAAATGGGCGGCACGCGTTCGTGCTTGACGGTCGAGCGCGCCACTTGGTTGACGTCGGCGCCGTGGTCGATGAGCCACTGGACCGCGTCGACGCGCGACGCCGAGACCGCGCAGTGCAGCGGCGACACTAACGTCGTCTTGAAGATCTGCTTGGCCGACTCGTCGGCCGAGATCACGACGCGCTTCACAAACACTTGGGAGAGGTACCAAAAAAAGTCGCCCGTGCTCAAGCGCACGCGCGCCACCTTGTCGAGCGCGTTCACCGAGAAGCCCGCGTCGTGGAGCAGCTGCAGCATGACCACGTTGCCGTTCATCGCCGCGACGTGCATGGGATTTTTCTTGGAAAAGTTGAAAAACCTACCCATATATCAACATGTTTACCAAACATCCCGAAAAATATATGGACGAAGCGTACCAGTGCAAGCGGGCTGAGCCGTAGTGCTGCGCCGCAAAGTCGTGGCCGAGGTTGTCCTGCGCAAACACGAGCACTTGGCGGAGATCGTCGACGTTGCCGAGCTCGGCGGCCGTGTACAAGCGCTTCTTGACCTCGGCAACGAGCTTCTTGAGCTTGGTGTTGGCGTCCAGCATCGTCGGCTCGGCCTTGGCCTTGCCCGTGAGCTCGCCTTCCTTGAACGCGCCGAGCTGCATCTTGAGGTGGTCGCGAAGGCGCGTAAAGTACGTGATCTGGACGATCATGACCATGTACGTGACGATCGCGCCGGCGCAAAACACGATCGCGGGAACCTCCGCGCACATGTGGGCCATAAACTGCGACTGGACAAGCGTGATGATGCCGAGAATGAGGAGCGCGACTTGGTAGAGCATCAGGAACGAGCAGATCATTTCGCATGCCTGGAGGTACCACGTGCGCTGCACTTTCTGGCTAATGCGCTGCATTGCCAGGCGGTGCTCCATGGCCTCTTCGTCTTTCGGCGACGCGCGCTTGAAAAGGTCAAAGCACCGGAAGCCCGTGCCCGTGATGCCGAGGAAGAGCACAAAGGGCGCTGCGCAGTAGACGGTCCAGCCAAACTTGAGCCACTTGGCGCACGAGTCGGAGATGTTGTCGACGGCCTCGTACGCGTGCAGGATCTCGTACCACCAGTCGGCGCCGTCGTGCTCGTACATGTAGTAGCCGTAATAGCCAAAGGCCGCGCCGTCCAAGAGGAAGAGCACCAGCGTCGTCCATAGAAGGCGCTTCACAAAGAACGAGTTGCGCAGGTAGCCCTTGAGGCCAATGTGGCCGCGCCGGACCGGCATGCTCAAGGTGCGGGTCCGGAACGCGTCGCGCGACGCTTGCAGCGCGGGCAGCGGGCGCTCGACGGGCGTCGCGCCATGGCCGACGGCGTAGTCGGCCTCGATGTCGACGACCTCGTCCGCGAAGAGCAGCTTCTCCGTCTTGGAGCTGCTCATCCAGTCGCCGTCAGTATGGAAATGCACGTCGTCGATGTCTGGCAGCTTGCGCACGCGTCCGGATAACGGAGTAATCTTTCGGGTCGCCTCCCATCGCGCATACAAACACCAAATCATATTGAAAAGCTTCGAAAAATGGTTAATCTTACGGTGGGTATACCATACAAAATGGGAGTGAATATATCCGGATAACGACGTGAACTGGCCTCAGCAGATGTGTTACACTCCGCAAGGTGTAGTTTGCACTTTACTCTGATGAGCTCGAACCTACACCATGTCCCACGGCCGTCTGAAGGTGATCTGCGGCTTCGGGAGGAGTCTAGGCGACTCTCAATACCAGGTTGCACATTGTGCGGTTGGGCCGTGCTGGATCGTTAATTATATACTCGTAGAGCAGATCTTGGAGCAGATCTTGGAGCTGCGACATGGCCTCGATCGGCAAACTGCGTCAACTTGTCCAACGGCAAGTTCGCCGCGCCGTCACAGAGCGCGTCGCATACACGAGGTCACGACGAAAACAATTCATTACGATTCCTTCGACGCGTTTCAAGGTCCAAGTTGATATAGCTCGAAGCAGGAAAGAGAGCTGGTGATGGGGAGGATTCCGCTACACTGCAGTCTACAGTGCAGTCTTCGGAAATAGTTTATTCTTTCATCCGATTGGCGCGCAGCGTCGCCAGCGCCACACCGCGAGCCTAAACGCGTTTTGTTGGTTTGCGCTACGAGGGTTATTCAAGTACCGGGTGCGCTCACCTACGGAGCCGCGCCAATGAAGGTCCAGGGTGTGCAAGCGATGACGCCGCCGTAATCTTGTCATTCCACGACTGGCAAGGAGGACGCTGGGATGGATGTTCATTCTACCGGTACAACAAGGCGGTGCACTCAGCGCAAGCGCCTCGTGCTTTCCACATCAATCAACGAACTCGCCTGTCACTTGACAATAGCATCGCAAGCAAGTCGGCCGTCGTCCACCGCCCCTTTGCACTTGTACAAAGCCGTCGCCCCCACGAAAGCGTCTCGATCTCCACGGCAGGCGGCTTGGACTAGTGCATGGCGCAATATGAACGCTGTCATTAGCTAGACTGTCATTAGCCTGATAGAGTATACTAGTCGAATTGACGGTGGTCAGCCGCCGCAGCCGCCACAGCCACCGCAGCCGCCGCAACCACCACCGCCGCCGCCATCGCCGCCGCCATCGCCACCGCCACAACCCGTCGAGCAACCACCCGTTGCACAGCCACCGGCGCCGCAGCCACCGTCGCCAGCAATCGTGCCACAGCCACCACCAGCACCGTACGCCGTGCCCGAGACGCCGCAGCCGCCGCTTGCGCCGTAGTAGCCGAAGCCAGCGCAACCACCGAGGTGGATGTACGGCATGTAGTAGTACGGGAGACCCGCGTCGTACATCAAGACCGTGTGGCGCGAGTACGGCTGGCGCACGCGGCCGTCCATGACCGGCGTGCCAATCACCGTCACGTAAACAGGCAGCGGGTCGTCGGGCTTGGAGGCTGCGAGGACAGCGACCGCGTACGGCATGGCTTCGATCGGGTAGGGCTCGTTGACGCCATAGAAGCGGTGGGCTTTGGAGGGCACGGCGCCGTGCTTGGCCCACGTCTTGCGCAGTGCGTGGCGCGCGAGAAGCCCCGTCGGCTTGTTCTTGATCCACGCTTCGTAACTCGGTGGGAAGCTCGAGTACGCCTCGTTGAACGTCTTCGACCACAGGACGAACGTGTCGGCGTAGCCTTTTGCGAGGTCGCCGCCCTCGATAGTGTCGTCGTGGTCGAGAAGTCGCTGGTGCGTTCGCAACGACGCACAGTAGTCCGCGTACGCACTCGGCGTCGTCTGGTGCGTGTGCCAGACCAAATCAATGTCCGACGTCGGCACCAGAATCATCGCGCGGTCCTTGACGCGCCACAGGTGCATGAACTGCTCGTAGCGAGCAATCGACGCCGTGACCACCTCTGGGTGGCTCCAGTACTCAAAATGGGCGCACATCTTGTTGACAAAGTCGAGCTGCCGAAACATGCCTTGGACCAAGTCGAGGTGGAAGCGTCCGAGAACGTTTGGTCGGTACGCATTGACGGCGGCCTGCACCTTGGAGCGCAAGGCCTGGACGCCGCTTGCGCTCGCCGCTTTGGCGTTCGCCTCGATGCTGCGCTTGAGCTGCGCAAGAAACGTCACCCACGTGCCGTCGCTGGGGATGTCGGGGACGACCACCGGGTACTCGAAGGGCTCGTTGCGCAGCGTGCCGCTCAGCGTGAACGTCGGATAGTTGGCACAAAAGGCCGCAATGTTGTACGTCTCGTACCGGATGCCATGGCCGCACGACGGGCAACGGATCAACTTGTTGAGAATGTGCATTTGGTACGCGAGGGCCAAGGGCAGCGCGGCCGCGCACGCTGGACGAGGGCAAGACGTCACATGGCTGCGAAGCGACCGCCCCGGCTTGATGCCCAAGCTGTACGTGACAGGGTGTAATTGGTGCACGGTGTGGGCAAAGTTGCCCTCCACGCCTTGGCTGTACTCGTGCTCGAGCGTCAGAAAGTGTGCGTAGAGTGATTCGACATTCGGCATGATCGCAACCAGGTCGTACAGCGCCTTCATCTCGAGCACATGTATTTGCACTTGCTGCACCGAGACGTTGCATGGACGGATGCCCAAGGTGTCGTGGCGCGACGGTGTGGTGTTGATGGCGACCGCCACCGAGAGGAAGGTGTCCCACATGTTCTTGGGCTCGACGACCCACGTTTCGGACGCGATCGCCTTGTCCAAGTGCGCGAGCACGTCGTCCCGCGCCGTCGACGTCGGTGCGTTCAGCGTCAGCTTGATCTTGCCGTGTTCGAGGAGCTCGAACGGAAAGCGATGGTTGTCGTCAATCGGGTCGAGCAGCCGCGTCGTGCAGTAAGCTGTGTTGCAGGCAAACTTGAGCTTCTCGCCGTCCAAGACCTCGAGCGTTTGGCCCGTGAGCACGACTTGGCGCTCGACCCACTTGGGCATAAGGAGTACACGCTCTCTCACGTCGAGGTCCGCGACGTACGACGCCACGCAGATCGACTCGGCATGCGTCAGTACCTGGACGCCCATGCTGCAAATTAAAAACTGCGCAATACGTGGCAGCGTCCAACACAAGATCTTATTTTGCGCGAACCAATCAGCGTCGCCGAATCTTCGATTGACACCTCAAAGATTCGAGGGCGATCGTTTTACGTGCTGCGCAGTTACCATCAAGCAGAAGCCTTGCAGTACACCCAAGAGTTCACCCAAGTCTGCCTTCGTTCGGCCAGATAGATGCCTATGCCGTTGGCTCGTATTACGGACTCGAAGAAACCAGGGAATGACGAAATGGGGTATACAGATATGCAATCATTTGACAAACAGGTATGAAAATGACAAAAAAGTGTAATATTGGATCTTCACGACAAACAACCGAATGCCATTGCTGAATGTAGGTGCGCACGGAGGACCCATCAACGCGTTCTAGTTCGTTGCACCAGTGCCCTTGGGTGGATGCACTTCCGTGCAGGATTGTGGGTAGCTTGCATCAGCACGCGCGAGGTGAGCTTCTCTCGTCAATTGAATATTATATTTGAAAGGTCTTTGCAGTATAGAGTCTCAGAGACCTGGTTCGCTGCGTTTCGAAATCTTTCCTTTGATGGCACGTCGAGGAGCGGCCGCAGTCGCCGTTGCCGGCCTCTGGCTGCATGGAGCCAATGCGATCCTGCCATCAGGCGTACTCTCCCTCTCGCGCTTCGGCGTGAACGCGACGCTGGACATGTTCGTGTCGCCAAGCCACGACACGGGCTGGGGCCCACCGCTGCCGCAGGAACACGACCGCAATGGCTCGCGGCGACACGTCTTGGCCGACGCCGGTGACGCGTGCAGCGCCCTCTCACGCGCGCTCTACATCGACAAGCTCGTGGTGGCACACCGGGGCAACTGCTCGTTCCTGGAGAAGGCCAAGATTGCCCAGAGCGCCGGGGCCGCAGGACTCATCATCCGCAACACGCGCGAGGCCGTGTACCTTCTCGACCGTAATCGCACGACGCCAGCCGGCAACCTCTCGAGTGACGCGCCTATGCCGTCGTTTGCGACCGATTGCTCGCGCGGCGAAGGCTACGTTCCGTCGCTCGACCCGGACGCGCCATGGCTCGTGCAAAGCGATGTCTGCACGCATCATCCCAGCTGCGCGTCCCGCATCTGTCTCCCGACCGGGCACCGAAACGCATCGTCGTATCAAGTGTGCTGCATGTGGGACACGCACTTGCTCATGGGCGCCAACTACACGGACGCCGACGCCGCGCACTTGCAGCTGCCCATCGTCTTTGCCACTGTCGCGCAAGGCGAGACACTCTCTGCACTCCTCGCGACATCGCCGTCCCCGGCCGGAACGGTCTACGCGCGGTACAGCCCATTCTTTAATCTAGCTTCGGTCGCGCTCTGGGCGATCGGAGTGGCCACCGCGATCGGCGGGTCCTACTACGCGGCCAGTGCCGACCGCGCGCGCCTCCGCCAGCACAAGCCCCACGCCGACCCGACGCGCAAGGCGTACGACGACGACGACGATGACGACGAAGCCGACGTGCTCCATCTCTCGTTCCAGCACGCGATTGGCTTTATCGTTGTCGCCGGCTGCTTTCTCACCTTTCTGTACTTTGTGCACGTCGGACCACTGTTGTCGATCTTCTTTGGGATTTCATCCATTAGCACGACGACGCTGCTGGTGACGCTGCCAATGGCTAAGCGTCTCTGCCCGTGCATGTCGTCCTGGCATCTTCGCGTGCCCATGGTCGGGACCATCACGATCCACGAGGTTCTCGCCTTGAGCGTGAGCTCCAGCCTCGTACTGGCGTGGTTTCTGTACCGCGATGCGCTCTGGAGTCTCCAAGACCTCTTTGGCATCGCGCTCTGCTGCGTCTTTCTCAAGACAATCCGACTTCCGAACCTCAAGATTGGCGCGCTCCTCCTTGTCCTCGCGTTCGCCTACGACATTTTCTTCGTGTTTGTGAGCCCGCTCCTCTTTGGGCGCAGCGTCATGGTCGACGTGGCCACCGGTGGCCCGCCCGCGGCCGCCCGCAACGGGTACCCCGGGCGCGACTATTGCGAGCGGTACCCGACGTACCCGCGCTGCGTCGACCCCGACCCGCTCCCGATGCTGCTCGTCTTCCCGCGCATTGGCGACTGGCGCGATGGCCGCGCGATGCTCGGCCTCGGCGACATTGTGCTCCCGGGGCTGCTCCTCACGTTCACCCTGCGCTTCGACTATACGCGCCGCGTGCACTTGAAGCGCACGGCTAACAGCGCGAACGTCTTCTTCAGCATCGCCGCCATAGGGTATGCAGTCGGGCTCGGCATCACCAACGTTGCGGTTGTGCTCATGAACATGGGCCAGCCCGCACTGCTGTACCTCGTGCCATGCACGCTCGGCAGCGTCGCCGCCGCGGCGCATGCCACCGGCGACCTCCCGCGCATGTGGCACGACGGCTTGTATGAGGTCGAGCCCATGGCGCCGATCGTGGGCGGGTCACCCGTCGACTACGAAGCGGGCGACGAGGCGCCGCTCCTCGACGACGCGTAGTACGGCTGCCTGCGATATATGAATGCATCTACCTTTGTGATCCATGGGCTTGACAATGTGCTTGGCGCTTGGTCGCAAATCTTTTGCGTGGAAAACCCATCGTATTTTAGCCAATCAAACGGCGCGGATAGCCACACGGGTGGATCAGGTGTTTACCTCATCCGACGCCATGAAGCAGAAGCTACCGTACGTCGGCGCCGGCCTTGGCACCGTACTCTGCGGCGCCGCTGCCGCCGCCTGCGTCTACTCGCTCGTGACGATCCGCGCGCGGCCCAAGAAGCTGCTTACCGAGAGCGGCAGCCCGCAGGTGCCCGTGGGCCTCTTGCGCCTGAGCCACCCCGGCGACGACTTTTTGCACCTCTTGCGCAACGACGTGCTCCTCGAGAAGACGATCGACCGCGTGAGCTCGCGCCTCCTCATCTACGTCGAGACGCCATTAGACATGGCGACGTCGGCGCGGCTTCAGTTCCTCAGCGACCTCTACAACACGGTGTGGGACCTTGCATGCTACGTCGGCAAGTACGAACTCGACATTCGCCTCGTGGCCAGCCACGACCGGTCCTGGGACGAGCTACTCGCAACGCCCGAGGTCGCCGGCGTCTTTGGCTACTTTGGCATGGACGTATCGGAGCTCAACGCGCAGCGGAAAGCGCACTTGCCCCGCGTCGTCTTCTATCCGCTCAAGACGTACGTCGAACGCCTCGTGGACCCCGCGCAGTTTGTCTACCTCGAAGATCCGTCGACGGCGCTGGCGAAGGAAGCGGTTGTTGTCGTCGGCGGGACCTTTGACCACCTCCACAACGGCCACAAGAAGCTGCTGTCGCTCGCAGCCGCGGTCACGTCGTCGCTGCTCATCGTCGGCGTCACGGCACCTCACATGCTCGAGAAGAAAAGCTCGGATACCTCATCCAGCCGCTCGATATGCGCAAGCGCAAGGTCGCCGAGTACCTCGCATGCATCCAGCCGTCGCTGCAAGCCGACGTCATGACGATCGACGATCCGTTTGGGCCCGCGATTTCGTCGCCGCAGATCACTGGCATCGTCGTCTCGACCGAGACCGTCCCGGGCGCGGTCAAGATCAACGAGATTCGCGCCGAGCGCGGCCTCAGTCCGCTCCAGATCTACGTGTGTCGGCGGACCGAGTGCAGCACGCTCAGCTCGTCCTTCATCCGAGAGCAGATTGCCCGGCGATAAGTCAAGCGTCGTTTTTGTTTGTTAATTGGTCGAGCGCCTTGAATCCATGACCTCTTTTTGCGATATGGCATGTCCGATACGTTGTCGTTGAGAGGTCCCATGTGCGAGGGTCGCTCCCTAACACGCCCCAGTACGATAGACCTGATGTCCCCATGTGATGTCCCCGACGAAGCAGCTTATGATCGGTACCGCTCAGGTCGTGATAAGTTGCGGCGAGGCTGTGGCAGGAAACACACAGCCGTTTGTTGCTGTGCACCTTGCGAGACAAGTCAAGCGAGTCAATTGACGCACGCGTCGTTGAGCTCCGGTCAAGCGGATCCGAGCGAGTTGCTCATGACGGGCCACGAACGCAGTCGCTTCACAAGCCGCTCTCAGTTCGGCCTCAGCTACTTTTAAACTCGTCCTTTATTGCGACGTCGCGTTCGACTGGTCCAGAATCTCCTTGGCGGAGTGATCTGCGTCGCCATCTTGCTGACTGATCGCGGTGGCGACCTCCAACGCGCTCGACGTAGCAGCATCCCATGCCACCTGGCGAGACCTTTAGGATTGCAAGATATGCCTGGAATGCCTTGGTTTCATTGCCCACCTCGCTGAGAACCGTCTGGGAGATGGTGAATCATGGTGTGTTGTCCAACTACCCAGCATCCGTGCTGCTACTTGGTGTTGCAAGGCTTGTTGCCGCGGTGCGCTCTGAGCCCATACCCATGCACATACGAGGTGGAGGAAGGCATGCCCGAGCTGCTTCGTATGTTTCTCTCGCAAGAACCCAGCATATAGCACTGCACCTAGAACATGGTCTTGCAGCCATTCAGTGCGAGTGTTTCGCGCTGTATGGGCTGAGACCACAGAGGTGTGGACGTTAGAGCTCGACATACCAACTGCTCGCAAGGCGTCGCCTTCATGAGACTGTGGTATATGAAAGGACTTGTATTACGCTCATACCTATGGATGCTGCGAATTAGCTGGCAGCGATGCTGTCTTGGGCATAAGGAGCGCCATGATGTCCTCGTCCGACAAGTTCTTGCCCCACGATGGCGCCGGCAGCGAAAGTTGCTGCATGGCCTGTTGAATCGTCGCCACATCGTTGGCCGTCATCTTCTCTGGCTCGCGGCTGTTGGTCACAGGAGCCGCCACTGCTTCACGCGCCTCGTTGTCTTCGTCGTCGCTGTCGGCCATGAGCGGCTCGTAGCCCATCGGTGCCCCTTCGTCTTCCGAGTCGGATCCCAGCATCTGGTGTTCGTTGCCGTGGAAGCATGCGTCTCCATCCTCCTTCTCCGCTTCCATCATGTCGCTGAAGTCCATGGCCGGAATCGGTCGCTGGCTCGCGATGGCCGCGTACTCGCGCTCGAGCGCGTCCAGGGCCGCGCAGCTCTCGGCCATTTTGAAATCTTTGTCTCTGGCGTCGCTATCCGGAACTCTCCTTATTATCCGTACTAGATGGTCATTGGCTAAGGAACGGAGGTATTTGCCACGCTGTGCAAAATGTGTGAAATATGTGTGGTATTTAACGGTTTGTGAGAAGCAGGGTGTGAAAAATGGTGTGTAATGTGTGTGTGCTTGGCATGAAAAATGTGGGAAACGCATTTCTCACAGAGCGACGGCGATGGCATCGCACTACGATCTGCTTGGCGTCGCGACCGACTGCAGCCAGGACGAGATCAAGCAAGCGTATCATGCTGCGATCCTCATGAGCCATCCCGACAAGCAGAAGGCTGCGGACGACGTCTCGTCCTTGGACTTTCAGCAGGTGCATGCTGCGTACCAGGCGCTGCGGTCGGCCGAGACCCGGCGCGCGTACGACCTGTCGCTGCAAGGTATTACCGTCGACCACAATGGTATCGCCACGCGTTGCCGACATAGAGGCCAAGCTGCGCGACGAGAAGCGCATTTCCGACGAGGTTGATCTGGACGACATGACGTTTGATGAGGAGAGTGGATGCTATGCCCATGCCTGCCGCTGCGGCGAGCACTACTATGTATGGCCGTGCAAAAAGAGTGTATCATGCAATCCTCCTGCGTAGATCAGCGTCGACGAGCTCGAGGACGGGACCGACGTCGTTCCTTGCGACGGCTGCTCGCTGAACATTCGCGTCCTGTACGGGATCGAGTAGAGAGTAGACATGACAGCCCTTGGTCAAATAGTATGTATTCCTAGCGCGTGTCGTTTATCATGGAAAGAGCTCGTCAAAAGCCTTGTGTTCTGGCGACGCGAGGGACGACGATGCGCTTAGTACTCCTTGCCCTTGGGGGGACCCACGGACGGGTAGCGCAGCGGCGTCTGGATGCCGTCGAGGAGCACGAGGCCGACGTAGACGCAGAAGAGGAAGAAAAAGCCCACAAAGATGGCCGAGAGGATCGTGGGCGTCATGTTGACGTAGTGCGAAAAGCAGAACGGCACGCTGCCCGCCGTGCTCAAGATGTAGCCTTCGGGGCACACCAGCGGCGTCACGACGGCGGCCGCCGCGAGCAGGTTGCGGTGGAACGTCGCAAACACGTCGTGCGCCGCCGACGCCTTGTCGCCCGTCAACGCAAAGTAGACGCTGTTGCCCGTCGCCTTCTGGAAGAGACCCGTCGCCTGCTGGATCAAGGTGTCGAGCTCGGCCCACGAGTGCGTGTTGCTCGCCTTGATGATGACGACGTCCGTGCCAGACGCCCCAAGCGTCGTCGACTGAAGGAACGCCTACAACGATGCGCATTGAGTCACCATGACGGCCCGACAGAAGAGCAAACCTCGACGTTTTCAATCGTTGTCTCGTGCGTGGCCTTGACTTGGCGGGTCAACGCATCGTCGGCATCGCCGCGCGTCGTGTGGGGGTAGGCCACGCTCGACTTGGCGTCACGGACGAGCGACTCAAAAGCAGCGCCTTGAAAGTGCTCGAGCTCGTCCAAGCGGAGCGAGTCGCGTACAAAGATGGCGATCGCCTTGGGAGCCAAGTACATGACTTCGTAGGGCGTGTGCGCGCTCTAGAGCCAGCTAAGTCCCATCGCCCTACATAGCACTCGAGCATCTTACCAAGGCGTCGCTGCTGGCGCTGCCTTGGATCGTGGCGATCGTGCTCGCGATCTGGATCGTCGTGTACGGCGCGTCGGCCTTCTCGGCGAAAAGGTCCGACGTCGGCTGCTCAAAGATGCTACGGGTCGCCATATTGGCATGAGACCCACCGTTCGGACGATGGCAGGAAGCGCGTACCCATTCTGCGACCAGAAGACAAGGGGGACGTAGGTGGAAGGATCCACAGAGGCCGCGACAGACGCGGCCGCAAGCGCCAAGACTCCGCCAAGGGTGAACCGCATGATGCTACCTCTTCTCTTCTTGGACGATAAACTCAAGACGCCCGAAACGAACACCCACCCTTGGGCGGCCAAATACGAGGTTATTAATATTGTCCACCAACCTCCGAAGCATACTTTAGTGCAGTCTATTCATCAAATGGGTGCTCGAAAAGTAAAATAAATCGACCTGTGGAGGCGGCAAGACACACTATTTACGAATTTGCAGGGGAAACGCACACGAGGCACACTATTTACCACAACTGACTGCAACCCTACCCTACAGAAACCCTTCAAACTCGATACGATAACACCCTGCGCCGTGGTCCAAGCAACGCCTGCTCGCATCGGTGTGTCATGTCGACATGGGCTTTTATGTCTTTGCTGTAGATGAAAGAAATGCACCTACAATGTACTATACGTGTACTGTTCATGCTGGCAATGTGAGCAGAATAATCGCTTGTCAAATATAGTTGTTTCAAAAATTGAGATATTCAGATATTGAAAATTGCCACGCTCGTGCAGACAACCTGGTTTCTACCAACAGATACAGAACCAAAGCGGACTTCTTATCAGCGACAACACTCCCCTGCGTCGTCGTGGGGTCGAGGAGCTTTGCATTGTGGATCAAGAAAGCGGTCTCCAACAATGCAGTAGTAGTTGCGTGCTCGTATCCAAATATATTGTACCTGTCTATATTGATATACTGTCAAGTATGAGAGGTGCAGCTGGCCTCACTATCGCCATATAATAATAATTTGAAAATCAAAAGAGCGAAATATTTCTGCGTGACAAACATTCAGCGGCGGATGTTGGACACATGTCCGTATTTAATTGCATACAAATCGCAAGATCAAAGAGGTCGTTTTATCCGACGCCGAGGCCAGCGCACGCAATCCATTTGGAGATTTCAGAGACGTAGGCAGCATGGGCAACCTCGGCGCCAAGCCAAAGACGCTCAAGGAGCAGCTCCGCGAGAACAAGCGCGAGATCAACCGCGCGATCCGCGACCTCGACCGCGAGCGCACGAACCTCCAGATGGCAGAGAAGAAGCTCATCATTGAGATCAAGAAGATGGCCAAGGAGAACCAAATCGCATCCGTGAAGATCATGGCCAAGGACCTCGTGCGCACACGCCAGCACATCACTAAGTTCTACACGATGCGGTCGCAGCTGCAAGCCGTGTCGCTGCGCATGGAGACAGCCAAGTCGGCCGAGGCCATGACGTCGGCGCTCCAAAACACGACCAAGGTCATGAAGTCGATGGCCAAGACGATGAACCTGCCCAAGCTCAACAAGATCATGATGGAGTACACGCAAGAGAGCGAGAAGATGGAGATGCAGCAAGAGATGCTCGGCGACACGATCGACGATGTTATGGACGCTGACCAGGACGAAGAGGAAGAAGACAAGATCGTGTCGCAAGTCCTCGACGAAATTGGCATCGACATGTCGGGCGCGCTCCTCGAAGCGCCGTCGGTGCAAGTCGCTCCGACGGCGGCGCCTGTAACGGCGTCTGCGAGTTCTCTTCCGCCGGCCCCTGTTGCGGCCGCAGAAGGTGGCGGCGACACCGCCGTGAGCGAGCTCGAGGCTCGCTTGAACAACCTTCGGCGATCGTAAACGTAGATTAGTGCTAATTAATGCAGAGTGAAAGGACACTCCATCTCGACTTCAAACAGCTCATATTTCCAGGAGAATGCAGCACTGAACTCCGGCGTACTACATGAAGGCCATGACGTTAGGCCATGTCCGGGATGATGAGGAGGTTCTTCGGAATCAAGTTGAATTGGATCGAAAAGTGCACAAAGCGGTGGCAGAGGTAGGATGTTTGCTCAAAGTGCTGGAACGCGTCTTGGTGGTGGAAATACGTGTGCGAGAAGATCCGGTACAGCCGTCGGGCGACGCTCTGAAAGTACTGCGTCGCGTCGCGCGTGATGCTGACGCGGGACGGGAAGATGCGCGACGATGTGAGCAGCTGGTTCGCGTTGTCGAGCGTGTGCACAATGTAGTCGAATGCGCAGCACTCCTTCGGTGTCTTGTGGGCCGCACAGAGAAAGACCCAGTCGTCCGTGGCCTTCATGATCGTACACGACGCGTTCGTGCACTCGCCGTCGAGGAGCGCGACGAGTATGTTGAGCTCCTTCACGACCTGCCGGAGGTGCTCGTACTGCCAGATGTACATGTCGGTATCCTCGGGCACGTCGTAGATCTTCTTGAGCGCACGCGGGTTGGCCCGGATCTCGCGCTGGATGCGCTGCTCGACCTGGAACGGACCGTTGAAGACGTTGGCGTCGCTGTCGCCCCACTGGAAGAAGTCGAGGCCGCGCGTCCCGGGGCAGTTCTTCCCGACGAGCGCGTTCATGTCCTTGTCGCGTGGCAAATAAAGAAATGAAGAAATCCGGCCTGGCGCGGCCTTTTGATTGGCCAAAATGACGCGATTCTTGCCATGCCATTGGTCGAGCGGATCCACTTCGCTTTGCGTTACGTCCGGCGGCTTGAGCTTGGCCGCGCTACATCTACAAGCACTGGGCGCCCGCGGCAAGTGAGCAATGGGAGCGCGGGCGTGACTGCGATGGGTGCTGCGGTAAGGTAGCAAAATGAAACACGTATTATCTTGTTTACTATCGAGGAGCGACGGCGAGCTAACGACCAAAGTCCATTCGCACGGCCGTCGCCCGCTTTCATATTGCGGCGGAATGGAGGGAGGAGCATAATGATAGGCGTGGTTGCGCTTACGCGTCACGCTCCAAGTACTCCTGGTCGAAATGATGTATTCTGACGTAGCCGTCCTCGGCGCCGCTCGTGTAGCTCTTGCCATCCGGGTGGAACGTGATCGAGTTGATAGGACCGAAGTGGCCCTTGACGCGGCCAAATTCTTCCTCGTACACCTGGTGGAAGAAGCGCGCTTCAAACTTGCCGGCACGGCCCGCCGTGACCGTGACTGTCATGGCCTCCTGACCACCGCCCAAGACGACGTGTTCCTTCGTCGGCGAGATGCTCGCCGAGTTGACAGGGCGATCCGTCTCGTACGTCTTGAGGACCTCGAGCGTCTCCACATCCAAGAGCTTGGCCGTGTTGTCCTTCGACGACGTGATCGCAAGCGTCTTGTCCTTGTTGAAGCTCAAGCTCGTGATCGAGCCGTTGTGAACCTTGTGCTCCGAGATCAAGGCACCCGTCTCCGGGTTGAAGAGCTTCACCATGCCATCTTCGCCGGTCGTCAAGATACCCTCGTTCAACGGCATCCAGTACGCGCCCGTCACGCGGCCCTTGTGGCCGTGCTTGGTGATCGCGAGCTTGGGCTGCGACGACTCTACATCATCGATAGACATCAGCACCAGGTACATGCGCAGGCTCGCGTTCACGTACGCTTCTCGCCGTTCTGCGCAAGGTCGTAGACGAAGACCGTGGCCGGGTTCTCAGCAAACTGATCCGCGACCGAGATGAACTGCTTGTCCCCATGGGCAAAGTTGACGCTACGCGCCGAGCCCGTGTGCGTGAAGCTGAAGAGCTCCTTGCCCGTCTTCAAGTCCCAAAGCTTGACCGTGGCATCAGCAGCGGCCGTAAGGAGGAACTCGGAGTGGTACGAGATATCGCACGCCCAGACCGCACCCTGGTGGCCGTGGAAGGTGCCAATGCGCTCGCCCGTCGACGAGTACCAGAGCGACGGGACGTGGTCCTTGGCGACGGTGACGAGGAGATCGCCCTCGCGGTTGTGCTTGATCATCGTGATCGAGCGCGAGTGGCCCTTGAGCAGGATCGGATGCATGTTGCTGCGCTAAGTAGACACGGGAACAAGTATGGGCGACTTGCGACTAAAACGCCAACTTGACTTGGTTGGTTCAGAGTCCCGTTGCTGCGAAAAATAATGTTTTGCCTTTTTCACGTCTTTTTCACGTGCCAATTGGTATTTTACACGCATGCCCGTATACCAGTACCGCGGTCGAGGCGTGGTAAATGCATTTGCACGTGGTTTTCTGGGACAAGCAGCGATAAAAGTTTCATAAAAATACGGTTTCGCAGGTTATATATTGTCGCAGTATCGGCCTCGTCCTGGCCACGCGCAACATCTTATTTCGGAGCGCGTGACATTTAATGCTACATGATACAAATACCAGGATAATAATTTAAAAAGGACCAATCCACTGGAACAGCCTTAGAACGCTGTGTGGTGCTGACAACGGAATTCCACGATGCAGCGCGGACGCAGCCACGAGCGCCGGGACCGGTCGCGCGACCGCGGACGCAACTACGACAAGCCCCGCGACCGCTCCCGAGACCGGCGAGACCGCTCCGGCGACCGGTCGCGTGCCAATGATCGCTCGCGCGACGACCGCCCACGCGACAATGACCGCCCGCGCGACAATGACCGCCCGCGCGATGGGGACCGCCCGCGCGATAGCCGCTCTGGCGATCGCCCTCGGGACCATGACCGGCCTCGCGATGACCGCGCAGGCGACCGCCCGCGCGAGAACGATAGGCCACGTGAGAGCGAGCGGCCGCGTGACATGGGCAACCACAGCAAATATGGCTCGTCGCGTGATGACAACGGGTACGAAGAAGACGATTACCGACCACCGCAGGAGTCGACGGGGCCGTGGGACTCCAAGGCTGAAGCCGAGAAGGACCCGAACTGGGCTCGCATCTACGTCACGAACTTGCCGGCGGGTACGACGGTCGATGAACTGCAAGAAATCTTTGGCGGTCTCGGGGTCATTGCCAAGGAGAAGCAGAAGCGCGGCTACAAGGACCAATGGGTACTTCTACCGCACCACCTGCGGATGTCAGAGCATCATCGCCGTCGGTCGTGTACGTAGCCCTGGAAGATCAAGATCTACACAAACGACGATGGGTCACCTAAGGGCGATGCTGTCATCACGTACGAAGACAGCAATGCGGCACGGTCGGCGCCCGGCTTCTTCAACGGTATACCTATCTGCTTGGCGCGACAGTGCTCATATGCTGATCCTGCAGGGAGCGACATTCGCGGCAACACGATCACGGTCGAGCTCGCCGGCAAGCCCGAGCCGCCTGTCGGTGGCTGGATGGGTGGTCCCGGTGGTGGTCGCGGCGGCGGTCGTGGCGGTGGCGGCGGTGGTCGGTACGGCGGCGGCGGTGGCGGTGGCGGCAGTCGCTACCGACCGTACTAGTCGTGTCCCGGCACACCTCTCATTACCACGGATGATACGAATAACGCGATGATCCATGTCTCCTATTGAGCCCCTTCTTTGCCGTCTTCGTATGCGCATGGAGGCTTTTGCGCTCGCCACGTCAACGGCTTGGTCACGAGATCGGCAGCATCGGTTGACTGGTTCAAACGTGGATGATTGCAATACCGTTCGAAGCGTATTTTAATACCTGGCCGGATGTAATTTTATAAATAGAATCCGCTTTTTCTGAAAATAGATAGGACGCTGCGTATGTGGCGCGTATAATAATAATTCAAACGACGCTCAAATACGTGCATTTTTCGGTTTAAAATTGGCCACAGAAACCCACGCAGCTTGCGATGCGGAGAGACAGCCGCCGCCGAGACGAGCCGCGTCGCCGAAGCCGCAGCCCGCCACGCCGGTACCATGACCACCACCGCGAGCGACGTGGCAGCAGCCGCGACTACGGAGATCGTCGGCGCGATGCAAGAAGCCGCGATCGCGACTATGGTGGCCGTCGGCGCGAGTACCGCCGCAGTCGCAGCCGCGGCCGCCACGCGGACCAGAACCGCCATACGAACTACGCGCGCCGACAAGAGCGGCGATCGAACTACAGCCCGCGCCGTAGCCGGAGCCACTCGTCGTCGCGCATGACGCATCGCCACTCGCGAAGGATGCCAAAGGGCGGCCGCAGCGCGAGCACGGACCACGGCCACGAAGGTGTGTGCCGCAGCGATAGTCGTGCGTACAAGGAGAAGAAGCGAAACATGAGCGACGACAGCGCAAGCCACGACGACACGATCGGCAGCTACGAAGGCAAGCCAGGTGACTGCATCGACAACCGGTACAAGATCATCAAGGACGCGGGCCTGGGCACGTTTGGTCGCGTCGTGCTCTGCCGAGACCTCGACCACAATGACGAGATTGTTGCACTCAAGGTCGTGCGCAAGGTCGAGCGCTACTCGGACTCGGCCAAGATCGAAGCTGCGATCTTGAAGGACGTCAACGAGCGCGACACGAAGAACACGTCCCTCTGCGTCAAGATGCATCGATGGTGCGACTTCCTGTGCTACTATCTCTTCCTGGTCCGACCATATCGTCGCGTAGGTTTGAGTTTCGCGGCCATGTGGTCCTTGTGTTTGAGACGCTCGGGGGCTCGCTCTACGACTACCTCAAGAAGCACGAGTACAAACCGTTCCCTGTGGCCTCTGTGCGCGCGTACGCCTGGCAGCTCCTCACGTCCTTGGTAGCGCCACGTCCTTCTGTTACGGTGGTTCCTAAGATCCTACTATTGTCTAGTCGTACCTCGAGAGCATTTCACTCATCCACACCGATCTCAAGCCCGAAAACATCTTGCTCTGCGACGACGCCGAAGACCCTGCGTTGGCGTCCATGTCGCCCATGTCGCGCCGCAACCGCCGCTGCATTGTACCCCCGGCGTCGGACCGCGTCAAGCGTAGGCTCTATGCCATGGACGTATCGCATCCATATCTTATGCTATTTCTACGTAGTGATCGACTTTGGCGGTGCGACGTACCAAGACGAAGCCCGGAGCGGCATCATCAACACGCGCCAATATCGGTCGCCCGAAGTCATGCTGGGCCTCGGGTGGAGCTACCCCTCGGACATTTGGTCGGCCGGGTGCATCATCGCCGAGCTCTACTTGGGCGAGCTCCTCTTCTCGACGGTGCGCACGCTCCGTTTGTATCGATCCGCCTCAGTGCTGTACGTAGCACGAGAACCTCGAGCATTTGGCGCTCATCGAGCGCTGCATTGCGCCCTTCCCCAAGGAGATGGTCGAGCGCGCCGAGAAGCAAGCCAAAAAGTACTTTACGTCGACGAGCCACTCGCTGCGCTGGCCCGAGAACGCAGCCTCGCAGGAGAGCATCGACCACGTTCGGAAGATGCGGCCGCTGCGCGAGATCATTGCACCCGAAGACAAGGGCCTCCTCTCGCTCCTCGAAGGCATGCTCACAATGGACCCGGCGCGCCGACTCTCGGCCCGCGACGCACTCCGCCACGACTTCTTCACGGGCATTTCGCTCGACAACTTACATGCGTAAAATGATACGGCTGCTTATAAAGAACTCGCCTTGACAGCATCGGCCATGACGTTTTGGAGATGGTGGACGTCGCGCTCGTGGTGACGCAGCGCAGTCTCGAGACGCCGGAACCGCGCTTCCATTGCGAGGAAGTCGTCGTACTCCTTCTCGAGCATCGCCGAGTCCTTGGCCTGTGTCTTTGCCGTGCTCCGCGTAAAGTCGTACGTGACGACGGCCACCGCGACGGCAAAGATAAAGGCTTCGCCAATGAGCTCGGTGCCCCGCTGCAGCGCCTGGTCGTCCGGCAGGTCCTTGACCCGTATCGAAACCTTGGTCATGCTCGCGACCTGCACGTGCGAGACGACGTTCCACCGGTGGATGCGCTGGCCCAGAGACGTGCACGCAGCCTTGAGGCGCGGGTGCGACTTGCCGAGCGTCTTGAGCTCCGTCGCGATGGGCTTGGTTAAGAACCGGACGAGCATGCCACCGAGTTTCTCCAGCGGAAGCATGACCATGATCGTCGAGGTTCGGCCTAGATATAAATTTATGCTGCGAGGTCGACTGCAACGGAATGCTCGCGTCTCATTGGTTAAAATGAAGCACACTGCATGTGGTAGCAGACTTTGTACACGCCTCCTAAGCCATTACACAGTCCTTTCGCCCGCTTTTGAACGGCATTTGTAAGCATCACATACGTCACCAGAGCACATGTACCTTGCACATATCCGCGCGTGGTGGAGAGATAACGGATGCTTGGCAGACAACGTTGCAAGATGGCCACGGTCGACTACGAGTTGGGTGGTTTTGGACATGGATCTAAGGCCAAATCGGGCTTTGGCGAGCGTCCAAAAGCGCACTTTGTCGAGACGTCGTTCAACCAACCAAATGAACGCAAATAAGATCAACCACCAAGGGTAAGGCCATGGCGGCGCTCGCTTCCTGCCGATGGCTCATGGCGCAGTAGGAATCAACACTCGACGGAGCATGAAGCGTCCTAGCAACAACTCCAAGAAGGGCGGTGCGAAGGCCAAGGGCGCGCCTGCGGCCAAGAAGGCCAAGGTCAACGACGCTGCGTTTGACTGGGGCGAGAACAACATCGCGTCCGATGCCGAAGACTCGGAAGACGACGCGAAGGCGCCGGCCGAGGACGAAGAAGATCCGTACGCCCACGAGACGGCCGACGAGACGCGTGTGCGCCTTGCCAAGGCCTACTTGGGCAAGTTGAAGGACACAATGGACGAAGACGACGGCTCCGACGCCGAGGCCAATGCTCGCGTGTCGTCGCAGCTGGACCTCGACGTCCAGGAGGCGTCCGGGAAGCTCTTCAAGAAAGTCGCCGAGAAGTTTACCGCGTTCGAGTTTGACGAAGAGTCGTCCAAGTACCTCTCGGGGCACAAGGCGCCCGTGTCGGTCGTCGCGGCGGTGGAAGACGGCAAGACGATCTACTCGGCGGCGAAGGACGGCTCGCTTCTCAAGTGGACGCTCTCGGCCGATGGTATCACAAAGGTGCGCATGGAGCTGCCCAAGGCCGAGGACGCCGCCAAGGGCAAGAAGGCCGTGCCGGACCACAAAAAGACGGTCTTGGCGCTCGCCGTGAGCTCGGATGGCAAGTTTGTTGCGTCCGGCGGCGTCGACAAGCTCTTGCATGTCTGGGACAGCGAGACGAGCGCGCTGCTCGAGAGCTTCTCGGGCCATCGCGATGCGATCTCGTCGCTGGCCTTCCGGAAGAAGTCGCACATGCTCTTCTCCGGGTCGTTTGATCGTACGGTTAAGCACTGGAACCTCACGGAAATGGGCTACGTCGAGACGCTCTTTGGGCACCAAACGAAATCACGGGCATCGACTGTCTCCAGAAGGACCGCGTCGTGTCGTGCGGCCGCGACGCGAGCGTCCGCCTCTGGAAGATCCCGGAAGAGACGCAGCTCGTCTTCCACGGCACGGGCTCCATCGACTGCATCGCCATGGTCACGGACGAGTATTACGTGACGGGCGACGACTTGGGTACCTTCATATTGCAATACGAAACCTAAGATATACCGTAGGCGCGGTCGCGCTCTGGTTCAACGGCAAGAAGAAGGCCGCGCACGTCGTCCACGGCGCCCACGGTAAAAAGTGGGTCAGCGCCGTCGCGGTACTGCCGCGCACGGACCTCGTCGCGACAGGGTCGTCGGACGGCTTTGTGCGCCTCTGGCGCGCGAACCTGCAGGCGCGCAAGCTCGAGCTCGTAGCGTCGATTCCCGTGCCGGGCTTTGTCAACTCGCTTTCGTTCCCGAAGGACGGCCGGTACCTCGTCGCCGGCGTCGGGAAGGAGCACCGCCTCGGTCGGTGGGAAGTGCAGAAGCAAGCCAAGAACGGCGTCGTCATCATTGCGCTGCCGTCGCTCGACGACGACGACGACGACGCGTAAGCTCGACACAACCCGTCGTGTTGGATTATGTTACTAGAGAAATAAGAAAGCCTCGCTTTGCATCACCTGTTGAAACCTTATTGCTCTTCATGCTTCTCATCGACTGTCGTAATACCGGCACGGAAGAAGGATCAACCTCTCGCGTAGCCTGCAGAGACACGTCCTGCGAGAGGTGATGGATGACCGAGGCGCCAAGTCGTCGATCGCATTTGGTACTACTAGTACGCTTGTTGGTGTCGCCGCTCGTGCATTGACGAGCAGATTGTTGCGTGCTCGCCGTCGCTGCAGGTTGATACAATGTAGATCGAACTGGTCTTTCGCGTGCGCAAGGAATATAGCTGCATTCGTTTGGTTCTAAGCCCACGCTCGCGTCGTCCACGAGAGGGTTTGACTTGCGGTTGAAGTGGCTTGCGATGCTCGTGGTCTGGTTGGCGTCCGACTGGATTTCGGCGCAATTCGACTCTGCACTGCGGCTACCAGGATGGCATCGATTGGATGCTGGGCTTGGAAAGGCTCGAGGATACACGCACAAGTACGAGACTCCTCTCTGTGTTTATATGGCGCCGTGGCCTTTGACTACATCGGGTTGTCGTCCCAGCACAGCGTCCGCTTGTCGTACGAGAGAGAGAACGACGACTCGCGGTGCACGCGGCTTGTGACGCGGACGTGCGGCGCCTCGTGTATGGTGACGGCCAGCGTCGCCGGGTCCACATGCGGGTGCACGACCTTGGCAACCCGGAACGCGCCGTCGCCGTTGTGTTCGAGAACCACAAACTCGGCGTTGTGAAAGTTCTCGAGCTCTTCGTACTCGGCGATCGTGTACCGAAAGTAGCGCATGAGGAGGATGCGGAGCGTCACGCCGTGCGCGACGAGCACGTAGTTTTGCTCGGCCTTGCGCATGAACATGCGATGGAGCGACTCGAGGAAGGACGAGATGCGGTCGTAGACATCTAATAAGGCACTGTGAGCGCCGTTGGCCATAGTACATGCATGATATCGTAGTACCGGCCGGCGACTCGCCGCTCGGGAAGCGATAAAAGAAGCCGCCAAACTTGCGGCGCTGGATTTTGCATTCGCGGATCTGGTCCGGGTTCTGGAAGTTGCCAAAGTCCTGCTCCCGGATCCGCGGCTCCTCGGTCCACGGAATGCGCGCCGCGGCTTCGCCCCACGCCGCCATGATCTCTTCAAAGGTCTCGATCGTGCGCGTACATGGCGACACGATGCAGCGCTAATGCCGGTGAGAGACGATGATCGTTGGCGTGGGTCGTACCATGGACTCGTCGCCGATGATGGCCTTGATGGCCTCGCCCGCGGCCCGCGCCTGACGCTTCCCGAGGTCGGTCAATGGCATCGCGTTGTCGGGCACGTCGCGGTACAGCACCGGGTTGACGTTGCCTTCGCTCTGGCCATGGCGCACGAGGATGATGCGGTGGGGCAGCTTCTTGCGGTTGCGGCTGCGTGTGCATCTTCGCGAGCTCCAGATGCGCGTGACGAGGAGCGTGATCGCGACGGACGCGGCGACAAGAGCGACGTCCTTGGCGGTCATGGCACACAATTAAATACGCGCAACCCGTCGGCTCCATACAAACGCACAAAGAACCGACGGCAGGTTTCGTATTTTAATACCGCCATGTGGGCGCCAGTCGAGCTGGTTCGGAAGATGCAAGGCGTCGTGGTAGGTTGACGCTGGCGCTATGCACATCACGAATCTGAACCCCGGCAAACGTCACAAGAAGACATGGGAAATCTATGTCAAGCAGAGGACATTGGCATCGAGGCTGCAGGGACATGCAACGTTCAAGTCGAGGACAACAGGATGTAATACGTAAATACCGCGAGCTTTTATGCAAGAGTCCACATCGCGGCAACCATGCCTCGCGCCTGCGTACCGGTATTCCCAAGGGGCTAGAAACAGTTTACGGACCCTTGGTATTCCTCATCCTCTCTCTCTCCCTGCATTTTTGACAATGGCGGCAGAACCGACCCTTGTGCTCACGGCGGCTTGTCCAATCGCAGCATGCAGTGGTTCGTTGGCAGTGACCTGAAGTGCTTTTGCATGGGCCTGCATCAACGGCAAACGCATCGCTTGAAGCGTAGTACGAGTTGAGAACGACATTCTTGCTCTTGGGTTACTTGACTGGTCGATCGATCGAGCTCTCATTCAGCACACAATGAATGTACTGCGACGATGATCCAGCCCCTTAGAGCTTGGACGCCAAAGGCTTTTGGAGGGCACGCGCGGCCTTGGAGCTTGTCGGGCGGTCGAGCACCGTTGAGATGAAGCTACCGGCCTCCATGACCTTGGCGAGGTCGACGCCCGTTTCGATGCCCAGACCATGCAGCATGTACACGACGTCTTCGGTCGCCACGTTGCCGGACGCGCCTTTCGCGTACGGGCATCCGCCGAGGCCCGCGACGGCGCTGTCGACGACGCTCACGCCTTCCTACGACCGCATGTCGTTGAGATGATGGAATCCAGAGAACGGAGACGAAGCGAACCTGAAGCGCCACCAAAATGTTGGCCAGCGCCTGGCCGTACGTGTCGTGGAAGTGCACGGCGAGCTGATCCACGGGCACGACCTCCTTCGTCGCCCGGAGCATCTCCAAGGTCGAGCCCGGCGTGCCAATGCCAATGGTGTCGCCAAGCGAGATCTCGTAGCAGCCCATGTCGAGCAAGGTCTTGGCAACCTTGGCAACGACCGCCGGGTCGATCGGACCTTCGTACGGGCAGCCGAGGACGCACGAGACGTAGCCACGGACACGGATACCGAGCGACTTGGCCTTCTCGCACACGGGCTGGAAGCGCTCGAGGCTTTCTTCAATCGAGCAGTTGATGTTCTTGCGGCTAAACGACTCGGACGCGGCGCCAAAGATCGCGACCTCCTGCGCGTGAACCTTGACGGCAGCATCGAAACCCTACACCTCCAATAAGACCTGATACGATATCTCGTCATCCTCGTCGCACCATGAGGTTCGGGGTCAAGACAGGGTAGAAGACGCCTTCCTTGCGCTTGATCTGCTGCATCACATCCGAGTTGTCGCCCATCTACATGGTGCCGTCGCCGAGAGCTCGTCGCTGCAGCTTGCATACCTGAGGTACCCACTTGGGCGAGACAAACGACGTGGCTTCGACCACGGGCAGACCCGCATCCGAGAGCATGTTGATGAGCGTCACCTTGTCCGCCGTCGAGACGACGGTCTTCTCGTTCTGGATAAGAACGTGAGCCTTATGCCAGACAAATGCCATTGCGTACTTGGAGGCCATCGCGCGGACCGACTTCAACGATCTTGACGTAGCTCGGGTAGCTCACGGAGCGCGTCGAGAGCGCGCGGCTTCCTCGGGCAAGGCGGGTGAGCATCCTGCACCAGATGAAAGGCCTCGAAGTGTGGGGCGCGAGTGGGCGTTCGAGCACTTGAAGTTCGTGCTTGAAGTACCACGCTGCGCTTATCCGGATAATCAACCGGACGGTGGCGACGCCTTTCGGTACCGTGCATCCATGACGACGTGTGCGTATCGGAGCTGGCGCCCGAAACCTCGAGGTGGCATCAGCTTTGGACCACGCTCGCAAGAACGCTCCATCGTGGCTACGCAGGGGATCCGCCACGTCCAAGGGAGGGAGGTGAAGTGAGTCAGCGGTTGCAGTAGTAAAATCGTCGTTCTCGTTGCGCCTGCTTTAATGCGAGGCGCGATCAGTACAGCGTCCATCTCGACGTCGGGACATGCCTTGGGAAATGGTGCAATCCAGGACCGCCACGTCACGATCCCAGCAGTGTTGTGTGGTGAACCTGAACCGCGCGCACTCGGCGCGTTCTCTCACACTTGATATATTCCATTCCAAAGGAGGAAGTTTCCAGAGCGCCCTTTCCAGGGTACAACTGGGTGAAGCAGCGACGCGACAGGGCGGACGAATCCATGCTCTCTCCACTGCGCGCTGTAGCAAAGACGAGAGACGTGGAGCATCATGGCCACTTGAATCCTGATCCGGATACCAATCACCGAGACGCAGTCGAGATTGCACTTGCACTATTCGATTTTCAGATCCCCACACAGCACGATGGAAGATCGGATTGGACTCGACGCCTTTGAGAGTGTCGACTGCTCCAAGTACCTCCACCCGTCCTGCGACGAATACGCGTTTTGGGTCTGCATCGGGACCATTGTCGGTATGCTTCTTGTCTCGGCCGTCATGGCCGGCATGCTCATGGGCTACCTCTCTATCGACAAGCTCAACATCTTGATCCTGACAATGGAAGGCTCGGACATTGAGAAGGCTCAAGCCAAGAGGATACTACCGATCATCAACCAAAGCCACAATGTCCTCGTCTCGGTCTTGCTCGTCAACGCCGGGGCGCTTGAGGCGCTTCCGATTTGGCTCAACCGCGTCGTGCCCGAGACCACCGCAATCCTCATCTCGGTCACCTTTGTGCTCCTCTTTGGCGAAATTCTCCCGTCGGCCATCTTTACAGGCACGTACCAGCTTGCGATCGCGTCGGCGCTCGCACCGCTCTGCCGGCTCGTCATGCTGCTCATGAGCCCAATCGCATGGCCCATCGCGCGCGTTCTCGACGTGCTCATTGGCGAAGGCAACGACGTGACGCGCTACAAGCGCAAGGAGCTCAAGGCGCTCATTCGCCTCCAGCAATCGCTACCGCAAGCGTTGGAGCTGGCCGAGAGCCTCCCGATCACCAACCCCACGTCGCCAGCGTCGTCGTCGGCGTCCGTCTCGCCGGGGACGTGCACGGACCTGCATAAAGAAGAGGTTGCGATCATTCACGGTGCGCTCGATATGTCCAACAAGACGGTTCATGACATTGCGACGCCGTTCGAGGACGTCTTTATGCTGGACTGGGAAGCGCAGCTAGACTCGGAGCTCATGGTTGACATCCTCGCGTGCGGCTACTCTCGGATCCCTGTCTACCGCGGCCACCGCGCCAACGTCGTCGGGCTCCTTCTCGTCAAGCGGCTCATCGTGATCGATTCGGACGTCAAGAAACCGATCAAGAACCTCACGCTGCGCAAGCCGCTCGTGGTCTCGCCCGACCTCGGCTGCTACGCGATGCTCAACCAGTTTCAGCGCGGCAAAGGCCACTTCGCGCTCGTGACGGAGCAAGGGCCTTACATGGAGGCGTGCTGGAAAGCCGGCATCGACGTCGACCCGACGCAAGCGACCATCTTGGGCATCGTCACGATCGAAAACATTCTTGAGGAGCTACTCCAGGAAGAAATCCAAGACGAGACCGACGTAGTCGACTCGTGCACGGGCCACGGCAACTCGGAGCGCCGCCGGGCACGCCTGCGTGAGGCCGGCATGATTCGCGCGGCCAAGGTCTTCAAGGCCCTCGCGGCGCGCGCCCGTCGCCGCCTCCGCCTTCGCCCGCAAACGCGCCGAAGCGCGTCGCAGATTGCGCACGAAGCCACGCCGCTCTTGACGCCACGGACGACCGAGCTCTAAGCCACGTCGACGTGTAATCCAACACTGCTGCTATTATATCTCGCGTGTCCTAGACGCATGCAAGGGGTTATCATTGGATCGTGACGACACGGAGTAGGTATTCTCCCGAGTCAGCGTAGTGCAGAGCATGTAAAGGATGGCGGCGCTTGCCTTCGCGCGGCCGTCGTCAGTATGTATCCACAACTGCGAGTCCGAACGTGAGGAATCTAATGGCAGCATCAGTCGAGTGATAGAAGTACTGACTGGGTTCGATCCCCGGTGGTGTCGCTTCGGTTCGATTCGACGCGGGTGCGGTTGCAAGTCGGCGAAGTTTCTACTTGGGCATTAGCTGCGTCGAGTCCGTCGCACCCGGCAAAGGATGTTGCTCTCGTAGGGGGGTAATGCAAAGGACGCTGTGGGAGGGGTCATCTTTTATATCATCTCTTGTCATCAACATCAAACCTACCTTCCGAAAGCGCTCCATCAGGGATAGACTAAGAACTTACTCGACACTTGTTGCGATCTTCGGCCTGTCTAGCATAACCGGATCCAACAGAGCATCCGGATAGCGTCCCGAGTTAGCGAGTTCGCGTGGATTCATTTTCAAAACAACTTGGCGGCTGAAGCATGTTCACGGGCATCATTGAAGAGATTGGGACGTGCGTCGCCCTCATCGAGAAGCATGACATGGTCATGTGGGATGGCACGATCTCCAACGGCGTCGAGCTCGTCGTGCACGCCAAGGTGGCCTTTGAAGGCGCCTACATTGGCTGCTCGATCGCGATCAACGGCACGTGCCTGACCGTCACGGCCATGGACGAAGCCGCGGGCCACCTCAGCTTTGGCGTCGCGCCCGAGTCGTACGATCATATCGCCGTGCTACAAAGCTCATGGCCCATATAGGTTGCGCAAGACGAACCTCAAGAACCTCAAGGCCGGCGACAAGGTCAACGTCGAGCGGGCCATGGGCGCCCACGACCGCAACAGTGGCCACTTTGTCCAAGGCCACGTTGACGGCACGGGCGACATCCTTGTACAAACATGCTTGCTTGCTTCCAAGTGTCTCATGCATGCGACAGGAGATGACGCGCGAAGGCGAGTCGCTCTGGGTCAAGATCAAGGTTGGTGCGCTCGAGATGTTGTCGCAGATGCAAATGTGTGCTTGCAGGTCGACCGTGCGCTTCTCAGCTACATCATCCCCAAGGGCTTCATTGCCATCGATGGCACGAGCCTTACCGTGTGCGAAGTACGTAGCGATTCTCTATGCTTTCGACTCAGCGATCCCACCATGGAGGTGGATACCGTCGCCGGCTGGTTCAACGTCATGCTCATCACGCACACGCAAGCCAGCATCACGCTGCCGACAAAGAAGATTGGCGACCCCGTCAACCTCGAGGTAATACATCCTTTTCCAGACGCCGATGCATATTCAGGCGCTACTAGGGCGACGTCATGGGCAAGTACGCGGCCAAGTCGACGGGCGCGCTCTTGGATCGCCTCGAGACGCTCGAGCAGGCGCAGACCAAGTCGCTTTTGGCGGCCGCGATCATCGGTGGCGCCATTGGCGCGTGCGTCGCGCTGATCGCAGCGCAGCGCTAAAAGCTAGTGGTATATTACAACATGACCAGCAACTCCTCATCGAATCGTCGTCGGTCAATGCGGCAGCGGCGGTAGCCTTGACTCGTCGTCGTCGTGCACGGCGTCGACGGCGCTGCCGTACGCTTTGCACGTGAAGCTGTTTTGGAGCTTCGGGAGCGGTCCTTGCTTGGTCGGGGACCCGTCGTCGATGGCTTTTTTCCCGCTGAGCGCCGACTTGTACGGCGCCTTGCGCTTCACCATAAGCATCGCCCCTTGGTTCTTCTTGTTCATGGTCGCCAAATCGTCCTTTCGCTTGGTCGTGCTCGTTAGCATCGGCTTCTTCTTGCCCGCTTGCAGGGACGGTGCGGCCTTGGTCTTCGGGGCCGGCTCCAGCGGCGGCTTTGGTCGCTTGACACTTGCCTTCTTGGCGTCTTCTACACAATGTGCAATGAGGATGCGAGTAGGAGAGAACGTCGTACTCGCGTCGTCGTCGAGCGACGACGCCCCGAGGTAGCTCTCGAGGGACATGCCTTCAATGTTGGCGCCGTCGTCTTTCTTTGGTTTCTTTGGCTTTTCCTTCTTGGGCGCGCCCGTGAGGTAGTCGCTGAGCGAGAGGCCAGCGACCGCGTTCGAAGCGGCCGGCTCGGTCTCGGTCTCGTAGTCGTCTTCGTACATTTCGTCGGGCGGGTCGTCGTCGTCGTGCATGGCGCAGATCGGGATCTTCTCGTCCGCGTCGTCGGCGTTGGCATCGTCGTCGTCGAGGCGGGTCATGACCATGGCGTTGTCGGCGGGCTTGGTCTTCTCGAGGAGCTCGGACGTCTCCTTCATGGCCTCGACGCTATAGTCCTTCTTGCTGTTAAAGTACGCGTCCAGCGAGAGCCCTTCGCCCTGGTTGACATCGGTCGTCGCCGCGTCGTCGGCCTTGGCCTTGGTCTTCTTCCGGAGCCCCATCTCGCGCGATGTGTGGGGCGGATCAAAATAAAGAGGTCGGTGAAACTTCCCATATATTCTTCTCCTCTTGATCTCAACGACTCGCAACTCGTAGTACTATTACTGTCTAGCCAAAGAGCACGCGCTTAAAGTACTCGCCAAACTGCTGGCCGCCCACGTCGTCTTGGCCCTTGATGACCGCGTGCAGCACCATCGGGCCCTTCTCGACCACCGTCTCGGCGAGGTAGTACTTCCCCAGAGTGTCTTGGGCGTAAAAGAAAAACTTGTACTGCGGCCCGACGTCGCCAGCCGCCATCGTCAGGATACCATGGCCGCCAAACGCGCGTTCAATGTCGGCCTGGGCCGGGATGCCTGGCATCTGGAGCTGCACCTGCGCCACGACGCGGAGGGTGCCCCAGAGCTGCTGGAAGGTACCCGCGTCCATCGTCGGCGTCGGCAGCAGCTGGAAGGGCGCCGGCGCCGGGGCGGCGGCGGCTGGTGCGCCAAAGTCGAGCATGCCGAGCAGATCAACAGTCGCCGACTGCTGGCCGCGCGGCTGGGGCGGCGACATCATGGGCGCTTGCTGCTGCTGCGTCGGCGGCGCGTCTTCGTCCGAGTAGCCGCCTTGGTCGTCGTGCTCGTCGTCGTCGTCGTCGTCGTGCGCGTGGGCCGTCGCGACAATCAAATGCGACGGCGCCACAAACGTTTCGCTCGGCTTGTTGTAGACGACGGCGAGCGTGTTGAACTCCTTGAACAGCTTTTCCTGGAGGTCCGTCTCGACCATCTCGGCAAAGACCTCGACGATTTCGGGCTGGAATTGGCGCACGATCGTCGCCGCCGAGTTGACGTCCTGCGAGAGGAGGCGGTAGTAAAAGAGCGCGCGGTCACGCACGTCTTGGTTGGTCGTGTCGTTGACGCCAGCGTGCAAGAGGCGGCCCAGCATCGACTGCATCTCCGGCGGGCGCTTGAAGAAGAGCTTGAGCGACGCGGCGAGGAGCTCGAGGAGCACGGCCGGCGACGGCTCGTCGCTGTAGCTGTCAATGAGCTTCTCGAGCACATATGGGGCGCGGCGGAGGTCTTGGCCAAACTCGCCGAGCATCCAGATGACCGCGCACTTGGCGGCCGCGTCGTCGACCTTGGGGATGATGCGCGGGAGCACATCGAGGACGTCGTGGACCTTGTGCGGAAACTTGCGCAGGAGGTCCTTCATCACGACGAGCGTCTCGTCGCGGACGTAGTCGAGGTTGAGCTCGAGGAACTCGACCATCGTGTCGACGATCTGGTCGTGCATGGCCTCGAGGCCGTCGACGCCAAACGTGTTGCCGACCGCGATCTGCGAGATGGCGCGCACGGCGCGGCGCGAGAGCTCTTGGTCGACGTCGTTGACGTACTCGGAGAGCTCCGTGACGAGGTCCGCGACGCTGTGGCTGTCGGCGATGCTGCTGAGAATGTCGAGCTTGACGTACTTGACGTGCGACGGTTCGTTGTAGCGGATGTAAAACTGGCGAAAGTCGGGCGAGAAGACGCGCGGGTACTTGCCGACCATGAGGAGAATATGATGCAGCACGCAGTAATTGAGCTCGTGCGACCCGCCGGCCATGAGCGTCAAGAGCGGCTGGCGCATGCGCTCAAACACCTGGTTGTGCACCTGCGGCATCTTGATCGTGAGGTTCAAGAAGCACTTGGCCGTTCCGAGCACGACGGCCGAGTTGGAGACGCGGAGCGACGGCTCGAGAATGTTCATAATGTTGAAGATCTCTTCTTCCGACGTCGGCTGATACGTGCTCACGACGTGGAGGATGTTGCACTGGCCCCACTCGTTGAACTCGGAGATGCGCGTGAGGAGATGCATGATGATCTGCTGGTTGACCGCAATGCCGCCTTCGTCCGCCATGATCTCGTTCAGCGCGACCAAGCAGTTCGACACGACCTGCGGGTCGCGGTCGCGGATCATGTTGTAGAGCGTGTCGACCATGTCGCTGTCCTTGATGAGGTCCTTGTTGAGCGAGAAGACCTTGAGGATGCCAATCACGCCCGTCTTTCGGACGTACGCGCTCGTGTCCGTAAGCGAATGCTGCGTGTCAGCATGAGCCTCGGTAGACAGTATACCTTTTGTACCTGGAGCGGTTCATGAATGTACTCGAGAATCGAGTCCAACCGCAGCGAGCAGAGCGACCGCAGTGCGAGGCCACGCACGAGCGGGTCTTCGTTGCGGCTACACAGATACCAACGTGAGCAGCTGCCCATGCGTCGACATTGATTACCAATCGTTGAGGAGCGTGTTGATACACATGATGGCCAGGTCCGAGTTCTTGTTGGCGTAGTTGGTCAAGTAGTAGTAGACCATCTTCTTTGTGATAATGTCCTCGTGTCGACGCACAAGACCATCTCGCTGAAGATGCGCGAGACGTCAATGCCAAGCGTCATGTACGCGATGACCTTCTTGATGATCTCGCGCTTCTTCTTCGGGTCGCGCTCGACCGTGACGTCGCGCAGCAGCTACACAGAACCGTGGTTTAGCCCATGATGGCCTCGGCTAGGAGGCTGCGCCTACGTTCTTAAGCTCGTTCACTTCGCCCTTCTTGCGGTCCGAGAAGTAGTTGGGGTTGGCGCCCTTGGGCTGTGGTGGCGGCGGCATCGACATGGCAGGCAGCGGCTTCCGTCTTTCGAGGGGGGCTTCAGGCCGAAGATTTTATACTGGCAGTAACACGTAGCCTCGAATCCTCTGAAATGCCATATATTGGCTTCGAATCCCTCTAAGAAATGATAGCAGCTTATACTATTTCACGCCGTACACTTGGCTTTTGTATCGGGAATTGGCCGTCAAAAAAAGGACGTCGGCCACAACACGCGATCTTGCGGCCACGTGGGGCGCCGACAGCGCGCTCGGCCGACCTCGACCTCGTGGCCGGTCGATCATGCGGCAGGAGCGGAATCGGTCCCTGCATGCAATGCACCTGGGCAACACCTGCATGGATGAGCGCCAGGGCGCGTCTGGGACTAGGTACATGACCTGCAGCAGGATCAACATCCACCGCGAGGAATCCCGTCACGCGCCATGACCATCGGCGCCAGGTAGATGATGCAAGAGACAGGATGCAGAAAGGAGAGACAACGATTGCCGTGGCATTTGCGGTTAAAAGATCTAGTGCACAACCAGGCAATGTGATTAGCGTCGTCGGGGCATGCTGCCACGGGCCGCCTTGGGGCTACAGCAGCATGGCACGGATGAGTACAGGGAGAGGGCAGGCAGTGTAGGTACCGCATGCCACGGGTCGGGAAGCCCGTGGGGTCCTCACGGATCATCTCGGTCGTGTCCTCGAGCGTCGACGGCAACGGGAGGTTGCGCTCGACGCGCTTGCGCAGCCACGAGCGGAGCGCATCGAGCTGCTCGTACGAGCGCATCATGTTGTTGATTTCCTCGACGGGCTGGCCACACTTTTCCGAGACAATGCGCTTGACCTTGCCGTTGATGAGCTTCGGGTCGTTGCGCACGTTGGGCTCAAATGCCTCCATGATGGTCAAGAAATTCTTCATCTGCTGGATCTGGGGCTACGCACAACTCGGGCATGAGCCTTCGCGACGATGATGCATGGGTACCATGGACGAGACACCGGGGACCATGGACTTCCAGCCCGAGACACCGCCATCGGCCGCTTGCTTCTACTCGAGCAAAATATCGCGGTGAGGAGGTATGCCATGCGAGGCCATGCGCGGGTACCTTCATCTGGTCGTAGTGGTCTTGCAGCGTGTACGTGGGCGTCGTCGCGAGGTACTTGACCTGGTCCATGTAGGCCTGGGCTACGCAGGCGAATAATGTGACCTTCCGCCACCTCATGCAAGCTAGTGCGTACTCTGCTTCTCATTCTTGCGCTCCTCGAGCTTCTCGGAGACCTTGTCCTTGAAGCCCTGGAAGATGCTCATCTCGCGGGCAGGCGCATGGAAGCGCGGGCGGAGCACGGACGCGCGGAGGCCGGTGAGCACGTTGCGGAAGGCCATGGGAACGCGAAAAAACCAATCACTGGTCCATGCCCCAATTTTTATACGCCCTCGTATTGGTCCATTAAATTGCATTTTTGGCCAATCCCATAGAGGAGCGTCACCGTGTCTTTGCGCCGTGGCGCCAAACCCATCTTCACCACGCTTCCTCGTCCTCGGTCACGAAGGCGCCGGCTCACAAACTGGCGTGATCCTCACGGAATCGTTGGTGATAGACCAACGCGATCAATGCGAGGTATCGAGCATCTTGCGCACGCAGTAGTATCTCTGATGACCAAACCAGTTCGCATACCCTAACCCCGGACGGCCCGCGCCGACGCGTCAAGGTTCATGCGCCAAGGCCCACTTGCTTGTCGACATGCAAGACCATTGAAGGGACCTGTATTCTCATAACGCTACAAACGTGTTCAACTCCAGGGTTGTTCATTGTACAAAATTAAATTAAATCATAACTTAGCCGATGCTAATGACCTCGCCCATCATCCCCGCCGGCATGTTGTGCCTCGGCGAGTCATTGGCACTGCTTGTCGGCGGCTTGGCGACCCACGCGCGGCGGCGCACCAGCGAAAAGATGCGCGAGCACGTATGGTCTGGGAACCGTGTAAAGTCCGTCGCGTACACCCAGCCCTCTTCGTCGCAGCCGTCGACACTCATGTCGACCATCATCGTCACGGTCGAGATCTCCTTGCGCGTCGCAAACTTGCCCGACCGGTCGCTCCAATGCCCACGGTCCGACGGCAACAAGTGCCCGCCAAAGCCCACGAACGGCTGGTAGCGCTGGTTCTCGAACACGACCGGGTCGCCCGAGCTCAGGATCTCTTGCAGAAACTCCGTGTTCCAGCGCCGGTGCTTGACCTTCTTCGTCAACGGTTGCTTGTGGAAGAGCCAGTTGACGACGGCCGCCGGCTCGTCGAAGGCAAACCCGCGGTACACCGGCTGCTCCTCGGCGACCGTCGCATCGGGCGTCACCGACATGCGCGCTACGTCGGCGTGGTTGGGGATCTGATGCAAGTGGGGCATGAGCCACTTGACGTGCGGGAACTCAATGTCGCCGAGGGTGCTGATCGAGGGTTCCGACTTGGGGTCCTGCACCGCAGCTTGCACCATATCGAGTAGCGTCGGTTCAAACGCCCGCTTGTACGCCACGTAAAACACGTCCTTGGCGAAGAGCGCAGCAACAATCTAGTTATACAATATGAGACACGTGGCTTGATACATTGACAGATTGGACGTACGAGGAGCTGGATGAGCCAGGGCGTGCCAAGACCAAACATCCATGGGAACGACGACTGCGACGTCGGGTCCTGAAGGCCGACATAGTCGATCGCAATCTGGAAGCCGTACAACATCGCGAGGCTGGCCGCGACCGAGAAAAAGACAAAGACGTTCCACGAGTTGATGAGGAGGCAGACGCGGACCGTCATGTACAAGCACAAGATCGTCCAGCCGAGGTCTCCGAGGTTGAGGACGCTCGACGTTTGGCCGTCCGGCGTGAGCGCGTCACCGGCCCAAATGAGAAAATAGAGCACGCCAAGCGAGTCGATGAGGCCGAGAAGCATCCACTGCCAAAAGCGGCCGTACGAAAAGAGCTCGCGGCACTTGCTATGGTAGAGCTGCGGCACCGCGAGCGCGACGTCAGCCGTCACGTCTTGGTCCCAGATCGCGTAGACACCAATCGGCAGCGCGGTGAAGAAGAGGTTGTAGCCTTGCTGGATGAACGCCGGGTAGATGAGCGTGCCCGAGAACGCCGTGAGGTTGAGCATGTACCAGAACATGGCGAGGCAGTACACAATGTTCTTGTAGTACGTGTAGTAGATGAGGTTGGCGATGCGTGTGTAGTTCCAGCGCCCGTGCACCAAGAGGAGGCGCGCGAGGAACCGGAACTGGCCAATCGCAAAGTCGCTCGTGTTGACCGCGTGCCGCCCTTCCTCGCCCGCAATGCCAATGCCGACGTGAGCGGCCTGGATCATCGGCACGTCGTTGGCGCCGTCGCCTATCGCAAGCGTCTTGGCCTCGTCGCAGTTGACGTTCACGAGCTCGACCAGCTGCGCCTTCTGGCTCGGCGAGCATCGGCACGCAATCACGACGCGGCAGAGAAGCGCGACGCGGAGAAAGTGGAGCGCGTCGGGATGCGACGGGTTGTCATGCAAGAGCCACGAGAGCGACGCGCCGTCAATGACGATCGAGAGGTCCCGCGTGCCGAACGACGTCTCGAGCACGTGGTGGTAGATCTCATCGAGGTGCCGGAGGAGGCTGCCGCGCGTCGGGCACCGCTTGGCGTTGATGACGTAGCGCTCCATGTCGTTGGTCAAGAGCGAGCACGCGAAACCAATGTTGATGGCCGTCTCTTCCATGTCGCCGGTGAGCACCCAGAGCGCAATGCCGGCTTTCGAGAGGAGCCGGATCGTCTCGGGCACTTGGTCCTGAAGACGGTCTTCGATCGCGGTGGTGCCGAGCAGCGTGAGCCCCGACTCCATGTCGTTCTGGAGCTTCTCGACCGCGCTCGCATGGTCTTCTTGGAGCACTTGGGCTTGCTGGTACATGCTGTGAAACGTGTCCCACTCGTCTTTTGGAATCGACTTAGCCGCGATCACGAGCGTCCGGAGACCCTCGGTCGCAAACGCTTCCAGCTGGCGCTCCGTGACCGCCTTGCACTTGGCGTTGGACGGCGCGAGGCGAGGAAACACCGTGCTGTCGGCGCCTTTCGTCAACAGCACAATCTCTTCCCGATCCATGCGCCGCACGACCACCGACATGCGCTTGCGCGTGCTGTTGAACTCGAAGACCTCGAGGATCTCGTAGCGCTCGGGCGCGTCATCGAATGGCGTCTTGATCGCAATCATGCCGGGCGTCCGCTCGACGAACTCAAAGCCAAAGTACTTGGCGCCGCTCACGAGGGCCTGCTCGTCCGGCGACGACGCCACATAGGGACTCTTGGTCACGTCGTCGTGCTTGAGCTCCAGCAGCACGCTGTGGCAGAGCGCGAGGTGCCGGAAAAAGTTGCACACGGCCTCTTGCTGCTCGACGCCGCTCGCGCCGTAAATGTCTTGAACGAGTTGCGGGTCCGTAAAGTTGACGTGCGGGATCGACGGGGTCGCCATCTCGTCGGCCGGCGGGTCGTCGAGAACGACCACGTCGACGCCACCTCGACCGGCCGCAATGGCAGCGCGGCCGATGGCGGTCGTGCCTCGGCCGTAGGTCACGCCGCGGATCGAGCACTTGCGAAACTCCATTTGGTTGCACGTGATGGTGCCCGTCTTGTCGGAAAAGATGTGGGTAATGTGCCTACGCCAGAAATCCATGAGCACAGAAAAAAGAGTAATCCAATATCGTCGTACCCGAGCTGCTCGTTGAGCCCCTTGTTGCGCGGCTGCATGCGCATGTCTCGCTCGGCGTCGTACATGTGCATGTCCCGCGCCATAAAGTAGCCCTGGAGCGCCTTCACGGTCGTGATCGAGACGTACAACGTGATGGGCACCACGGTCGCGAGCGTCGTGAGAAAGTAAAAGAAGGCCGTCACGAACGGGTTGTCGACACTGTTGCCGAGGTACTCGGGCAGGAACGGGCTCGACCACTTGGTGTACGAAATCGCGCCCGAGAGACAGAGCACGAGGAGCCCGAGCACGATCACAAACACTTGGTTGTTCCTACGCACATGCTCGTCTTCTGCATGCGTGCATGTATATGATGGTAGGTACGTCATGGTGTCGAGCGTCGACTCCTTGTCGCTGTTGGGCTTGAGGCCTTGCATGATCTTGGTGTCAAAGCCCGCCTACAGAGTGCGCTTGAGGGCAGTTTTACATCAACCGAATGCGCACGTGAAGGACGAAGGCAAGGACGCGGTCTGTGTTGCGGACCTTGCAGCCGCGCCAGAGCATGTTGTGGACCGAGATGGGCAGCGCGGCGTCTTCGTCGTCGGGGTCTACCACCCACATGTCGCATTAGTACATTTTAGCCTCGGCGATCGCTTACCGTCGGCGACGTGGACAGCGCCGTGGTACTTGTGGATGTCGGCGTTCGGCTCTTCGTTCTCAAACTTGAGCCCTTGGAGCCGCTGGCCGTACTGGTGCGTCTCGACCGCGAACCGCTCTTGGAGCACGGCCTCGCGGAGCTTGAGGTTTGTCTCGCCGTCCAAGCTCTTGGTTTCAATGTAGCACACGCCGTCGTTGCCGGTCGCGAGGATCACGAGGTCGGCGGGCGCAACTTCTTTGTCGCGGAGCTCAACGCAGTCGCCGACGCAGAGGTCCTTCCACGCTATGCACTCGAACGTGCCCGTCTCGCTGTGGTATCGGCGGCACGGCGCGCCGTTGGTTTCGTCGTCGGCTTGGTGGCGCTGGTGGTCTTCGACGGCGGCAAAGATCGCATCGATGACGACGACAATCGTGAGCGGCAAAAACTGCAGCGGGACGCCTTTTGTCGGCGAAATCGCTGGGATCATCTGCAGCACGCCAATCATGAGAAAGTAAAAGTTGGCCATCTTCCGGAACGTGCGGTACAAGAAGACGGGCATGAAGCTCCACCACGTGTAGTACGACGTCTTGATCGCGTTGGACGAGCCGACGACAGGGCCCGCGCCCGAGATCGTGTTGTGGATGATGCTGGTCGCGGCGTCGCTCGACGCCTTCTCGAGCGTGAAGCGCGCCTCGAGGAGCTTCATCTCGAGCGCGACGCTGGCGCTGGCCGAGCGCGCCTTGGCCATGACGTTGCTGCTCATGGTCCGGACGCGCGCCGGGACGCTCGTCGCGCGCGCGAGGCCCGGCGTGTCGGGGATCCTCCGGTACGACTCGTCGTCGCCGGCCGCAGACAAGGACGACGTTGATCGGAGCATTTAAGTTGGGGAATGTTCGAAGCATGGATAATTAAATTGAAATTCGATGATTTTATTCGCCAATCCTTCGGTGAAGCCGCGTGTCGCAGAGATTGCTGCGACTCGGAAAAGCGTCGTCATGCGGCGGCGAGATAGCGTGATCATGGGCACATGCGCCATAATAATATTCCAATTATGCACTATTTTTATTCGAGTTTGCACTTTTCATTGGCGCCGCGCCCCGGTTTCAGGCGTTTCGCTGCGTTTTGAATGTCGGTATCCGGACGAGCGCCGGATACGACCCACGACACGCGGTTGACGCAATGGTCGAGCGCCGCGAATACGGCGGCCACCCATAGACAGGGCGCGTAGAGCCGGAGGCGCCGAGAGAGACACTCTGGAGAAGCGCATGCCGTGCTGGCGAACGCGGCCGAAGCCGGATCTAACGCCGAGCAGCGTGTTATAATGCGTTGAACCGGCAGGAATTCGCGTGATATGACGGTTACAACGTCCGAGGTGGTACGTCGTCGTCTGATGCAGCCTTTCATAATCAGCAAGGAGCGTTGAAGTTCCTGGTGTTGATGGCCGTGTCGAATAAATTTGCACCAGCAGCTAAACAGCTAACGTTACGGGCAGCTGCCGCACTCCATTGACGTACTTCATTGACGCAGCTCAATGATGTGTGTAAAGGTGTACGAGGCAGGACACGATGTGTATTAGTGACGACTTTACTGCTTCTTGATCTGGATGAGCTCGACGTCAAAGATCAGGTCCGAGTTGGGCGGGATAACCGGCGGCGCACCCTGGCGACCGTACGCCTTCTCCGCCGGGATGTACAGACGCGAGCGCTCACCCTTGGACATGAGGATCATGCCTTCGTCCCAGCCCTTGATGACCTAACAGACGACCGCAATAAGAACCAAGTGGTGGTCGCGACACGCGCGCGAGACACAACGTACGTGGCCGACGCCAACGCGGAACTCGAACGGCTGCCCACGGGCGCGCGACGAGTCAAAGACCTTGCCGTTCGTGAGCTTGCCTTCGTAGTGGACGGCCAACGTGTCGCCTGCACATACAGTAGAAATGAATATTGGTGAGCCAGATCTTGTCTATGTACATACCCTTCTCGGGGTAGTTTTCGTCATCACCCGACGTGATGACTTGAGGAATCACGAGGCGTTCGCTCGCCTGTTGACGCTCGATCGGGATGTGGTCAACAAGCTCGATCGTCAAGTGCACGGTCTTCCCCGCGAGCTACGTTATGCATAGCGTCATCGTGGGTGCACATGGTGGAGTGTAAATACGCGCGTGTACATACCTCGTGGCTCATGTCGACAACGATCGAGTCGTCGTCGATCTCGACGATCTTGGCCGCGTCGCCCTCTTCATCGTCAAGACCCAAGTACGAGCCGATCTCGAGCATCTTCTCTTCGCTCGGGCTACAAGCGCTCGTTAGAGACGGCGGTGCTTTATTTGCAAACCCAAACGTACAGAAGGTTGAGCTCCGAACGCGGAATGCGCACACGGTTGTCGGCATCGTCGGCGGGGCCAAACGCCATCTCCGGCGGGATGACCACGGTCTTCGTCTCGCCCTTCTTCATGCCAAGCAAAGCTTCTTCGAGGCCCACAATCATGTCACCGTCGCCGACCGTGAACTTTTGGGGCGTGTCGTCGCGCTCGTCAAAGATTTCGCCGTTGTCCAGCTTGCCTTCAATGCACACAAAGACTTGGTCGCCAAGACCGACCGTCGGCGTCGCGCTCGAGAAGGCGCGGACCGCCGAAGCCTTCGTGGCCGTGCGCATAAAGGGCGCCATGGCCGCGACGTGCGTCGGCTTGGCGATCGCATGGAAGGCCGCCGAGAGGCACGTCGTGGAGCGCTGCATCTGGGCGCGCTTGGAGGCTAGAGCAAGCATAAGATCCCATCTTTATGTTAGCCACACGCAGGAGATGCGTACCCGCAGAGCGGCAGGTCGAGCGCAAGGCGCGGCGGAACATGATGCCCAAGGTTGCGAGCAAAAAGGTGTGGTGGTTGGATGAAATGCAACCGTATAGCGTATCCGGACAAAGATTTGCAGCTGCCTTCTATTGGTCGCTCGGCCATACAAAACGACCAGCTAAAGAAACGCAACTGTTTCCTGGCAAGCCTGCCGCAGCAGCGATGACGCCGCCACAAGCGCTGCAGACACAGGCTGAATGATACGCACATGTACCACATGTGTGCTTGCGCGATGACGTGGGAAGCAGCTGCGCTTTGTGGCTTGTCCACAGCGCCCCCACAGGTGCGTGTTTTTAGCGCCTCATGATCCGGATAACGTGGAGCAACCTGCCAAGCGCATTCTCAACGAAGAGCGATGGCGCTCCCATGGGAAGTGATCGTTGCGATCGTGCTCTTGCTCATTTTCTACGTGCTCTGCCGCGTCCTCCAGAACTACGTCATGTACACACGTCACGGGTACGAGCCGATTCCGGACGCAGAGAAGCCGGGCTTGTCCGCCCATTTCATCACGCACTCGAAAGACTCGGTCGAGATCCTCATTGAGAAAGACCGTCAAGCCCGTTCATGATAGCGACGTAGTAGTGGCCCATAAGAATAATGCATGTCGTGGCGGATATGCTTTCGAGTCTACTTGGGCAAAAATGCAATGATCTCTTGCACTACACACCGTCAATGAGCGACGTGCAGTATCGACAATGGCGACGTACCCGAGCGATTTTGGGGCGCTGGCAGGTTCGACCACTCCTTGCCGACGTAGATGGCCGTCTTTTCCACGGGCGAACCGGCCGGCGCTGATCGAGCCGGCGCGGCTGGTGTTGGGCGGTGCGATGGTTCATGCGCGCCTGCGCTTCCGAGCGATTCTGTGGTCATGTTCGTGTGCTGCTTCTTCAGCGGTGGCCCGCTCGAGGGTTGTGCGACAGGCACATGGTGACGTCGTCCGGCTCCGAGAGCTGGTGTGCTTCCGCTGGGTCGAGCTGGCGCATTCGGCTTTGGGCGACTAAAGGCAGCTGTGAACGCGTTGGCCTCGGCGCTGGGGGTCGCCGTGGGTGCCAACTCGGCATCGTCAATCTTTCGCTTTGGGGCCCGGAAGCCACCTCGCGGAGCCTGGAATTTCGCTGCACCGCCAGGTGGCGCTGGCATCCGGCCCGAGACAAACGACGAAGGCGGAGGCGGAGCGACGGCCGCGGCGCTGGGCGTGTTGAGCGTCGATGTCGGTGTGGCCATCACACACGAATCAATCTCGACGAGGAATCTATGCATAGCTCAATCGCCGCCTTCCATGCCACCGGTCGTATATGTAGTCGTACTTGGGGAACTCAAAGTTGGGAAACTGAGCATTCCACTCGTGGGGAAGGTATGGCTTCGAGTCGAGGCTCTTGCCGTCAACGTCGTAGAGCATGAGCTTGGTCGAGAGCTTCACGAGCTTCCCGTCATGGTACGTCTTGGCCTTCTGCGTTTTGTGCTTGGTATAGAGGCACGGGATCCCGTCGCTGCTCATCGGTCCTGCTTCTCTGCGCTGGGCTCGTGCTGGAAATGTTTGGCGGAATTTCAAGTCCCATCCGGAATTTCCGGAAAAAACAACCGCGAAAGATCCAAACGATGCAAATCGCGCCATGAGCTGGCGCCGTGCGATCGACGCTTATGAGGCAGCTAGAATACAACGGAGCATGGTAATTGTAGCTTCTGGAAGGCGGTAATTGCAGCCTCTGAGAGACAATGTACTAGCCCGCATGCTCATTGACCTCCTTGTAGGGCTGGCTGTCTGTTGTCACAACGGAGCTCGTTCACACTGCTCCACGTCGAAGACCTCGAATCATGGTACGGCTCCCGAGAATCATCCTCGTATGGAATAATTGATGGTTAACGATCAATGACTTAGCACGACAACCGACGACGCAAGCACTGCTTTACTTCTTCTCGAGAAGCTTGGCCAAGACGGCCATAACTGTCCACATGCGGTTTTCGGCTTCGTCCCAGACCTTGGAGCGATCGCCATAGAAGACTTCGTCGTCGACCTCTTCCTTGTGGCGGGGAGGCAGTGGAGGAAGATATGGTCGGACGCCGCATGCTCAAGCATCTTCTTGGTTACTTGGTAGCCATCAAAGTCCGCAATGCGCTTCTTTGCCTCGTCTTCCTGACCCATGCTACGAGAACGCTCGATTCTTGAGTGACGGGTTCAAGCGGGATGTAGTGGAGGTACCTGACCCACGTGTCGGTGGCAATGACATGAGCGCCCTTCACGGCTTCGACCGGGTCGGTTGTGAGGAACACCGAGGTGCCTGCTGCCTTGGCCAGCTTCTGGCACTTGGCAATCACATCAGGCGCCGCGTCGTACCCTGTCGGCGTCGCGATTCGAATGTTGGCTCCCATGAGCGGCGCAGCGAGCATGTAATCGTGCAAGACGTTGTTGCCGTCGCCGACCCACGCTAGTGTGAGTCCCTTTACCGATCCAAAGTGCTCCTACACATACCTCAGCATGAGGTCACAAGACAGGCCAAGGCTGACACGTACCTGCACGGTGAGGTAATCGGCGAGGGCCTGGAGCGGATGGTACTTGTCCGAGAGCGCATTGATGACGGGCACGCTCGCCTCCTGTGCGAGCTCCACGACGCTGGCATGGCCATAGACGCGCGCAAGGAGCGCCGAGCCAAACCGGCTCATGACGTGCGCCGAGTCTTTGAGCGACTCGTTGACGCCGAGCTGAATGTCGTCGCTGGAGAGGAAGAGCGCGCGGCCGCCGAGGCGCTGCATGCCAATCTCTGTGCTGAGGCGCGTGCGCGTCGAGCGCTTCTGGAAGATCATGAGCAGCGTCTCGTTCTTCAGGAGGTCCGTGTTGATGTTGTGCTTCTTGAACTCGGCGGCCGTGTTGATGAGGCCTTGGAACTGCGCGGGCGTGAGCTGGTCCGTCGAGAGAAAGTGCTTCGGGAACGTGGACATGGCACGCGATGTATGGCGAAGGGCGCGGAAGGGCTGCATGGTGATGGGTTCGTGCCTGCTGGAAGGAAGGAGACGACTTGGATTCTGTGGCAATGGGCAGAAAGATTTGGTCGGCGCCGATTGGTCCACAGCATTTTCCTGTGGATCTTGCTCAAGTGGGTGCACTTGAAGTTTGTGAGCTGTCGTTTCAGGAGGACCCCCTACGTCACAAACGCAGCGTACATTATGTAGTGCAATCGGATGGGTACCCACATGAAGCGCTGGCAGCACCACACGTCAGCAATAGAGGGGGACTGAAAATGCTTGTGACCACCGCGCGTTATTCGACACCGCTATAGACGATCTTGTTCCATGGCCATCGCCTCGTTCCAGTGGAGCTTCAGCACTCGACGTTGTCACCGAGTTCATTCATTCTTGGGGTTGTAGCTAGGACGCGGTTGGTATTTGGACGCCACCCGAGCGTCCGCTTATCCGGTATCATGGTCATTCTCAGTGATGTAGAGCTCTATGACGTCGTGGCTGTTGGCCTCGGCACGCGTTGGAATTACGCTGTCCGGTCCACGAAGACGAGGACATCGCGATGCAAGATCGCCAATACCGGTAGATGAAAATAAACCAATCAGCATAATGATTGATTTTTAACCAATCGAAAAGCTTTATGTTTTTGTCCAATCAGTGGCAAGATATTGAAGATTGTGCTGCCACCGCAGAAGACGAGAAGAATGAGCTCGAAAGCCCCTGCCGCGACCCCCGCGCCCGCGCCGATGGCCGCTTCGTCCGAGCCCAAGAAGATGATTCACGTCGTCGAAGAAGACGATGAGTTCGAAGAGTTTGAAGAGAAGAACTGGGGCGCCAAGATGGAAGAGAAGGAGAGCCACATCAAGCTCCAGTGGCAGGACGACTGGGACGTCGACCAAGCCGACGACGACTTCTGCAACCAGCTGCGCCGCGAGCTCGAAAAGAACGCGTAAGGCGTAACCAGCGTATTGCTGCCCGCGCTCCTCTATAATACGTATTCGCTCATGCGTCTGCCTCGCCCCTTTGGCATGTGTTGCCTTCTCGCGGTCGACACGGCTAGCTTCGCGATTCGCAGCTAGTGAGGCCTCTCTCTAGCACAGCTTCAGGGACGAGCAATAGCCTCATACAACAGGCGAAGGCGAGCCCCACGACTTGGACTCCAGCCGTCCCAAGCCTTTCGTAGTTGATATGAGTGGATGTACGTTTGCATTGCGCTGCAGCTTCCTCATGACCTGGGCGCAACTACAGGACACGCATCCAGCAGCGACGACAAGCTCATTCGATTGACCACGCCTTTAATCGCGAGCGATCGACACGGTCATCCGCGATGTTGATCCAAAGCAGGGGCTTGAAGCGACGCTCTTCCTCCGGCGCAACGTGCATCATACAACAGCTACTGCAGAGAGATGGACGGCCCATGACGTAAGCATGGTCCTATGCAGAGGTATATCACTCCAGGCCCCATGCGCCAAGAGGGTTCTCAAGTCGTCCAGGTAAAATTAGCGGTGCTTGCATTTGGATCTTCGAATTGGGCAAGGCGAGCCAATTGCTTCGAAATACGATAACGCGTAGTTCGAAGATACTGATTGGAGCAGGCGCGGCAATTTGGCTCATGAGCGGGTGCGAAGGGTGCTCGACGCGACCGTGTCATGTCTGCCGCAAGTGTATCTTCCGTCATTGCCAGTGCGGCCTCACGCGCGCACCCGTCTGCGTCGAATCACAGGCGTGTCAGTGCGTGACGCTCTCTCGTTGCCGACGTTGCCATGGGTGCCAAGGACGCGCCGCGAGCCATTGTCGCTGCGACGCGCACGCCAAGCACGAGTGCCTCTGCGAAGAGCTTCGCGCCATGGAGACAGACGATAAAGTTGACGAAGACGAAGCCGAGCGGCAGCGCGTCAATTGGCGCCACGCGATCCCGACCGTCGCGTCGCACTTGAGCGATAGGAGTGCCACCATGGACTCGCGGCTGCTGTACAAGATGGTGCTGCGGCCAGGTGCAGGCCCGCGCGAGATCCTACCACCATCCGGTCGTCGCGGCACGCAGCACGACACGTACCTTGCGTCTGTCGACCTCGATCCCACAACCGTGCCGCCGTCCGTGGCGCTGCGCTCGCACGCCGACGCTATCTTTGCGCGAGGCATGGACAACTTTCAGTACACTAGCGCCCAAGAGGCGGCCATGCCATCCGAAGACCTCGTCGACTACGTTGTCCACACGGCAAGTCTCAAGGCCGTCGACGTCCCCGAGCTCTGGGGATCGCTCGACGCCTCGGCTGCCATCGTCGCAGCCATTGTCGCCGACGAGTATGCGCGGCAGCTCGTCGACGAGTACATGGCAGCAGGCGAGACGTTTCCATTAACGAGTCAGGACGCGCTTGTCGAATGCATTCACGAACTGCTCAATGGCGCCGCGTGCCGTCCAGATGCATGGACCGACCTGGCGAGTGGCATCGCGTCGGAGGTGCGCGTCATCTTTGGGGACGCCCAGCTCGCGGCGTACGATGTCCCGCAGCTCATTGCCGCCGCGATGCAGCCACTCAAAGACGCATCGAGCGCTGATGCGGACGATCCAGCGTGGGCCGCGTGGAAGGACGAGCGGGTGCGCGTTGGTCTCGAGGCGCTGCAAAACGGTGCCATCATGTCACCAGACGGCATCCACGTCGATACAAGCCGCCGCGCGCCGTCGTACTGGTTCTGCGTCGCCGTGCCGCACGGAAAGACAACCGAGAGCCTCTCATCGGCGCGGTACCCGAGCTACCGCCTTGCGTTTGAAACCAAGCTCGGCCTCGAGCAGCGCATTCGCCTTGTGGAAGACGCCCAAAAGATGGATGGATCTGCCATGCCGCCGATGATGCCGACACCGACGCTGCCGAGCTGCTCCACGACCGAGCACCCGTGGCCCGCCGTGTTGCGCCCCGTACCGATGCCGTCGACCGCCGATGTGGACCCGTTCCCGCATGTCAAGCAAGTGCTCGCCAAGGTGGCGCTGACAAGGAGGCGCTTGACGCCCGACGAAGCCATTGCGATCGCCGCGCAAAAGGAACTCGCCGAGCGCAACGCGCGGAACCAGCCGGCGCCGCCGTCCCTGTACGTGCCACATACGCAGAGCAAGCGCAAAGCGGCGCCAAAACGACCTGCGGCCAAGCGATCGAAGCGCCTTAAGCCGCTCGTCGCCAACGCGGATGTTGCCGCGGATGCGGACGAAGAGAACGAGCAAGGTACTGACGCAAGGGGCGGCAGCGACGAGACCAACATGGCAACAAACGACCAGCAACCAGATGACAGCGCTGCCCCAGAGCTACTGCCGAACGCTCCAGTCGACACAGAGAGCAACGTGGCCGAGACTGTCGCCACGCTCGTAGATCCCGACACGAACGCGCTGGACAGCGTGGCATCCCCACACAGCGATGCCTCCGCATCAGACGCTTTGAGTGCGGTGGCGTTGCTTGCTGGTCCAGATGCCAATAGAACTACGGATGTTGAAGCCGAGGACGAGGACGAGGAAGACGACGAGGAAGACGACGACGCGACCGTCGAGTTTTGGTGTCCCAAGTGCGGCAACGATGTGCTGCATCGGACCAAGGCGTCGCGGCGCTGCGAGTACTTTGTGCGATGGCGAACGCGGAAAATCCAAGATGGCAGCGCGCCGCAACTGCTCACCGCGATGCACGATTTGCCCGAGACCTTTCTAGCGATCGTCGAAGGGCTGCCGTCGACGTCGGGCCTCATTTACATCTAATCGCAATATACGCTGTCGCCACACAGCGAATTCGAGACGTTGGACGCAATAGGACGGACGTGCTGCTTTACCATATCGCCATCATCGTACTGCTTCTTCCTGCCTCTATAGATACACAACGTCGCCAAGCTTACTGGCCCGTCTTCTTGCGCTGGAAGATCTGGTGGATGATCGTGCCGAGCTCGCGGTTGACGTGGCGGATGTCCGACTCGGCCTTCTTGCGAATGCGGCGCTGCCACTTCTTCTCGTGGAACTGGCGCTGGTTGAGCTCCTTGAAGATGCCATCCTCTTCCTGGATCGCGTTCATCTCGCGCAGGACGCGGGCGACGCCCTTGCCTTCCACGTTGAACCACAGGCTGCGGGTCTGCATCTTCATGAGGGACGGCGCGACGCGGCCGACCACGCTCTTGGCTCCGAGGTTCATGATGCGAGGTTTGTTTTCCACCAGTGAACTGCCAGCGCCGCGCGATGGCGATCCGGATAGAGTGCCACATTGTACGGATAAGAACGCGCGGCGCGTGCCACTGCACCCAGCATGCCGAATTTACTGTCCGGTACTCCATTCAGGTACCAGTAGTAATACGAAAGCCCATGCAGTACGCACCGTCGCGTTGTGGTCCCTACCGCTGCTCGGCATTCCATGCATACAGACTTCTACCATGACGCTTAGACTCGATTGCCGCGTATCGCTACGGAATCCGATATCCGAGATTGCCGTGTCTACAATGTGGCATGTGCCACGGAAGGATGCCACGGGGTCGCGTATCCGGATGAAACGTCGGTCGAGGGTTGAAGCGTCGCGACGGTTGGTGCGATCTACGTCATTTCGCCGGCCGAGCCCAAGCCCGAAGACCAAGACGGGGCATGGGCGACGCGGCTCCAGGAGAGGGCAGCAACAACAAAAAGGAGGTCCAGCCGGCCAAGTTCATCGAGGCCCGCGTCGCGACGGCCTTTGGCGGCGGCCCCAAGTTCCTCGCCAAGTACGCGACCGAGCCCAACGAGTACTGCGCTGCGTCGTCTCGACGTCTCGGTCTGAGCCACGTGTAGGATCTGCATCAAGGAGTTCATCGAGAACGAGGACCTAACGTGCCTCCTCTTCTCGGGCGACAATGTGATTGCGTCGACCAAGATGCCGGCGACGCTGCCGCGCGGCAAGACGATTGCATTCGCCAAGATGCACAAGTGCGTTCTCTCGAGTAAGAACATCCTGACCGATGTGCTCGTGAGCGAGATGGGCACGAGCACGATCGAGCACTTGGAGAAGCTTGTCTCGGAAGTCTACCTCCCGCTCTTCTCCAACCCGAGCAACCAAGAGGGCTGGGGCGAGGTCGCGTCCAAGGAGGTGGTCGACAAGTTCCACTCGTACATGGCGACCGTCTCGATCATTGCAGGCGCGACGAAGGGCGAGACGTGCCTCCCGCTGCCGCCCGTCGATGGGAACGCGGCCAACCTCAAGAACAAGATCTCGCTCCTCGAAGGCTCGATCGTGACGTGGACCAAGCAGATCAAGAACGTCCTCAAGCAAGACCCGGAAGAGCTTTTGAAGCAAGGCATGAACCCGACGCCGGACGCCGAGATTGAGTTTTGGAAGCTCAAGGCCGCGAATCTCAACTCGATTTTTGAGCAGCTCCAGAGCAAACGCGTGCGCAAGATTCTAACCGCACTCGACCGGTCCAAGAGCACATACTGTACGCCGTTCGCTCGGCTCTGCAAGGAGGTCTTCACCGCGCGCATTGAAGCCAACGACAACACAAAGTACTTACGGACGCTTGAGGAGTGGTTCCACCGGCTCAACAACGACGAAGACTTTCCCAACTTGACCGAGCTCTTCAAGCCAATGCTGCACATCATTTTGCTCATTTGGAAAAACTCCAAGCACTACAACACCCCGGCGCGGCTCGTCGTACTCATCCGCGAAATCTGCAACTCGCTCATCAACCAAGCGCGCGTGTACTTGAGCGGCGAGATGATTTTCGGGCTCATCGACCAAGACGAAGCCGGCCAGGCCGTCGAGCAGCTCAAGACGACGCTGCAAGTGTGCTCGACGTTCAAGAGCACGTACTTTGACTACAAGGCGACCGCCAACGCCGAGTGTCCGTCGAATCCATGGCGCATTCAAAACAACGCGCTCTTTGTCCGATTGGACTCGTTTCTGGAGCGCTGCCACGACATTCTCGACTTGACGCAGACGATCGTTCAGTTTACCAAGCTCTCCAAGATGGAGGTCGGCGGCACAAAAGGCAAGACGCTGACCATGAGCGTCCAGCAGATCCACCACGACTTTACCGAGGCCGTCAACACGTTCAAGCGCGTCTCCAGCGACATTATGGACGTGGGTGCAACGAAATTCGACGATAACTTTTACGAGTTTCGGTGCAAGATCAAAGAGCTCGAGCGACGCCTCGGGTCGGTCCTTACCCAAGGCTTTGACGACTGCTCGACGGTCTTTGGTCGCTTTAAGCTCCTCGACTCGTTTGAAGGTCTTTTGAACCGGCCGATTATCCAGGACGAGCTCGAGAAGAAGCACGTCGCACTCGTGCAGGCCTACGGAATGGACCTCAAGCACGTGCAAGAGCTCTTCTTGCACAGCCGCGACGCGCCGCCGATTTCGTGGAACTTGCCGCCGATCGCAGGCGCGCTCACGTGGTGCCGCGGCCTCATCGAGCGCATCGAGCACCCGATGAAGAAGCTCAAGGAGCTCAACCACAACGTCATGGACCGCGAAGAAGCCAAAGAAGTCTACAAGGTCTACGGCACCGTGCTCGCGTCCCTCCAAGAGTACGAAAACCAAAAAGTCGAAGAGTGGAGTCGGGACGTCGAAGCGTCGTCGCAGGCCAAGCTCAAGCTTCCGATCCTCGTGCGCAACCCGCACACGCGCATCCTTCGCGTCAACTTTGACCCGGCGCTCGAGAAGCTACTGCGCGAAGTCAAGTACCTCCGGTGTCTCGGCTTGGACGTGCCGCAGTCGGCGCTCTCGATCTCTCAAAAGGAGGAGACCTTCCGCAAGTACCGCGGCGACCTCATGTACATCGTCGAGCCGTACAACTCGATGATCGAAGGCTTGCACACGGTCGAGGAGCCGTTGGTGCGCAAGCACATTACCAACATTGACGCGAGCGTCGGGCGTGGCATCGAAGACCTCAACTGGAAGAGCAACGGCATCGAGACGTTCATCGAAGACTGCCGCCGGTCCGTCGAGAGTGCGAACGAGGTGGTCACGAACCTCAAGGAGAGCTTGAGCACGATCGAGCTGACGCTGACGAGCTGGAACCAGCCGCTCCTCGAGCGCCAAGCCAAGCCGATCGCAGCCAACGAGCACGAGCGTTTGCACAAGAGCTCGATCGCGCAGCGCACGCTCAAGATTCGCGAAGGCGCGGCCGAGATCCACAGGCGACTCAAGGCATCGAATGCGGGTATTGTCGGCGTCAACTCGGCGCACTGGAAAGCGTATGTCGATTACGTCAACAACATCGTCGTCGGCGGCGTCGCGAAAGTCATTTGCTCGAGCTTGGAGTTTTTGGCCAAGCAACTCGAACCAAACCAGACGCCCACGGCGCCGATTGTGAAGGAAGACGAAAAGAAGGGCTCCAAGGAAGGCAAGGACAGCAAGGACAACGCCGCGTCACGCCTCCCGATGCTCGAGATCAAGCTCGACTTAATCTCGAACCGCGTCCAGTTCAACCCGTGCTTGACGGAAAACAACGGCAAGGGTCTTCGCGATACGATTCAAATGTGGATCAACTCGTTCTTCAACGTCGCGACCGCCGTCAAGCGCCTCGACTCGGACGGCGGCGGCACGTACCTCAAGGAAATGCACTCGGACATGAACATTTGCATGCAGCTCGCCATCATCTCCGAGTACCTCACCGAGAACGAGAACCAGCTCAACACGTTCAAGAAGAAGTACGACAACTACGCGTACCTCTGGGAGTCGAGCATGGACGACGTCTTCGCGGCGTTCCTCGAAGGCGCGCAGTACACTTCGGAGCATGGCGCCACGATGCTCAACCTCGAAAAGTTCAACGAAGAAATCACCAAGTACTCGCGCGTCGCGAATGAGATCGCGAACCTCGCGACGCCGACGGACGTGGGCTGGCTGCGCGTCAACTCACAGCCGATCAAGACGGCCATGGTCACGTGGGTGAGCAAGTGGGTCTACCAGTACACGACGTACCTCTACAAGCACGTCGTGACGAAACTCAGCTCGCTGCACAAGTTCATGGAGGTCGTGCTGAAGGGCCTCGAAGAAGACGTTGTCGATAAGAACAAGGAGGCCCTCATGCGTGTCATGACGCACATCCGCGACGTGCGCAAGCAGATTGACGCGACCAACGAGATGTTTGACCCGCTCCGGCAAGCTGTGCACCTCCTCAAGACCCACGGCGTCAACATTGACGACACCAAGATCGCCGACCAGACCATCCAAGACTACCTCGAGGCCGCGCCGCTGCAGTGGAAGGCATCGTCAACAAGACGTTCAAGAAGAAGGAGGAAATCATGCCGCTTCAAATCTCCGAGTGCGACAGCATCAAGGTCGCTCTCGACGAGTTTTACAAGGACATGCGCAAGTTCCGCAACGACTTTCGCGCCAACGCGCCGTTTACGTTTGCGGGTCAGCCCGACGAGGCGTACAAGATGGTGGACGAGTACGCGGTGCGCCTCGCCGAGCGCATCAAGCAAGCCAAGCAGTTCAACGAGCTCGAAGAGCTCTTTGAGCTCCAAGTGTCCAAGTACCAAGAGACGACGGACACGCTGTATGAGCTCCAGCAGCTCAAAAAAGTCTGGGACATGAAGGACATGGTGCTCCATACGTTCGCCGAGTGGAAGAAGGCGCTGTGGGTCAAGATCGACACCGAGTCGATGGAAGCGTACACGCGCAATGCGATGAAACAGATGAAGGCCGAGAGCAACGAGAACCAGATCATCAAGCAGTGGCAGACGTACAAGGACACGGAGCAAATGGTCAAGAACATGTCGACGATCCTGCCGCTCATCAACGATTTGCACTCGGAAGCGATGCAAGACCGGCACTGGAAAGCGCTCTCGTCGCTCTGCAAGGTCAAGGCCATTGACCCGAAGGACCCAAAGTTCAGCTTCGCCGACTTGCTCAAGCTTGAGCTTCATTTGCACGTCGACGACGTCGGTGAGATTGTCGAGACGGCCAACAAAGAGCAAAAGATCGAGAAGAAGCTCACACTCATCGAAGACCTCTGGCACCGCCTCACGCTCGACTACGTGCCGCACAAGGACTCGGGCACGTTCGTTATCAAGCCGTCGGAGGAGGTGGTCGAAAGCCTCGAGAGCAACCAGCTCGAGCTGCAGACGATGGTGGGCATGGGCAAATTCGTCGAGTTCTTCAAAGACCGCGTCTTGGCGAGCCAGAAGAGCCTTGGCCACGTCGAAGAGGTGCTGAAAGAGTGGGTGAGCGTCTCCAAGCAGTGGGCGTCGCTTGAGAGCATCTTCTTGAGCTCGCCCGATATCCGCAACCAGCTCCCGGACGACACGCGGACGTTCGAGTCGATTGACTCGAACTTCAAGGACCTCATGAAGAATGCGATTCTCGAGCCCAACGTCGTGAACGCGTGCTCGGTCGAGAACCGGCTCGAGAGCCTCAAGGAGATGACCGCGATGCTGGAGAAGTGCCAGAAATCGCTCAACGAGTACCTCGACAAGAAGAAGAAGATCTACCCGCGCTTCTACTTTGTGTCCAACGTCGCGCTCCTCGACATTCTCTCCAACGGCAACAACCCGAAGAAGATCATGCCGTTCTTGGGCGACTGCTACGACTCGCTCAACAACCTCATCTTTGAGGATGGCAGCCCCAACACGGCGCATACGATGATCGCAAAGGACAAGGAGCACGTCAAATTGCCCAAGATTTTCGTCATGGCCGGAGCCGTCGAGAGCTGGCTCAACGACCTCACGGAAGCCATGCGCTACTGCATCAAGAAGGAGATGCACGATTCGATCGAGACCGCAGCCAATTGGGACGTCGAGAAGCCCCGTCATCTGTGGCTTTTTGACTACTCGGCCCAAGTCGTGCTCAACTCGACGCAGATCTACTGGACGGAAGAAACCGAGATGGCACTGGAAGAGTTTGAGAACGGCCAAGAAGACTCGGTGAAGCGGTACCTCGCGTTGTGCAACCAGCGCCTCGAGCAGCTCATCAACTTGGTGCTGGGCGAGCTCACGAAAAGCGATCGGTGCAAGATCATTGCGCTCATTACGCTGGACGTGCACTCGCGCGATGTCGTGAAAAAGCTTGTCGACGAAAAGGTCGAGGGGCCGCTGAGTTTCCTCTGGCAGCAGCAATTGCGCTTCATTTGGCGCCAAGAGACCATGGACGTCGACATTCGCATCACCGACTTCCGCTCGAAATACTCGTACGAGTGGATCGGCAACACGGGCCGCCTCGTCATTACGCCGCTCACGGATCGGTGTTATATTACGCTGACCATGGCGCTGCGGCTCTTCCTCGGCGGGGCCCCCGCGGGCCCCGCCGGGACGGGCAAAACCGAAACGACAAAGGATCTCGCGCGTGCCATGGCGCTCTGCTGCTACGTCTTCAACTGCTCGGACCAGATGAACTACCAAACAATGGCCGACATCTTCCGGGGGCTGTGCCAAACGGGCACGTGGGGCTGCTTTGATGAGTTCAACCGCATCAACATTGAAGTGCTGTCGGTCGTCGCGACCCAAGTCAAGTGCGTGCAGGACGCGATCGTTCTCAATGCCGTGCCGGCGAATCGCGAAGAAAAGTACCGGCACATTGCCGCGGGGACGCCGCCCGTCGTCGTCGGCGAGTTTGAGTTTATGGGCGCGTCCGACCGCATCACGCTCATCCCGACCTGCGGCTTCTTTATCACGATGAACCCCGGGTACGCCGGCCGCACGGAGCTGCCCGAGAACCTCAAGGTGCTCTTCCGATCGTGCGCCATGATCCGCCCCGATCTGCGGCCAATTTGCGAAAACATGCTCATGTCGGAAGGCTTTCAGCAAGCGCGGACGCTCGCGATCAAGTTTGTGACGCTCTACCAGCTCAGTTCCGAGCTCCTCTCCAAGCAATTCCACTACGATTGGGGTCTCCGCGCTGTAAAGTCTGTCTTGCGTGTCGCCGGTATCCTCAAGCGCGCCGAGCCTGACGTCGAGGAAGACAAGGTGCTCATGCGCGCGCTCCGCGATTTCAACACGCCCAAGATTCCGCAGCTCGACACGCCAATTTTCCTGCGTCTTATCAACGATCTCTTCATTGGCGTCGAAGTGAACCCGAAGTAAACCTCGAGCTCCGCGACAAGACGGTCGTTGTCTGCAAGGCCAACAACCTCCAGCACGACGAGTCGTTCATTCTAAAAGTCTGCCAGCTCCAAGAACTCATTGACGTCCGGCACTCGGTGATGCTGCTCGGCAGCGCTGGCTCGGCGAAAACGACAACGTGGCAAACGCTCGCCAAGTGCTGGAACCTCAACAAGGAGAAGAAGGTGTGCGTCTACGAGACGCTCAACCCCAAGGCTGTCACGTCGGACGAGCTGTATGGCTACATGACGCTCTCGAAAGACTGGAAGGACGGTGTCATCTCGATCATCATGCGCGGAATGTCAAAGAACTACGCCGAGCAAGGCTTTTACGAGAGCCAGATGTACAAGTGGGTCGTCCTCGACGGCGACATTGATGCCGTCTGGATTGAGAGCATGAACACGGTCATGGACGACAACAAGGTGCTCACGCTCGTCTCGAACGAACGCATTCCGCTCTCGGAAGCGATGCGCATGTTTTTCGAGATCAATTCGCTCAAGAACGCGACGCCCGCAACCGTCTCCCGCGCCGGCATCCTCTTCATCAACGAGTACGACATTGGGTGGCGGCCGTTCATGGAGTCGTGGGTCGCACGGCGCGACGAAGAGATCGAGCGCACGTACCTCCCGGGATTGTTTGACAAGTACATCGAGGCGACGCTCGAGATGACGCGAAAAGGCTTCAAGCAAGTGTCGCCGGTCCGCATCATCAACCAAGTGAGCACGATCTGCTACCTCCTCGAAGGCCTCTTTGCGGAAATCCCGGCCGAGAAGAAGACACAGGAGGTCATCGAGTGCGTCTTTGTGTTTTGCGCGACGTGGGCGTTTGGCGGCCCGTTCATCGTCGACAAGAGCGTCGACTACCGCAAGAACTTTAACGAGCTCTGGAACGCAACCTTCACCGCGGTCAAGTACCCGAAGGAAGGCACGTGCTTCGACTACTTTTACAACGTCGAGACCAACGAGTTTGAGCACTGGAGCAGCCGCGTGCCCAAGTATACGCCGACGCCGATCGGCAATGCCGTCTCGGACACGCCGTTCTCGACCATTGTCATTAGCACCATCGACTCGGTGCGGCTCACGCGCCTCGTCGAGATCCTCGTGAACCGGCAGCGACCGGTGCTGCTGGTGGGCGGCGCGGGCACGGGCAAGACCACGATCCTCAAGACGTTCTGCAGAAGCCTCGACGAAGACATGTTGCACACGTGCATCAACATGAACTACTACACGGACTCGTTCAAGCTCCAGCAACAGCTCGAGCAAGTCATTGATAAGCGGTCGGGGCGCATGTTTGGCCCGCCCGCGACCAAGAAGCTCATCTACTTTATCGACGACCTCAACTTGCCGTACATTGAGACGTACGGCACGCAGAACGCGCTCGCGCTCATGCGCCAGCACATGGACTACCGCACGATCTTTGACCGGATCGACCTCGGCTTCCGAAAGGAGATTGTCGACGTCCAGTACCTCTCTGCGATGAACCCGACGGCCGGGTCGTTCATCATCGACGAGCGTCTCCAGCGCCATTACGCGCTCTTTGCGTGCATGATGCCGAGCAAGGAAGACCTCAAGACGATCTACAATTCGATTCTGAAGGGCCACCTCGGCTTTGGGTTCGGCAACGCCGTCGTGAACGCGAGCGAGGTCTTTGTCGCGCTGAGTATTGCGGCCCACGAAGACATTGCTAACAAGTTCTTGCCGTCCGCGACCAAGTTTGTCTACAACTGGAACATGCGCGAGCTCAGCAACGTCGTGCAAGGCCTCACGCGGTCCAAGGGCGAGTTTTACCCGACCGTCGAGTCGTTCGCGCGGCTCTGGATCCACGAGACGACGCGCGTCTTTTGCGATCGCATGATCAACAACGAAGACGTCGACAAGTTTACCGATCGGATGCGCGAAATCTCCAAAAAGTTTCTGCCAGACGTCGACCAAGACAAGCTCTTTCCAAAACCCTCGACCGGCGAAGACGAAGAGCCTGGCACGATTGTCAATATCTACACGACGTTTGCGACGCCGGTCGCCGGCGCCGACTCGGTGTACCTTCCCGTCGCTGGCATGAAGCAGCTCAACAAGGTGCTCACGGACCAGCTCGACGACTACAACCAAAAGTACTCGATGATGAACCTCGAGCTGTTCGGAAACGCCATGGAGCACGTGACGCGGATCTGCCGCATCATTGGCAACCCCGGCGGCAATGCGATGCTCATCGGTGTCGGCGGTTCCGGAAAGCAGTCGCTTTCGCGCCTCGCGTCGCACATTTGCGGCTTCGACGTGCGCCAGCTCAGCGTCACGAGCAACTTCAAGATTGACGATCTCAAGGAAAACCTCCAAGAGATGTTCAAGACGTCGGGCGTCCAGGGCATCCCGCTCGTATTTTTGATCACTGACTCGCAGATTGTCAACGAACGCTTCCTCGTCTTCATTAACGACATGCTCAGCTCGGGCTGGATCCCCGACCTCTTTGCAAAAGAAGACGTCGACGTGCTCCTGGCCGGTCTCCGGAACGAAGCCAAGGCCCAAGGCGTGCCTGACACGCCGGATACGCTCATGGATTTCTTGCTGCTGCGGATTCGCTCCAACTTTCGCATCATCATGTGCTTCTCGCCGGTCGGCGCCGTCTTCCGCGTCCGCGCTCGGCGCTTCCCCGGTCTCGTTAACTGCACGGTCATTGACTGGTTCCACCCGTGGCCCCGCGATGCGCTCGTGCGCGTGGCGACGAGCTTCTTGGAAAAGGTCGAGGACCTCGGCGACAAGACGCTTAAGAAGAGCCTCGCTAACCACATGGCCGATGTGCACATTTCGGTGACCGACATGAGTAAGAAGTACTTTGAGACGCAGCGCCGGTTCAACTATGTGACGCCCAAGAGTTTTCTCGAACTCATTTCGTTTTACGAGGTGTTGCTCGGGCAAAAGAAGGCCGAGATCCAGCGTCAAATCACACGTCTCGACGATGGGCTGAGTACGCTGCGCAAGACGTCGGCCGACGTCGCCGAACTCCAAATCGACTTGAAGAACACGATGCAAGTGGTCGCTGAGAAGCAAGCCTCGACCGACGTCCTCCTCGAGCAAATGGGCCGCGAGAAGGCGGGTGCGGAAGTCCAGCAGGAGAATGCCAACAAGGAAAAAGCCAAGGCCGAGAAGGCGTCAGCGTCGGCGCAGGAGCTCGCGCAGGAAGCGGAGAAAGAGTTGTCGCAGGCCAAGCCGGCCATGGACGCCGCGGCGGCCGCCGTCGACTGTCTCTCGAAGCAGCGATCACAGAACTCAAGTCGCTCCCCAAGCCGCCGGCCGGCGTCGATCTCGTCACCAAGGCGTGTCTCATTTTGGTCGAGAAGGAGTACAAGAACCACAAGTGGGACCGCGCCAAGAAGATGATGAACAACGTCGGTCAGTTCCTCGACTCGCTCAAGGTGTTTCGCGGCGAAGACATTCCGGAAGCCGATATCGCGCGCCTCGAGCCGCTGATCGCGGACCCCGAATTTACGACCGAGAAGATGCTCTCAAAGTCGGCGGCCGCCGCCAACCTCTGTTCGTGGGTCGTCAATATCTACACGTTCAACCGCATTTACGTGCGCGTCAAGCCGCTCATGGACTCGCTCGAAGCCTCGAAAAAGAAGAAGGAAGAGGCCGAAGAGACGCTGGCCAAGGCCATGGCGCAGGTCGCAGAAGTTCAAAAGCGCCTCGAGCAACTCGAAGACACACTGCGTCTGGCGACCGAAGAAAAGTTGCGTGTTGAGCAAATGAAGCAAAACTGCGAGAATCGACTGCAGCTCGCGGGGAAGCTCGTGAACGGCCTCGCGAGTGAAAACGAGCGCTGGGGCATTGAAATCGAGCAGCTCAAAGCCAACGGCGTCATGGTCGTCGGCAACTCGCTCCTCGCGGCGGCGTTCGTCTCGTACATTGGAGCGTTCGACCAGCAGTTCCGACGCGAGCTGTGGCAGACGCTGTGGGTGCCCGACTTAATTGCCAAGGCGATTCCAATTACAGACGGCATTGATCCGCTCCAGATGCTCACGACCGAAGGCAAGAACGCCAAGATGCTCAGCGAGGGCCTGCCCGCCGATCGCATCTCGATCGAGAACGGGTCCATCATCACCAACTGCACGCGCTGGCCGCTCATCATCGACCCGCAGCTGCAAGGGATCAAGTGGCTGCGCGAGAAGGAGAAGGCGCGCGAGCTGGTCGTGATTCAATTGACGCAGAACCAATGGCTGCGCAAGATGGAGACTGCGATCGTCAACGGCCACGTTGTGATTGTCGAAAACATCGGCGAAGAGATCGACGCGACGCTCGACCCGGTACTCGCCCGCGCCGTGTACAAAAAAGGCTCGAGCGCCTCGCTGTACCTCAAGTTCTCGGGCGAAGAAGTCCAGTACGACCCGAGTTTCTTCATGTACCTCCAAACCAAGCTCTCGAACCCGCACTACAAGCCCGAGATTGCCGCGCAGTGTACGCTCATCAACTTTATTGCGACCGAGTCGGGCTTGGAAGATCAGCTATTGGAGAAGGCCGTCAACAAGGAGCAGCCCGAGCTCGAGAAGCAGAAGCAAGAGCTCGTCTTGGCGTTTCAAAAGTTCAAAATCGATTTGGTCGAACTCGAAGACCAGCTGCTCGAGCGCTTGGCCAACGCGCCGGACGACATCTTGTCTGACGTGCCCCTCATCGAGTCGCTCGAAGAGACGAAGAAGAAGGCGACCGACATTGCGATTTCCGTCAAGAAGAACCAAGAAACCGAAATTATCATCAACAACACGCGCGAGCTCTACCGACCGGTGGCTGCGGAAGGCGCGATGCTCTACTTCTTGCTGACGACGCTCAGCGCCATCGACCACATGTACCGGTACTCGCTCGACTCGTTCATTACGTTCTTCTACGCGTCGATTGACCGCGCACCGACGGCCGAGAAGCAAGCCGAGCGCGTGCTGAATTTGCGCGAGTCGCTTCGCATCACGGTGTTTACGTGGGTCTCGCGCGGCCTCTTTGAGTCGCACAAGCTCATATTTCTCTCGCAGCTCACGTTTAACCTCATGAAGCGTGGCATTCTCGGCGAAGACGTTCGCATCGCCGACACATACATGCAATTCCTCCTCCGTGGGCCCAAAAAGACGGCCTCTGGCGACGCCGATGCCAACCCGATCGACTGGCTGCCCAACGCGCAGTGGTACGCGATTCAAGCGCTCGCGACGCTCGAGGAGTTCAACAAGATGCCCCAAGACCTCCGAGAGGCCTCGTCGCGCTTCCGCGAGTGGTACAACCACGTGACGCCCGAGAGTGAGAAGCTGCCATTGGACTGGGCGGGCCTCGACCGCACGCCGTTCCTCAAGCTCCTCGTCGTGCGGTGTCTTCGCCCCGATCGCATGACGGTCGCTGTCTCGGAGTTTATCCGGCACGTGCTTCCGAACGGCGCCATGTACTGCGACTGCGACTCGGCGCTCAACTCGACGCAGGTCATGGACAACTCGTACTTGGATTCGACGCCGACAACACCATTGTACTTTATCTTGTCGCCGGGCGCTGACGTCGTCGCGGGTCTCGACAAGCTCGCGGTCAAGTACGGCTTTGAGCGCGGTGTCTCGTACCATAATGTGTCGATGGGCCAAGGCCAAGATGTGTTTGCGATGGACCGCCTCGAAGTCGCGCACCGCAACGGGCACTGGGTCATCCTCAACAACATCCACCTCATGCCCCGCTGGCTCATTACGCTCGAGAAGAAGCTGGACGAGTTCGCGTTGGAGGGCTCGCACAAGAACTTTCGGCTCTTCTTGACGTCTGACCCGTCGAATGCGATCCCGATTGGTGTCCTCAACCGCTGCATCAAGCTCACGAACGAGCCGCCAAGCGGCCTCAAAGCGAATCTCAAGCGGGCGTTTGTGAGCTTCCCGAAAGAGTACATTGAGGAAGCCGAGGGCAAAGTCAAGTCGATCCTTTTTGGCTTGTGCCACTTTCACGCTGTCATGATGGAACGCAAGATGTACGGCCCGCTCGGCTTCAACATGATGTACCCGTTCTCGCTCGGCGACCTCCGCGACTCGGCCATTTGCCTCAACAACTACCTCGAAAACTCGGGCGGTGGCAAGATTCCGTGGGCCGATCTCAAGTACATTTTCGGCGAAATCATGTACGGCGGTCACATTGTCAACGACTTTGACCGGCTCCTCGCCAACACGTACCTCGACTTTTACATGCGCGACGAGCTCCTCGACGAAATGGAGATGTTCCCTTTCGTCGGCGACGAGAAAGGCCCGTCGTTCATGTCGATCGCGCCGTCGTCGTACGACAAGTACCTCGAGCACATTGAGACCGAGCTCAAGTCAGACTCGCCGCTCGCGTTTGGGTTGCACCCGAACGCCGAGATTGACTTTCGGACGACGCAGTCGGAAAACCTCTTCCGCACGCTCATGGAGCTCCAGCCGCGCGACGCGGCCTCGGGTGACGCGGCCTCGAGCCCGATGGAGATTGCGCGCACGGCGCTCGAGACCATCATGGGTCGCATTGGCGAAAAGAAGTTTGAAGTCGACGACATTGCGCGGTCGCTCGAAGAGATCGGGCCGTACCAGAACGTCTTTATCCAAGAGTGCGACGCGATCAATGTGCTCTTGCAGGAGATTGCGCGGTCGCTCAACGAGCTCCAGCTCGGGTTCCTCGGCGAACTCACCATGTCGGATGCAATGGAAGCCGTTCAAGAGGCGCTCTTCCTCGACCGCGTGCCCAAGACGTGGGAAAAGCTCGCGTTCCCGAGCACGCGTATGCTCGCGAGCTGGCTCCTCAACCTCGAACAACGCTTGGCGCAACTCGACGAGTGGACGCAAAACCCAAGTGACATTCCGCGCGTCACGTGGCTCTCGGGCATGATCAACCCGCAGTCGTTCTTGACCGCGATCATGCAAGTGACGGCGCAGCGGAGTCAGTTGGAACTCGACAAGCTCGTGATTCAAACCGACGTGCTCAAGCGCAAGTCCAACGAGGTCGACGCGCCGTCGCGCGATGGCGCGTACATCCACGGACTCTTTCTCATGGGCGCGCGCTGGGACTCGAACAACTCGACGGTCGACAAGAGCATGCCAAAAGAGATGTTTGCTCGATGCCCGTCATCAACTGCAAGGCGATCCAGGCCGACAAGCTCGATCTCAAAGGCTCGTTCATTTGTCCGTGCTACAAGACCGAGTTCCGAGGTCCCACGTATGTCTTCTCGGCGCAGCTCAAGACCAAGTCGCCGCCCGCTCGCTGGGTCTTGGCCGGTGTCGCACTCATCATGGACGTCCCCGTCGTGTAGGCGTTTATATATACTACAGTATTAGTGATTTCGTGGCTAAGCCAAACAATCAAATTCTTGTACAAACAATCGTTCGAAACGATATGAGCTACCGACGTCGAGCCGCATCCAAAAGTATGGCGACGTCCACGTGGCCGTTGGCGATGGCGGCCGTGCGGGCAATCTCCATGTCCAACGAGGTCTCGGACGCATCGAGGAGGAGGGTGACGACAGCGGCATGGCCGTGGGCCGCCGCCGCTCGCAGTGCAGATGATGACGCGACTGCACCACGGTCCAAAAGGCGTTGCAACACGGGCACGTGGCTGCGCGACGCGGCGCGGTCCACGGCGCGCGGCGTCGGGACGATTTTGCACGTCTGCAGTAAAAAATCGACAACCTCGAGGTGCCCGCCAGCGCTCGCGCCCTCGAGTGCGAGCGACGAGCAGGAAAAGCCGTGGGCGTGCAAGAGCTGCACCATCGCCAAGTGGCCTCGGGACGCTGCGCCGTCGATGGCCTCGGCGCTGCGGTCGTCGACGCGTGGCAATAAATGGGTGGCGAGCGATATCGACCCGGCCGCTGCCGCCGCGTGGAGCGCGGTCTGGAGCTGGACGGGCGAGTGGTCGCCGGACGATAACAAGTAGGCGCCAATCGCGTCGGCCGCGCACTTGGCGGCCCACACGAGGCTCCACGGCGCGCACGGGGCTCCGTGGCCGTGCTCACAGAGAAATCGCACGAGGTCCAAGCGGTGCGAGGCAATGGCAGCGTGCAGCGGACGCTCCGAGCACCCTTCGTGCCGGTGCTTTTGGAGCCAGACGACGACGTCGAAATGCCCGTTGTGCACGGCACCGTCCATCGCAGTCACTGAGCCGCCTTCGACGCGGTGATCGTGCAGCCATTGAAGGACGTCGAGGTGGCCGTTGGTCGCAGCACCGTCCAATGCGTGGATCGAACACCCTTCGGTGCGGTTTTCATGCAGCCACTGGACGATCGGAAGCGCACCGATCGTGGCGGCTCCGTCCATCGCGGCCACTGTAGCGCTTGCGCACGTCTGCGTATGAAGCCATTGGACAACGTCGAGATGGCCGTTGCCAGCGGCGGCGTCAATAGCGCGGTGCGTGCATCCTTCGCGTCGATGCGTGTGCAGCCAGCGGACGACAGACAAATGGCCCGATGACGCGGCGTTGTCGATGGCCCATGTCGTCGCACCATCGTTGCGGTGGGTGTCGAGCCACTGGACGACGTCGAGGTGTCCGTTGGCGGCGGCCCAGTCGATCGCGTCTTCTGAAGCGGCGGCGTCGGCAGCGTGCAAGCGACGCACAAGGTGGAGGAAGCCGGCACCGGCAGCCTCGTCGAGGCTCCACTCGAGCGTCGTGTCGAGATAGCCGCTCACATATTGGAGCAGCGCCGTGTCGACGAGGCGGTCCACGCACGCAAGGTGGACGGACGTGAGTGGTGCGTGCATCGCCACTTGGCATGTGGCGAAGCAGGAGCGACGGTCGTCGTCGTCTCTGCCTGCCTCTACCGCGGATCGAGACAGGGTGTAGAAAACAACCGATGGTATACTAAACAGCTGCTGTGGACACGTGACAATAATGTACACTACGTCCATGCGTTTACCACGTTTTACACGTTGAAAGCACATATTTCACATCTTTTACACAGCGTGGCAAATACCTCCGTTCCTTAGCCAATGACCATCTAGTACGGATAATAAGGAGAATTCCGGATAGAGACGCCAGAGACAAAGATTTCAAAATGGCCGAGAGCTGCGCGGCCCTGGACGCGCTCGAGCGCGAGTACGCGGCCATCGCGAGCCAGCGACCGATTCCGGCCATGGACTTCAGCGACATGATGGAAGCGGAGAAGGAGGATGGAGACGCATGCTTCCACGGCAACGAACACCAGATGCTGGGATCCGACTCGGAAGACGAAGGCGCACCGATGGGCTACGAGCCGCTTATGGCCGACAGCGACGACGAAGACAACGAGGCGCGGGAAGCAGTGGCGGCTCCTGTGACCAACAGCCGCGAGCCAGAGAAGATGACGGTCAACGATGTGGCGACGATTCAACAAGCCATGCAGCAACTCTCGCTGCCGGCGCCATCGTGGGCAAGAACTTGTCGGACGAGGACATCATGGCGCTCCTTGTGCCCAAGGCAACCCCGCCGCCAGCTAACTCGCATCATCCATAGGTATGAGCGTAATACAAGTCCATTCACATACCGCAGTCTCATGGAGGCAACGCCTTGCGAGCAGTTGGCCTGTACTAGTACGTCGAGCGAGACGCTCTAACCCACGCCCAAGTGTTGGTTTCGACGCATGCAACGCTACCGGAAGGTCACCTCTATAGGCGCCATAAAATGTTGCTACGCCCAGTGCATAGGCGCTCACGGCCAGGACGATCGTTCGGCAAAAAAAGTCCAGTTCTACGTTTCCACAACGGCAGCTTTGGCCTGCCGCTTGAGATGGTGGCCGCGGTACTTATATGCAGGTTGGCGGCCGCCTGCGTACAAGACATCGGTTGTGGCCAGGAAGAGCAGGTCCACACAGCACTCAGCTACAACCCTCTTTGCTGTATTATGGATACGCCAGCTCTCATAGGATGGTGATGAAGAAACTCGTAGTGTAAACGGACGTAAAACATTCCTCTATTGCGATCGGGGATGCTCCATGGCACATGCTCCTTCGCAACCAGGGTCAGGGTCACGAGCCGCCAAGTCAACAAGGAGCAACGGTTGGATCGTTCGAGAATTCGACTTGGCTCCTGAAGCAATATTACCCTCGTAAGACGATACGAACGGTTCAGGTTCGCTCAGCGCGAATCGTTGGTAATTGAGGCCGTTGTTTAAAAAGCAAAGAAATGAGTTGTTATTTCCTTGAGAGCAGTTTGCCGGCATCTTGCGTGGGTTGCGTTGGGGCATTGTAGACTTGTATCCGCTGTTTTCCTGTGGAATTTAACGGTGGAGTCTGCTTCCAACGAGGGGTCGGCGGACACCGCTGCTATGCATCGACGGGACAGTGATGGACCAGGACGTACCGAGACATCATCCGCAAGATGCCGCTCTTCTTGGCTATTTTGCGAATGCCCGATCTCGTCTCTCGGACAGGAATTCAGACGCAACAGAAGGCTGGGATATTTTACCAGGACTTGTAGCTGCAACATGAAGGAAACTACAATATTTCTACTGCGTGATGGCCATTTATCGCCTTATGCGGTGCAGATATTGCTCAAGACTTCAGCTGCCCAACCCTCTCGCTGCCGCAAGGACAACGACGAGCGTCGAGCAACTTCAACGTACGCGAATGCATCGCTTCTGATTGGCTGTTTTCTTTTGCAAGCGCGCTTCTGAGTGGTTGGATGGCACTGGCCGATGCCATTGGGTGAAACATTTCTATTGTCCTCGAACGATGGAGCGTCTGGTGCCCACCGAGGTCAAGCGCGCGGTCGTCGCGCTGCAGCAGTTCCAGCAAAAGCAAGCGCCGCCGACCAAGAAGAAGCACAAGAAACACGCAGTCGTCAGCCTCATCGTGACGCGCAAAAAAGTGCCGGCGACCGTGGCGTCCAAGCCGGTCCCGATCGCGCTGCCGCACTCGCTGCGCCTCGACGGCGACGCAATCTTGCTAGTCAAGGACATTGACCTCAAACGCATCAAGGACTCGCTGGCGAAGGATCCTGTGCCGGGCGTCGCCAAGGTCATGGGCCTCAAGCAGCTCAAGACGCAGCTCAAGGAACCCCGCGAGTTCCGAGCGCTTTACACGACCTTCCTCGCCGACGACCGCGTCCTCAAAGTCATCAAAGCCACGCTCGGCAAGAAGTTCTTCGACGCGACGCCGCTCGTTGAGCTTGTGCCTGTGCTCGTGGCCAAGCGCGACGTCAGCGAGTACGTCCGGCGCGCGCTCGATGGCACCACCATGGTTCCGTCGCCCGGCCCATGCATCAACGTCAAGGTTGCGATCGATCTCATGCCGGCCGAGGTCATTATGGAGAACATTGCGGCCGCGACCGCCGTCATCGTCGACAACATTGGACGCAAGTGGAAGAACGTCAAGTCGATTAGCATCAAAACGACCGAGTCGATCGCGCTGCCCATCTACCACGCGCCGGTCGACGGCGTCAAGAAGCCCGAGACTGCTGCCAAGAAGCGCAAATCGGATGACAGCGCCAAGCCTGCGACGAAGAAGGTCAAGCGCGACTAAGATTATGTGTAATAAATAGGTCAACTAGAGCAGTTGTGTACGACGACGCAGTGTTGCGCACAATTTTAGCCTAGCATCACGCGCTTCGTCGATGGCAACGACGTGGGCTGGCCTGGCAGGACGACCGCAGAGGCATGCAAATGCTCAGGCTAGGTCATTGTGGCCGCCATGGCTCGGCGCATCTCGCAATATGAGGTGACGCAGGTCGTCTCGTGGACCAGCCAGCCGTACCTCGCAGCAGTGACCACTGGCGCCGTCCATGGGCTTGTATCTGTCTACCTCGGCCCTGCTCGCATGCCATCGGAGCTGTCCCTGGAGGTGTCTACCGTTGCCAGAGGCCGGCCGCACCCAACGTCTTCGTTACTGCGGCCTACGTCCGTGTTTCTGCACCAATGGGATCGCGTCGCCATGGGCTTTTTAGCCAATGAAATCGTGAAACGCATTGCGCGACGGACGTCATTTCCGAATTTGCCGCCAGCCATGCGCAGTGTGACTTGCTCGACGCCGACCAACATTGCAGTCATCAAGTACTGGGGCAAGGACAGCGTCGCGCTCAACACGCCCATCAACTCGTCCGTGAGCGTGACGCTCAACCAGAAGCAGCTCAAGACGGTCACGTCCATCGTGGCCTCGACCACCTTTGCCGCCGACCGCATCTGGCTCAACGGCGCCGAGCAGGACATCAACAACAAGCGTATCCAGGTCGTGCTCAAGGAGATGCGCCGCCTCGCGACGAGCAAGGCCCTCGACGCCGACGGCAAGCCCATCCGCAAGGAGGACTGGCCCTCGTACAAGCTCCACATCGTGTCGATCAACACGTTTCCGACCGCTGCGGGCCTCGCGTCGTCGGCGGCTGGCTACGCATGCCTCGGTACACATTCTCGCTCTTACCTCTGTGACGATATCTCATGTGTGGTGGTGTCTAGTCGCAGCGCTCATTGAGCTCTTCGCGGCCGAGGAAGAGTACCCTGGTCAGTTCTCGGTGGTCGCGCGCCAAGGCTCGGGCAGCGCGTGCCGGTCGCTCGACGGCGGCTTTGTGCGCTGGGAAAAGGGCACCAAGGCCGACGGCTCGGACAGCTTGGCCGTGCAGGTCGCGGACCACCTCCACTGGCCCGAGCTCGAAGCCATCATCTGCGTCGTCAACGACAAGGAGAAGGACACGAGCTCGACGAGCGGCATGATGACGTCCAAGGACACGAGCGAGCTGCTTGGCTTCCGCGCGCGCGAAGGTCCATCTTCGTTCTCCATCGCGACTGCTAAAAACCGCTTGTTTTTCTAGTCGTCGACAAGCGCCTCCATGCGATCGAAGCCGCGTACAAGGCCAAGGACTTTGAAACCTTTGGCAAGATCACGATGATGGACAGCAACCAATTCCACGCGACGTGCTTGGACACGTACCCGCCCATCTTTTACATGAACGAGGTCTCGCGCAGCATCATCCACATGGTGCACAAGTACAACGAGGCGGCGGGGCGCGTCCAGGCCGCGTACACGTTTGACGCGGGTCCGAACGCCGTCATTTTCGTCGAGAAGAAGCACACGGCCGAGGTCATGGGGCTCCTCCTCCACCACTTTGACCGCGACGCGACGCTCGAGGTCCGCGGCGACTTTGAGAAGAAGCACGTGGTCGCGCCGGCCGCGAGTCTCCTCAGCGCGGTCAAGGTCAACGCCGCCCCGGCTCGCTCAAGATGATCTACCACACGACGGTATGACCTCGACGATCATCATCATCGATGCGAGCTCATGCGTGCGTGATTAGGTCGGTGAAGGTCGCAAGGTGCTCCCGGCTACCGAGTCGCTCATCGACCTCGCGACGTGCTTGCCGCGCCAATAGGTATTATCCGCGGGAACGAGCTCTTGGCTAGTTGACTTTCCTGTGTTTACATTTCTTTTTGCACACCTCATTCGACCGCCACGCTCTCCGTGCGCAGAGCCTTTTGAGAGGGGATGTCGGCTTTTCTGCAATGCGTTTGTTGTGAGGGGACCCATAGCTTCTAGATTGGTGGTGGTAGTTAAGTTGTAGCAGAAACGAATAGATCGCCACGGTTTACAAGTCGAGGAGGAGACGCTCCGGGTCGGCAATCTTGTCGGCGATCGACTTGAGGCACGTGACCGCCTCCCGGCCGTCAACGAGGCGGTGGTCGTACGTGAGCGCGAGGTACATCATCGGGCGCGCGACGATTTCGCCGTTGGCGAGCACGACCGGGCGCATCTTGGTCGCGTGCATGCCGAGGATGCCCGACTGCGGCACGTTGATGATGGGCGTGCCCATGAGCGAGCCAAAGACACCGCCGTTCGAGATGGTAAAGGTGCCGCCGGCCATGTCTTCCATCGTAATGGCGCCGGCACGGGCCTTCTCGGCGAGGTGCGCGAGCGACTTTTCAATGTCGGCAAAGCCCATCGACTCCGTGTTGCGAAGCACGGGCGTCACGAGGCCCTTGGGCGTCGCGACGGCCACCGAGATGTCGACAAAGTCGCGGTACACAATCTCCGAGTGGGCTTCGTCAATGCTGGCGTTGACACCCGGGACTTCGAGGAGCGCGTTGGCCGACGCCTTGATGAACGCCGACATAAAGCCGAGCTTGACGTTGTGCTTGGCCTCGAACGCATCCTTGTACGTCTTGCGCATGGCCATGAGCTTCGACATGTCGACCTCCTGGAACGTCGTCAACGACGCGCTCGTGTTCTGCGACTCCTTGAGACGCTCGGCGATGCGAAGACGCATGCGGTTCATCTTCTCGCGACGGACCTCACGCGACGCGCCACCGAGGAAGACGGGCGACGCAATGTTCTCGGCCACCTTGGGAGCCGCCGCCTTGGGGGCCGCGGGAGCCGCAGTCTTGGGCGCCGCAGCCGGCGCCGCAGCGACAGGCGTCGCGACGGGCTTGGGGGCCGCAGCAGGCGCAGCACCAGGGACCATGTGAAAGAGAGGCGCACCAATCTCGACAACGTCATCAACGTTGACAAGCGTCTTCTGGATGACGCCAGCCTGGGGCGCGCGAACATCGACAGAGACCTTGTCCGTCTCGAGGACGAGGACAACTTCATCGACATCGACGTGGTCACCAGCACCCTTGGTCCAGCTGACAACCGTGCCTTCCGAGATCGAGTCGCCCATCGACGGGACGTTGACCGTGATGGGTTCGCCCGAGACGGCCGCGGCCGGGGCAGCAGCAGGCGCCGCCGGCGCGGGGGTCGAGGCGGCCGGCGCCGGCGTCGAAGCAGCGCCAGCAGCACCTTCGGTCAAGCGGAAGAGCGGAGCACCAACCAACACCGTGGCGTCGACAATGGCCAAATGCTCGGCAACGACACCGGCCTGCGGCGAGCGCACGTCGACCGAGACCTTGTCCGTCTCGAGCACAACGACAACGTCGTCGGCCTCGACGCGGTCACCAACCGCCTTGACCCACTCGACGACAGTACCTTCCGAGATGGAATCACCCATCGACGGCACGGGGATGTCGATCGTGCTAAACATGCGACGCGCCATGGCGGGCGTGGCAACCTGGACGCGGGCCATCGAGGTCATCGAGATGGCGCGGCTGGCGCCGTTGAAGGACGCGGCCGAGAGCGCGGGGACGCGGCGACCGGCGACGAAGCGCGGCAGCGCGCGGACGGCCTTGAGCTTGTGGAGCTGGCGGAGCATAATCGAGTTTGTGGTTCGAGGGTCCAGTCCGGTTGCCTTCAACTATCCGTAGTGACGCTTATCCGGAATCCAATGAACCAGGGCGTCGAATCAGCTGGGCGGCCTTTTTAATGCATCTATACTTGCGTTGAATACCGATAATAAAATCTTGTCATTTAATGACGCGGTTGAAGTTGGTTGGGGTGTATAAACCCGTTGCGCATCCGGCGCGCCATGGGCCAAAGACCCGCCGAAGCCGTCGCTGTCCACGCAACCGCAGCGTCTGAGGCCGTGCGCCCAGCGGCCTGCACCCAGCCACATCATACCATCACCCAGCGAGGTCAGCAAGGCCGGTCGCGGGCTATCTTCATGGCGTGTCCGGCGGTGTCCCTTGCTCACGACCGCGGTAACCACCAAGGCGCGATCACCAAGATCTCATTTTTAGGCCAGGTCAGGGCTATTTATGCGAGCAATGACCAGCTCTCGCTTCTCCTATGTAGCGTTGCCGCGAAGAAAGCCGCGGGTCGGTAGCGGCGCCTGGCAAGAGCTCGGTTCGATGACTGCTCTCTACAGCGCCTCGTGGTGACCCGTAGCAACCCTTGCAAACACACCATACTTCACCTAGATGGTGTTGACACAGTCGTACTTGCTACCAACGAAGAGGACTTGGAAATACCAACGACTTAGACTGAGACCACTCAACAAGCCATGCTCCTTCGAGCAACGTGGTCGCATGGAGCTTGCATCCCTTGGTTCCTTGGACCGTGACAGCGTAGCTTCAGCACGTGTGGGACTCTAGTCATGAAGTGGAAGATCTCCGCGTCTTGAAAGGTTCCACAAGTGGCGATACCAAGCAAGAAGCGTATTCAGAGCGAACGGTACATTAAGGGTATACGAGGTGGCTAAGCAGAGGCATCGCTTTCATCGCTCGTCGAGACCTCTGGCACCAAGACAAAGAGGGGACCGCCGACGTGGACTACATCATTGACGTTGGCCAGCGCTCGTCGGACGACGCCAGCGACGGGCGCGCAGACGTCGACCGAGACCTTGTCCGTCTCGAGCACAAGAACAACCTCATCGGCAAGAACACGGTCGCCTTCGTACTTGACCCACTCGACGATAGTGGCGTCAGCAACCGTCTCGCCCAGGTGCGGCACGGGCACCGTGAGGCCGGCAGTACGCACCTCGTACGTCGTCGAGTGGGGCAAACCTTGCGTCAGACGAAAAAGCGGTGACCCAATTGGCACGCGGACGTTGGTCTCGACGAGGTGCTTGGCAATCACGCCGGCTTGCGGCGCCCGCAAGTCCACGGTGACCTTGTCCGTCTCAAAGACAGCGACGACGTCGTCGGCAGCCACCGCGTCACCGACCTGCTTGGCCCACTTGAGCACGAGGCCGTGGCGGATCGAAGGGCCCATGGACGGGATCGGAATGTCGATTGTCGTAATGTACGCACGCGTCGAGCCGAGGCCGAGGCCGGCGACGCGGCGCACGACGCCATGAAGGTTCGGAAGTCGCATCTTGGTTTCTGGCGGTTTGCGTCAACGGCAGCCCTTTGTGATTGGTCGAAAACAATCGAAGCCGCCAATCACATATCGAGAATCTTGGCGACAAAAACAAGGCTCAAGATACGATCGATGTGGATTGCGGTGATTTGGCGCCAACCTGTGCTTTGCTTCAACTTGCTTCCGCAGCGATTGCTGTCGCCATATATTATCTCGCTAAAACCTGCAACCTACCTAGCCATACCGTACACGCGGCCACCGACATTTCCTGCAAGACTATTAGGGTAAGGGTTATGCCACGACGACCATGGTGGTAGCTTTCGATGCGCCGCACCTGACGCAAGGGCTAGGTGTTATTCACAAACATCGTGTACTACGTTTTTCTTATAGTTGCCGACTACAATATTAGGTGATGTACGAGAGGTCCATTTTTTTTTGCGGCGGCGCGACGGGCTCTTCGGGGATGTGCTTAAAGGCGGCTTGGTTGAGAACGGCCGCGACGGCGTCGATATCGTGCAAGATCGAGAGGAGCGCGGACGTAAAGTCGGCGTTGCCCGTGAGCGCGACGAGATGGTCGTCCTCGTCAAAGCACCAGTGCATCGTCGCATACACCGTCATGACTTGACCGACCTACGATACACACATGATTGATGTGGTCTTGGACCCACAAGAGTGTGAAACGTACAAGCCGGGACTTGAGGTGGTCGGGGCAGTACGGGAAGAAGGTGCTAATCGAGTTGCGGCTGATCTTGAGGAAGGACTTGACGACACCCTTGACGATCGCGCCGTCGTCCGTCTTGGTAACGACGCAGTCGTGCATCTCCATCGACACCTGCATAGACGCATATTGGATCCCATGCGATACTACCAGCGACGACGCACCGACGAGAACGACGACGTGTAGCGCTGCCAATTGTCCAAGATGCACTGGACGCCGACGCCGTGGTCGTATCGAACATGGGGCACTGCGACGGCCGTGAGGAAGTTGGCCTGCTTGACGCTGAGCTTGCGCCTCGACGAGTTGTAGCCCTATTGCATCAGGCTCGTCGATCGCTTTCCAGTCAATGGAGGTCATGATTCGTACCTGCTTAAAAAGTGTAATGTATTGGCGGGCCATCTTGGCCGTGGGCCCGCCATCAAAGTCGGGCTGAATGCGGAGCACGTGGACGAGCGGTACTTGGCGCACGAGGCTCGCCGCGCGCTGCTGCAGCGCCGCAACCTCGTCCTGCAGCGCCGTCACGGTCGTGATGATGGCTTCGTGCTCCTTCTTCTTGCGATCCCGGAAGGACTTTTGGCTCTTGCGGCATTGCAGCCGCCGGTGCTGCTGCGCATCGTAGCCCATCGCCTCCTTCTCCGCATCCATGGTGGCGACGGCCTCGATGAGGCGGCGGTCCGCAACGCTCAAGCAGCTCATCATTATCCTTCAACGGCTTCTGTGGAATGTGCTGCTAGAATGGAAAAAAAGGTACTTGTCGTAAGTGTCCCATTCACGTGGGTAATCGCTGGTTAGGCGATTTTGCGCCAATGAAAAGGCGCCAAATCGATAAACCTTGTTTTGATTGGATGTTGCATATCATTCGCACCTCACCAGACGCACAGTGAAGGCTTATGATGAGAAGCCACAACGGTTTTAAAGACGAAACGGCCTCCACTTCGAAACAGCCATCGAATCCCGCGCAAGCTCCACGCTCGCAAATCCACACGCCACCAGCGGCACCCATAGAACACTGCAGCCGTGCGGTGGCCCTGGACGAGCTGGTTCACGAACCATTATTGTATACCACGAGGCGCAGCACGAAGTTTGTGGCGGGTCGCAGTCCAGACCGCGGCCTGACCACACACTCAGTCAGCGAAACTCCCCACCTGCGCAATGATTACGGTCTGAGTTGGCGGCATGCATCTGGCGCATCGCGATCTTGGAGCCAATGGTCAGGAACCTTTTCGTTCCACAAATGCTGGGTGCAAGCTCGTGCGGGTGATACGTCAGCGACGAAGATTCTTTGATGGCACTGCATGGACGCAAAATGACGCAGTTGCACGACAGCCTACTGCAAGTCCAGGGTGATTTGGGTGCAGACTCCGAGACAAAAATATAGAACCGGACAGGCAACGGTAGCTGCGCGAGGAGCTGTAGTCGTGACGAACGGGCGCTCACCGGTATACTACGTGTAGTATCGAATGAAATGCTTGCCATCCTTCGACGTCCTTGTCGCCAGCGCCGCACTTCCTTTGACAAAGTTTCCTCTGCTGACGATGGCGTGCTTGCACGTGTTGCGTGGCAATGCCGACGGAGCCCATTGCGGCGGCGTCATACACCACGAAGATTGTCGACTCGCGCTCTCGAGCGCCAACGGTAAGAAATTGGCTCCTCACTGACGCACCGGCCAAGCCTCCCGAGCGCATTAGGAAGTCTACCATATCTTTATAATTGCATGAAATATAACTCGGTTGAACGACAACGGTAAAAAGTCGACTCAAACTCCTTTCGCGTCTCGCATTCTTGGTTTGCTAATGACGTCACTGCCGCGTGTGCTTGTACTACGGTACACTTGGTTGCATCATCATCGATGGAACGGGTGGGCGCAGACGGGTTGCAGTGGGAAGGCCACCTCACTATCGAATGTTTTCGTGGGCGGGATTTTTGTCAAAGCAGCCAAACAGCGCTAGGTAAATTTAGCAAACCATCGTCTCATTGGTCCAAGACTTAAACAACAGTCTCAGTAGTTGAACTGGGAGAGCGCGATGGCAAACGCCTGAAACGGCGTCATCGGGTGCCGAAAATCGAGGTGAAAGAGCTTGTCCGAGACTTTCCCGAACTGCAGAATCACGCCTTGCTTGGTGCCCCGGAGCACGAGCTGAAAGTTCTTGACGGATGGCACCGAGACACGGCCGTTGAAGTTGAGGCGGTAGCAGCCCTTCTCGTACTCAGGCTCTTTGTTGTCGAGGATCACAAGGTCCGACGTGCGGCCCAGCTTGACCTGCTCCGCGAGCGAGCTAAACACGTCTCCTTTCGATGGCACAGAATTGGCTTCCCCGCTGCGCGTGAGACCAGGGCAGATCACGGTGAGCTTGCGTGGCTACCACATATAGAATACCGCAATCCGTCGCCGTGATTACGAGTGGATCACCTTAGAGTGGGACGTCTTCGTCTCGAAGAGGATCGCGCCCAGCTCCCGCTTCTCCGCCTGGGCGCTGATCATAACGTTCTCTTGCCGACCGAAGCTTGAGCGAAGCTTCCCGATGTAGTTGCCGCTCTTCTTGCTCAGCTTGTACGATGCAGCGCCCCGCGACATGTCGAAAATGTGGTAGTTGGACGTGCGGTTGTTGAGCTGCTTCTGGGCAAGGAGAACCAATTTGTTCTACATGCATGCCGTCAAAATCATGCTGCCCATATCTATATGAATACCTTGATGAAGAATTGGTACTGCGGTGTCAGTCGGTTCGCGCCGTGGTTGCAGCGTACAATCGAGCCCTACAGAGATCCGTCATGTCATCTCGGTCGCTACTTGCAACAGCAAAGGGTCATGATGTACCTCGATCAAATGCAAGGACGTAGCACTGCCAGGAAGAACGCTGAGTGGCAAGAAGGGGGTCGCGTCGAGCCGGCCTTCACCACTTTGGTTGCCCGCCAACGTGCACTGGTCGAGCTTTGTTTCGATATGCGGCACGCGCGTCTTCTCAAAGCGACTTTCGATTTTCGCTTCAGCAATCTTGCTCGGCTCGCTCGTGTCTCTGGCGGCGCTAAGCCACTCGGAACACGCGACCGAGACGTTCTTTGGATCGTCCTAACCCATCAAATGTCCGTCAGAGCAAGGTCGCACAAGTAGAGTCGAAGAGCATACGCCGTCTTCGCTGTCCTCGCCTTCACTGTCCTTTCCGTCGTGCCCTTCGCTATCGTCGTCCTCGTCGGCCTCGTACCGAATCACTTGGTTGCTCTCTTCCTTGGCTTCCACGTCCAGGTCCCACGCGCGGGACGCTACAATAGAGACTATCAGATCGTAGTCGCAGCGACAAGTGTTTGATAGCATACGCTTCATCGGTGCGCGGTTCTGGTTGTTGTTGCTGCTCGCCGTCGACATGGTTGATTGCACTTTGAAAAGATTGTCGCCGTTGGCCGCAATTCTCGCTTCTTATTGGCCACACCACATCTATTTTGAGACGCAAGTTGGGTGAATCAAGATTGGGCATGACGTGGCGCCACGAACGATCATCACGTGCCCAGAAATAGCTTGTATGGATCCGTGTGAGCATCCTGCGTCGCTACCATCGGTCCATTGCTTGCGCGGGATTGCCACGTACTGGGGGAAATGCACATGGTATACGCGTGGATAGCAACCATTTACTGCGACCAAGTCGACCGCAAGGACCTTGAAAAGAGGGCGCTCCTCCCAGTCGCATAAAAAACAACGTGCGGGCTTTTCCACCGAGCAAGAAAAGACGTATCGAAACGAAACGCCCAAGAAAGCATGTCGCGCCAGCGCATCTCGGAGGACGAAGCGCTGCAGCTGCGCAAGGAAAAGTTCCGCCTTGCACAGAGCAATACCGTCGAGGGGGGTATCGAGGGCTCGTTTGAGAGCCGATTTTCGCTGCTTGAGGCGCCGTTCTGGAAGGTTTTTTATGCTGCGTGTGCCGCCGGTCCCGAGTGGGTCAACCATCGATCGCAACTCATTTCCTACTCGCTGCCGCAGACCATCAACAGCACCGACGCTTACGTAAGATTCCAGGTCCACCCAGCGCACACGATGCGATGAATAGGGGGAAACCATGATGACACTGGCCGCGCAGCACAATCGCGTTCAAGTCCTCACGGTGCTACTTGGTATTAAGGGCGATCCATGGCGCACAAACCAAAAGGTGCCACTTTACATACCGCTAGCACGAACGAGCTCGGGGACACAGGGCTGGAGCGCCGTGACAGTGGCCGCCGTCCAAAACCACGAAGCAGTCATCCAGCTGTTTGCTGCGAATCGCGTCAAGTACGTTTCCAGTTGCCTCGCCGATGCATCGCTCATAGGCTATGGAAACTAGATTGGACTTGCCCGACAAGCGACTTGTGTGCCTGGGATATTAGCCGGACGATGGATCCGATGCCGTGTATGTGTAGGGGTATACGCCTGCGCACTTTGTTGTGCAGGCACAAAACGACAAGATGTTGCGGCTGCTGCACGACCTGCATGCCGACCTACGCATCGCAGCCAAGAACGTTGGAAACCTTGGCATCGAATGCAACCAAACTAGGGGCACCCTAGGGCTACACGCTTCTCCACACGGCAGCCGAAGCCGCGGCCGACGATTGTCTGGTATACCTTGTCAAAATGAAACTTATACCCGTGGACGCCCGAGACACCAACGTATTTGTTGCATCCACTTGGTATGGTCGCGACTCGAGCTGTCGTAGAACGAAACCGCGTGCCACAAGGCAGCGCGGCACAACCACAACCGCGCGCTCGAGATCCTCTTGGCCCACGGCGCATCCTTTTCGCTTGAAAACCGAGAGGTGATGATGAGCTACCTCTGCTCTCCTGCATGGCTCAAGCGTATGACATGCAATAGAACGATGGTGTCGCCAACATCCTCCTTGACGACCTTCACATGCACCGCCGGTTCTAGTGCCTTCAACACTCTCCTTTTCATGCGAACATATCGTCTCGGTGCCCACATAGTTTTCTTATGTATTGTATACGAATACCAAACTGCACTCAAACGCTCTATCAAATGAGCTATGCTCGGATCTTCTTACGTTGTTGTACATTGCGTCGACTTGCATTGGCAACAGCAGACCACTCTTATCTCCTAACATACACTATTTAATGAATTTGGGACACTATTTCAGTCGTTCACATAACGGCATTATCTTGGAGAGGCGCGCATATCTCACCAGGTTTTTATCCGAGGTCTTATTTCCAGACGTGCGACGGTCGGCGCCAGGTTGCGTCTCTAGACGTCTCAGAGCAATTGTAATGGGCGAATATCCTTGTTTCAAACTAGGATTGGTCGTTTTTGCCTATATTTGCCTACCGGCTTCTGTCCGGTAGGCAAATATACCGGTGCGTTTTGCACGTTGAAACGCCGAAGAAAATAAGTGGCAGGACGATGGCCAAGCCGGTACGTAGCACACGACCTCGTGAAGAGCAGCGCCTCTCATGTGGCGCAGCAGATGCGCGTCGGCCGCAGCCGCGTCCCAATCAAGCGACGGCGCCTCCTGGAGCCGGAGTCCGTTGCGACGCTCATGACGCCGTGTTCCAGGAACTGTCCCCGCCCAAGCCCCGCCCAGAGCCAAGAGCCGTCGGTATCTGAAGAGACCAATTCATGTCCGTCGCCGCTGTAGGGTTGTCTATCACTCACGATATGCTACTAGGGCCACTCGAGGCAAGTGAAGGCGACGACCTTGGCGTCCAGGACGATGGTGGCCTCGACGTCCAGAACGATGGCAGCCCCGACTGTCGAGACGCTGCCGGTCTTGACGCCCAGGACGATGACGACCTCGTTAATCCGTACGATGATCCACTCGACGACCCCAGCGACGATGAGGAAGACGCGATGACCACCAACACCAAACAACGTGATCCAGATGCACGTGCCTCGGCGTCCCGACATGCATCCAAGGAGCAACGTCGACTCGCAGCTTTCGCCAAGTACCTTTATCCCTGCGTGCGCGCGCTATGCTTCTTCAAGAACCCCGTGTCTGTCGACCGCCCGTGCGATGTCTATGGCTGCAACGCCAGCGCTGTATCAATCTGCACGACTTGTCACGCGTCACACAGCGCCGCACACTTGTGCACGCATCACGCGAACATCCACAATAAGCAGGCCTTTGGTCACAAGGTCGTGCAAGGCACTACAAAGTCGACCGTCAAGAACGTCAAGAACGTCGAGTGCTGCGAAGGAAGCCTTACCAAGTCGTACTTCGTGCGGCTGCATACGTTCGACATCGACGCCGACAAGATTTTCGTCAAGACATGCGCCGATCACCATATTGGTCCGCTTCTAATCGAATTAGGTTTTATGCCCAATAACCTTGATGATCCAAGTACGTCTAGCCCGCCTTGCAAAGCCTAGTCGAATGATTTTGCTGTCGTAGCCCACGCATTCTGCATAAACATTGTGGACGCAGCCGCCAAGATGCGTGCATGTGGGGCCCCGTACCAAACAAGCTTCGAGGGCTTCTATGGATTTGGAGCAAAGTCGGTTTTCTACAAGCCTTTTGTGGATGCAACGAGACACATTGTTGCGCTCGGACAACACGTGCATCATCAAGATCTTATCGGCGACCTCGTCGAATCGAACACAACGCCGATCCCAGCAAAGACCCGCTGCGGTGCGTGTGAGGGAGGTGATGAGCGTGGTTTTGGTCCTCGTATTATGGTACTATATGTTTGCAAACTGTGCTCTCATTGACATCACATAGACCATCGACGGCTTTGCGTCTGCCAAAAAAATGGCAGTGGCTCATGGTGGCGGCGGCAATTACGGCAACTACTCGTGGACGAGCTCGTACTTCGTCCCGCTCAAGAGCGATCCAAGGAAGGTTGTTGCGCATGGCCAAGGCGGATGCACCGCCAACACGATTGCCGGGGAAAACGACGGCAAGCGTAGCCTGCACGAGGTCAACATGGTTGTGCATGCCGGTTGCAGGCATGAGATGGTTCATGCAATCGTTGGTACGCAACTATATATTTATTTCGTACCGATCTAACGAAGTGCTTTTGTTTAGACGTCCCATTTGGCGAGAGGCTCGTCTGCGCTGAAACGTTGGTGGAGGCTAGCGTAAAAGAGACGACCATCGGCCATTATGGCTTGGCTACGACATAATTTGCAAATACACAGCTCATTGTCAGGTATGTCCAACAGCTTGTAATTTTAAGAATATGGCCACGACTAGCTCGTGATAGGTGAACAACCTTACCCGTGCTCGGCCGAAACTTGGTTTTCTGCCAGCCTTCCATGCGTACTCCCACGACAGCCGCTGCCAGTCGCAGTTTGGTCCACGTACCATTATGGGCACAGGAACCACACTCGATGGCGAAGGCCATGAGCGCACGAACAGCCTTTTGTCGCGAAGCATTGCCGCAACCCGATTTGAGACCGCGGGCAATCGCCAACAGGACATTGCTTGGCTCCTCGAATACAACAACCGCAAGAAGGAAGCAAACTACATTCTACTCGTTCGTAAAGCAGCCACCAAGGTATTCCGCGAGCTTCAAGACGCGTATGATGCCGTCAACGGACGGGTTGGAAGGTACTTGCGCTATGGAATGATGTTTTCTAACTTACTGTGATCTTATAGCTACGTCTCCAACGTCGTCCACAATAATGCGATGCGCAAAGAAGTTGTCAAGAACATTGCGCGATCGAAGGGCAGGAACCCACCCGAGTGTGTTCTACGTGCCGATATCGCTACGGACATCCGAGCCATCGTCAACCTTGAACGCCTTTTGAAGACCAAGATTGGTACGAACAAGGCGTCCAAGATGCGGCGGCGAGTTAAGACTCTACGCGTCAAGGTTGACAGCAAAATTGCGTTGGTCAAAGGTAGAGAAACCATTTGTGCTTCTTGCGGTTTGATCATTATCCCTTCTAGAACTGACGTATAGCAAAGCACGAGAGCAGCTGACCCTGCAAAGCGGCGCTCCCATGTACTGGCGTTACGTCGAAGACCTATATCACCTCCAAACGGCCTGCTCAACTGGGTCGACTACTACAAGGCCAGGCTTCTCCAGCTGTCCGAGACAATGCAAGTCGTCGTCGATAATTTCACGAACACGCAAGACGGCGGGCGCCGCTACGGCGTGCCATTCAAGGTTCCCAAGAAGTATACATGGAGCAAGTTGCCGCTGCCGAAGAAGTGTTGAGAGACCACGCATGCCGCATTGGCAACTTCAGTGGCAACGTCCTCGCTGTCCACTTCGCCGAAGTAAGTGATGCTGTCAACATTGGACTGCTTCACGATCAACATGCCTTAGTGTAATTTCCATAATACATTTCCATTCATCGAGTAACATCCTGAAGCGGACTGAGCTGGAAACCGACCGATACCGCTGTGGACGACGGGTCCTGCCGCAGCCATTGATTGATTCCTTCCAGCACAAAGAAACCAGAAAAAATACGAGGGGTAAGGGAGAATTGAACTCACGCCGGTAGGGACTGACAGGTCACAGACGATGCGAATTACGACACGACGAACTAGTCATTATCACTTCAATGTCATCAGTAAACAAATGAATGCATTTTTGTGGAATGCGGACGTGATGCAGCTTTTGATATGGACGAAATTGTTAGTGTGTGAGGCTCCTTCAACGTCGGCCAGGCCCGACGGCCGCATTCGTAAGGATGTGGCCGTCCATCAGTAGATTTTACTTCCTGGGCGGTGGGAAAAACGCATAAAGAACTGTAGTCTTCTTCGCGTTGTCGACAATGATGGCCTCAACTACTTCTCAGCTAGCTCCTTTGCCTTTAATTCAGCTTGGCCAACAAAGGTCGGGAACAGGTTATAAGGACTTGTGCCCCTGTACTTTTCGATTTCATTGGCGACTTGCTTTGCTTGATCGCCTATATTGTTGACCATCAACACTCCTTTCATCCCATTTTTCGTACCAGAGAAAAACCAGCCACCATTGTCCGTTTTCATGTCGTAGTGGTAAGTGATTGTCTGGATGCCGAGGCTCTCGAGCTCCTTCATCCCAAGCCTGACCTTCTTGTAAGCCTCGTTCTTCTGCTTCAAAACCTCAGTTTTCGAGAGCTTTCGATACGGCGCCGACGTCTGCTCAGCTGCCTTGCGTGCATACGCTTGCTTCGTCTCGTCGGACAACGCATTCCATTGCGAAGCGTAGCGCTGGTCCGTGTATTTTGCAGTCGGATCGGTCGCGCGGAGCCCTAACGTAACGCACGAGAGCTACACAAGCGGCCAATTGGAAAGAGGTTGTTACTTTGGAAATCGCTATTTTTTCTTTCATGAACACGTTGAACCCGCTCTTGGCGTATGTTCCCTTATAGTACCTATCCAGGGTGGCACTCATAAACAGCATTCGCAATCGAACGTACGTCTTGGTGCGTAGCTCAAACGTGGCCGGTACTTGTGGTTCCCCTGACGCAGCTCTGCCTTCCACGCGAGCTCGACGCATTTCCGATGCGATCATGGCCTATAGGTCGTACGATCATGGACAAATGAAGTGGCAGCAAAGCAGCAGTACCTTGATCTTGTCGTCGTCATTAATGCCCAAAGCTAGCCCGATCTTCATGCGGTGATCCTCCCACTTGCGCGCCGTGGTGACGCCGTCCTCGCGCACAGCATGGGCAATGAGGCCACGGATGTCAGTTGGCACAACTTCGTCCGCTGTCCTCTGCTCTTCCCCCGTCATTTCCGCAAAATGGCATGTTGGATCCACACTTGCAATCCCACCAATCAACGGTACATAACATTATTTTAATGGCATACACCATTTATCCGCATCGAACACTATTCAAACTAATGGTTACTGTCGCCCGACAGCAGTCATGAACAGCTGCCTGCCTTCGTTAGTCTGGAGTCGTGCTTTGAGAAAAAACCGGCTGGCATATCTCCATGGACCACACGGTCGTGACCGACTATACGCGCGTGAGCGAATGCGAGAACGTCAAGGTCCTCTCTGCTGTCATGTCTCGGCCACTTCATTCTGGTGTGCGATAGGTCTATGTCCGTGCCCGACCGTGCGCAGACGGGTCCGAGCCGTTTGACGGCATGTTTGAGCGCCGAAAAGAGACCCCCAAAAATATTACGATCAAGGTCCCAATACGTCGACCGAGATACCAACTCGACGCTAACACATGTGTCGTTTAGGACGTGGACAAGTCCCAGTACGGCGAGCACGCGTTTAGCTTTGACAACGTACGATCTGCAGATCTTGCGCCGTCGTGACCACCGCGGCCCTAGATTTTTTGGACGCAAACGAACCAAGAAGAAGTGTTCGAGTCGGTGCGTCCTTTGCTCGTTGCCATGCAGCATCGTGATCGCGCGACGCATTAGACAAGCAAACCTCTTGTCGAGTTTGCTCTCAAGGGCATCAACAGCTGCTGCTTTGCGTATGGCCAAACAGGCTCGGGCAAGACGTTTAGGTAGCGCAATTGGAAGACAAACGCGATCTGATGGACGCCGATAGCATCTTTGGCGAGACGGGCGAAAAAGATGGCATTATTCCGCGCTGCACCGACCATTTGTTTGAAATGATTGAGCGCAACCAGCAGTCCGACCGCACCAACAAGCCCGTATCTGCCATCAGTAAACATCGTGTTCGCGGCAATCTTGACATGTAGGAAATCACGCTGGTTGTAAGCTTTCTCGAAATCTACTGCGATCGGCTGCGCGACTTGGGCCGCGAGTACAACGAACCTTCATCGTGAATAAGAATATGAGGCGACTCCGTGGCCTAGGTATGCTCAGAAAACGGGTCGTGTCGTGTCGTACCAGCAGAGCAGCAGCGCCGATTGGTACTTACGCCAGGTACTACGGCGTTCATGGCTCGTTGACGGTATACATGACAAAGTACATGTGCGTAGAAGGCGATGAAGCGCACCGACAGCAGTGCGAGGTGCATATTGCGCTGTAGCACAAGCTGTCCAATGCGATTCTAGCGTCTTCTCCAACCACTCGTGCAAAGATGATATGCGCATCGACTATGAGAAGGGTCGGAGCGATGCCGCCGACCCCATTCTTGGACTGACGCCAACTGCAACTAGAAAACCTCGAAATCCACGAAGACGCTCAAGGCCAAGTGTTTGTCAAAGATCTCTCGATGATCGAAGTCACACGCCGCGAAGAAGTAGCCAATTCGCTGTTTAATGACGACACATCATGGCGATCGTAGGTGAATGTGATGGTGCAAATGGGCCTTAAGCTGCGCTCAACGCACGAAACCAAGATGAACGCCGTCTCGTCGCGATCGCACACAGTCTTTTCGATCCACGTCTTCCAACACGGTGGATATACGCTGCTTGCTGCTCCATGAACTCGAATTTACTGATGCAACTTGCGCATAGATTTGGCCACGAATGAAGTCATTTCGGGCACGCTCAACATGGTCGACTTGGCCGGGTACCGACCTTGAGCAAAGGTTTGCGATCGGGGAGGTAACGCCAGCGTAGATCGGAACGCCTCAAGAAAAGCGAGTCGGACGGACAGCGGCTCAAGGAGGCGTTGCACATCAACTCGTCGCTCAGTGCGGTCGGCAAAGTCGTCATGTCGCTCGACCCAGAGAGCCGCTTCAACTACATTCCGTACCGCGACTCGAAGCTCACGCGTCTCCTCCAAAACAGCATCGGTGCGTACCACCTATACATTCAAGTCTATATTACGTCTCAACCCGACTATTATAAGGTGGCAACTCGTTTACGATTCTTATTGCGACCATCCACCCAATGAAAGAGCACTACGAGGAGTGCTTGAGCACCATGCAATTCGCCAACCGGTGTCGGACCGTCCAAAACCAAGTACATTATGTCAAACACTCGCCATTGATTCCACGCACCCTGTAGCCCCGCGTCAACTACATCAACCAAAACGTTGTCGATAAGGACAGGCGAATACGCAAGCTTCAGGACGAAATTGCGCTTCTCAAGCGGAAGCTCGAGTGCCTCCGCGCCGAGCAAAACAACCGCATGGGCACGATTCTGCGCGAGCTTGGCTACGACGTTAGTGGCTTTACCGAAGAAGGCAACGTGCGCCTTGCTGTACGCTACCGATAGAGAGAGAAGGTGTCGACTGTCAAGTAGGACGGCACGGTGGTGGTTGCGACAGAAGAGACGATCCTCGACATGCATGGCAACCCCATTACGCTCTCCAAGACCGAGGACGCGCAGGGGCACTCGCCGTCCAAGAGGAAAAATCACTCTCGGACCACGGTCGCCACCAAGAGCTTCGGCGCACCATCGGTATCGACGCGGTATTGCATTGATTGTAGTTGACGTGGCGTATAGATTTTTGCGAAAAGAACGCGACTACATGCGTCAAAAGGCCGAGGATGTCAAGAATGCCGTCCTCCTCGCACAGGTAATCTCCCTGAAGTTACTATAAACTCAATGCGTGTAGGCCGAGCTAAAGAAGGAGAAAGACGATATGCTGCGGCAGCTACAACAGCAGAAGCGCGAAGTGCTCCGTCTCGAGAGCGAGCTCGTGCTCAAAGACGAAGCGCTCGTCCGGATCCAGGCCCAAGGCGCGTCCAAGCACAAAGAGGACATTCAGCACATCCTTGAGCACAGCCAAGCGCTACAGCGAACGTCGCAGCGGCCGAGCGTGATGCTTCGGACTAAATCGGATGCCCCATGATGCCACTCGCGGTGTCCCCCGACTTTGCCCAGCGCGCGCTGCAGCTGGAAAAGTCCAAGGAGGACGACATTGCACTTTTGAAGGAGCAGTACGAGTGCCTCTTGGCAAGGAAAAACAAGAGCTCCTTGACTTGACCAAGCAGTGGACGCACCACTCAGCGACGGACCGAGAAACCATCGAAGTACGCTGATTCTTGCAACGTTGTGATGCCGATCGGTCGTCACTCGCTAGACGCTCAAGGACGAAATGGCCCAACTTTACGTCTACACGACGCGTCTCTTCCAAGCAAGCCAGCTCCACTTGCAGCGCAAGTATGTTGCGACTATGGCCTACGCAGATCGTCTCAGCGCGACGATAGGGGCCACGATGTGGCGTGGCCCAAGCCTCTGCTGACAAATACGACCAAGTTACGCCACTTCCGAGCGCTACTCGGGTCGGATCCGCTCGTCCAAGCTCGTGTGCAGCACGCCAAGGAGCACAAAGTGATGTCGGCACGTGCCGCAGCCACGGCACGTCCCGTCTCGGCGCCCGCGCGCCGGCCCATGAGTGCGGGGTATGCGTCGACATTTCGGGGCCGCATTTTGCAACCACCTCCTGTAAACTTGCTGGACCCTGGGTTGATCATTGCTCATTACTGAAGGTAGATTGCAACAACCACAACAGAGGGCGACGGTATCCTCAATGAGGACGACGACAGTGACTCGGAGCTCAATATGCTCGTACGACTTGCTACGCCATAGAGGCGACATGGAGGCTCACAGGCTCCTGCATGGTCTTTTAGCCGATTGAGACGCTACGCCAGCTGCTGCGAGACGAGCGGGCCAAGCAACAAAAGTCGCGGCAGCCCGAAGTCGACGACGACGTCGTCGAACAGTTGCGCACGAAACTGCAGCACGAGGTGACGACGACGCGTGTACGACGCGAGACCATGGTTGGGTGTAGGCTCAAAAGAACCGCGAACTGCGCGCGGCCAATGCAGCGCTGCAGCGACAACAAACCAAAACCACCCAAGAAAAAGTGGTCATTGCCAAGCCACGCCCACAGTCGGCGACAAAACGACCCATGGGACGGGAGGAATAAGATGCCAACCCATGCAAACGACAAGCAGTGGTAGTACTGGCCGCACGACGTTGTCTACCTTGTCTATTGGCGCACGACCATGCACATAAGTGTATCTAGATAACACAGTCTTCTGGATCGTGGATACCGCTGGTGAAAAGAAACGAGTGCGGAATGCCGTCCCTGTCGCTCCATGCGCCACGTCATAGGAACCTGCGGGGATCATGCACGCACGCGGATGCTAGATATACATCCATGATAGGTGGGATATACTGAACTGAACGGGTAAAATTCCAAATATGCCCACTTTTTCACGAAACTTCCAAATGTGTCCACTTTTCACTAAAATACCAGCTACCAACGATTGGCCGGGGCTTAAGACAAAAAGAGATTGGCGTTTCGTGGTCACCAATTCTTCGGCTATCGAATGCAATGGGCCCTGAGTTCCAAATAGGGGTCGAAATTGCACTCATTAATCGAGCGTGGACACAATTGAAAGTTTTGCACGAAAAGTAGGCACATTTGGGATTTTACCCTGTACTGAACAGTAGCTAAGGATTCGTACATCGTCCCATCGCGGGTGTGGGATACACCATCATCATCATGGTGCTCATGCATTACAAAATAAAATCTCGCGTCCAAGACGACCCACTTGTTTCGTCCGTGCCCTCCATGATGCTTCCGAGTTGGTGTCCGTGTCACACGCTATGCATGCAGAGCTCAGGGCCACCCACGTGCAGTGCAATGGACGAGACGGTCGCAACGAAGCAACAAACGGCACTTGGTACGTTCATCAATTTTTTTCAAAGACACCTACTTTCACCGCTGCAGCGTGCCGCTGCTACGACGTGTACTGTCGAATCACGGCTGCTTTCTTGAGTCAAATCGTAAGCGACCCGTGCGAACAGTTCGAGTCGTTAATCGTCGAGGGGAGGGAATAAATTGATGTTAACGAAGCGCTACTGGTACAACAGACAAGAAGGACACATTGGACACGACCGCGAGTGCCTAATCGCACAAGATGAAGCTCAGACTAGCCTTGTTGGCCTCTGCGTTGGTCGGCGGCGACGATTTCGCCTTGCTGGCTTCGCGTTGCATTTGCAATCGGCGCGAGTTGTAGGCCTTCATCTGCAAAAGGCGCTTGGCTTTGTTCTTCTCGTACCACGCCTTCATTTTTTCTTTCTGCGCGTCGCGGTGGGCGGCATACCATTCCTTCTTGTACGTTTTGGTGTCTTGCTTGGCGCGCTTCGCCCGCGTCGCCTTGGCTTGCTTGGGCTCGTCCACGATTGGCGCCGAGAGCTGCCAGTGGTGGTGGAATTGCTCGCCGTAGAGGTCGGCGTAGTGCGTGTACGTCTCGGCAGGGTACGCAGCAGCAGCCGCATACGGCTTGGTGGCGTAGTGGAGGCTGCCGTAGTATGGTGTCGGCTCGGGCGCCGTTGTCCGGTACGTCGTCGTCGGGTGCACTGTCATGGTTGTGGTAAATCTGAAAATGAGGCAATTGTTGGCCGAGAACCGAGTTGGGTTTGGCCGCCAATTTGTTGAGTTCGACGGCTGCTGCCACTGCATTCATTGATGTGGGTGCGTGTCCGGTGGTGTAATTCGTTCAAGATGACTCGTGTAGCCAGGAACCACTGATGTATCCACTGTGCCGTACGAACTAATCCGCGATGCAAACAGTACGGTACCGGTACCAGCTGGGTCTGTTCGGCAACGGGCCAACGTCTTTCTCCATTTCGTCATGTCCTACCAGATGGGTCGTCGGTATTGAGACGGGATAGGTATGAAAAGGTCAATTGGAGACCCATACGATAATATGCTGTGCTCTGGTTTGTCAACTTTGTCGAAATCAGCTATCACGTTTCAATCAGTCGCGGACCGGACGTTCTGGCACTATTAATATGTCGTCGACGCCCGAATCATCGCGTTGGAACTTGGGACTGCCTCGTCAGCACGCAAGGAAAAGAAGGGGTGCTATCGAAGGTGCTATCCAGTGCTTCAACGAACCTTTCTTTTCTATTGTGCATGGTCAAAACTCTGGAATGCTGGCGAGTTACACCCATTGTATCCTATCATGCACATGTCAGGCCTGCGTTGGACATGCCCACCTCTGGCGGCGGCGCGCGACGTGCGATTGGCGGCAGCAGCCATGAGTCCAGTAGCGTTCTGCCACTTTGTTTACCGACACAGATGCCCGCGCGTGAGACCATCCATCGGACGTTTTGCAAACTTGCGGGAGAGACCGCGCGCACCTGCTGTTGCCTGCACGCGCTTCCTCGAGGCCGCCTGCCTTCGCCAGCCACGAAGTGGACTACGTACACAACATATTACCAGCAATTCGACTCGTGCCAACTTGAAAGTATGACGAAATTCTGATTCAAAAATGGTCAGTGGTTCCATCCTTCCAAGTCGCTGCCAGTAGTACTCGGAATCATGCAGGCGACGGCGGGTGCTCTGCAAAGAAAGAAACCGCGTCGCAGGCACGAAGAAAGGAAGCTGTCAACTGCGCTCCTTGCAGCCATGATACGCGGCCGTGCGTGCGCGCCAGCCGCTCGTGACACGCAACAAGAGGTGCATCATCATATGCGCCTCACGCCGCGAGTGAGTCATCTTCTATGCTTGACGCTTAGCCAACAAAGAAGCGGCGTTCTTTCGATGTGGTCTCCTCTACTTAGTACTACGTCGACACTATCTAGGTGATGCGAGGTCCCGTTTACACTACTACTAGTCGACGCGAGCCAGGCCTTCGATGAGTTCTTCAAAGTCCCGCAGAAACCAGTCGGCGCGCTCTTGGACCACTTGGCGGGCAACGACACCCCCATAGCCAACAAAGAGATCCGCTGGAGGCTTGGCTTGCATGTCGGTGGCACCGTCACCGACCATCACCACGGTCTTGTAGCCGCACTCGCGCTTGAGCCTAAAGATGCATGAGAAGTCGTTCGTAGCGCAGTGCAAGGCACGCGTACAGCTCAATGACGCGGGGCTTGCCTCCGTCGCGGCTAGTGAGCTCGTTCGCATCGAAACCCTTGTAGCTGCCATCGTCATGAAAGTGAATCGTGTTGGCGTAAATGCGGCTGGGCGGAATCCCGAGGTGGGCGGCCACGGGCTCAATCATGAGACGAAACCCCCCGGAGACGAGGTAGACGTCGACGCTGCGCGCTTGGAGCTCCTGGATCAACCGCTGGATACCCTTTGTGAGGTGCTTGGTGGGCGGATGGGCAGCCAAGCACGCGTCAATCGCAGCCTTGGAGGGCTGGATAATGTTGAGCCGCGCCGCAAGCGCGTCCTCAAACTTGACACCGCCGTTCATGGCCTTGGAGGTCCAAGCAGACACGGCGTCGCCCTGGCCACAGTGCGCAGCCAGCACGTCGATGCCCTCGTCCTGGATCACAGTACTGTCGACGTCAAAGCACACGGCCTCGGCGCGGCGCCAGATCTCGAGGTTCGCCGGCGAGCTAAACGAGCGCTACCAGAGATGTGAGATCTTACATGGACGCTTTTCGCCTCCATTAGACGTACGCAAGCAATGGGCGCAAGGCGAAGACCACGGCGAAGCGCAAGCATGATGGCCCAGTGATTCTGTGAGCTCGAACCGATTGCGCAACAAGATGTGCTCAAAATACAAAACTACACTATTTATGCACATTTGAAATAGTGTGTGTAATCACAGATATGTGGTAAATAGTATTACCACCGTGTGGCCGCTGTACTAGGGTGTCTACGACGGCAGCGATAGACGTAGAAAGTTGATGCCCTCCGATGCTACATTTTTCGACTTGTTGTCTATTGGAGCGTACGTAATCCCATCGTACTCTCTTCAGTGGTACCTGGTACGCGTCCGTTGCCAACCCCATCGCTATCGGATGAATCATACACTATTCAAGAATGCTGTGGTTTCGCGGCTCGGTTACTTGTGATTGGCTCGCTGGTTGAAAAGGCCACCTGTGGGACATGATTTTGACCAATGAGGCGGGCGCTCAATGGTGCATCCGTGGGATCCACGCTCGACGACCTCACTTCGTAATTTTGCCACGGACCAACCGAGCCATGCCCCACGAGTTCGCCCGCCTTCCGACCACGGTCCGACCCATCAAGGTACGCCTCATGCAGCACCACATGGAAGGTTGACGCCCTGTATGTGCGTAGTACACGCTTGCGTACGACGTCGTGGACCTCGGCCGCTACCGCTTCGAAGGTCGCGAGACCATCGACGTCGAGGTGAACGAGGCGACCAACACGATCACGTCCCATGCGATTGAGCTCTGGGTGCACTCGGTCAAGGTGCGCCAAGGTGACAAGACCATCGCTTGCGACGAGGTCCGCTTCATCGAGGAAGATCAAACCGTGACCTTTGTCTTGGCCGAGACCTTGGCGCCCGGGCCCGCCCAGATCGAGCTCGGTTTCCATGGTATTCTCAACGACGAGCTCCGTGGCTTCTATCGCGCGGGCTACGAGCAGAATGGCGAGAAGCGCATCATGGCGACGTCCCAAGTACGCATATGGTGTCGTCGACTTGATTCCTCATGCATCTCTACATCGTAGTTCCAAGCTTGCGACGCGCGCCGAGCGTTTGTGTGCTGGGACGAGCCCGCGATCAAGGCGTCGTTCGAGATCTCGATGGCGACGCCCGTGCACCTCACGGCCATCTCCAACATGCACGTGCTCTCGACCGCGATTCGCCCGTCGCCGTACATCCACAACGCGACGGAGAAGGTGTGGCAGTTTGCTGAGACCCCCATCATGTCGACGTACTTGGTACGTGCATTGGAATGCATCATCTGCTTGCAACCGCTAACGGCTCTGAGTTAGGTTGCGCTTGTTGTCGGTGAGTTTGACAGCCTCTCGGCCTACTCGCGCGAAGGTGTCCTTGTCAACGTGTACACGCCCGTCGGGAAGAGCAACCAAGGCGCGTTTGCTCTCTCGGGTACGCCCCATGGACTTGTTATAATTTGTGAAAAGGTATCTTATCCTGGGTCCAATGTAGTCGCGACCGAGTCGCTGTCGTTCTTCACCAAGACGTTTGGCCTCGAGTACCCGCTCAAGAAGCTCGACATGCTGGCGATTCCGGACTTTGCGGCCGGTGCCATGGAGAACTGGGGCTGCGTCACGTACCGCGAAGAAGCGCTTTTGATTGAACCCAGTACGCGCGCACTTCAATCCATGGTCACGATGGACGCATGTTCTTGCAATAGGCCAGAGCAGCCAAGACAGCAAGTCGCGGGTCGCACTCACGGTCGCGCATGAGCTCGCGCACCAGTGGTTCGGGAACCTCGTCACGATGGAGTGGTGGACCGGCCTCTGGCTCAACGAAGGCTTCGCGCACTTTATGGAGTACGAGGCCGTGAACGCGATCTTCCCCGAGTGGAAGATGTGGGAAAACTTCATCCAAGAAGTCACGCTCGGTGCAGCGTTCCGCGAAGACGCCTTGCTGAGGTACCGATCTGCTCCGATTCAAATCCATGCGATACTCACTATCGTATTAGCTCGCACATGATTGAGGTCGAAGTCAACCACCCGGACGAAGCCGACGAGATTTTCGACGCGATCTCGTACTGCAAGGGTAGGCATTGCTTGCAACCGCCTTGCTTACGCATGTTCTGCGTAGGTGCGAGTATCATTCGCATGCTCTGCGAGTACCTCGGCCAAGACGTCTTTTACAAGGGCATCCAGGCCTACTTGAAGCAGTAGGCTCTCCTGGCACGGACATTCGGGATATCAAGTTTTGGCTGGGAATAGGTTTAGCTACCAGAACGCAGTGACGTTTGACCTCTGGCACGCGCTCGAAGAAGCTTCGGGGCTTCCGCTCGCGACGATGATGAACACGTGGACCAAGCAGACGGGGTACCCCGTCGTGACGCTCACGTGTGGCGAGGTTGGCGCTCCATTGTCTTGTTTCGGCGTATTAATTGAAGCACTTTGATAGGAGCTCACCGTGAAGCAAACGCGCTTCTTCTCCAACCCGTCGACGCAGGACGACGGTGACAGCCGCTGGGACATTCCACTGACGGTTGTCTACGACGAGGCCGAGAGTGCCACAGTCCACCGTGTTGGTATTTGGTCGGCGGGCGATGCGCCGCGGGACGATTCGGGTGAAATCGCCGCGGCCAGCGACCTCTTGGCCAACGGGGAGCTCAAGGGTGCGACATGGGTCAAGCTCAACGCCCATTCGCAGGGCTTCTACGTCGACAACTACTGCTCGGAGGGGTGGCGTCGCCTCCAGGCGCCTTGCCAGCGTACGCCAACATCTTGTATAACATATCGTAGTGTGGTTGACACGCCACGTAGAGCTCGTGCTTGGTGACGTCGAGCGGATGTGCTTGCTCAACAACGTGTTTACGCTCACGCGGGCCGGCCGCGTCGCGCTCAGTGATGCGATGGCATTTGCTCGGGCGTTCGCGGCCGACCCGAGCTACCTCGCGTGGAAGACGCTTTCGGGCCATCTCGGCTTTTACGCCAAGCTTTTTGCGGACGAAGAGTTCTTCCCGGCTCTCCAGAGCTACATCGCTGGCCTCTTTCAGCAGCCGATGGGCCACTTGACGTGGACGTCGCTGCCGACGGACGACGACAACTCGGCGTACTTCCGGAAGGCCGTCATCTCGATGCTCGGCCTCGCCCGCGACCCAGGTACGTGCTCTCAAGGGCGTAAATCGTTGCTGACGGTATGTCACCTTAGCGGTGGTAACGGCTGCGGAACAGCACTTCCAGACGTTTGTCGCGACGCCGACGTAGGCGTCCAAGGATATGCGTGTACAACGGGCTGATAGAATCTGCTCCTAGTGGGTCGCCGTTGGCGTCGGACTTGCGCAGCTGTGTGCTTGACTTGGTGGCCGCTGTGCACGCATCACCGGTCGTGTACGACCAGCTTCGCACGCTCTACGAATCGGTGGACCTCGGCGAGTTCAAGCTCGACTGCCTCGGCGCGATGGGCCAAATTCCGTCCAAGCGCCTTGAGACGCTCGAGTGGGCGCTCAGCGGGTCGCATGTGCGCGCGCAGGACATTCAGTACGCGTTCAACAGCATTGCGCGCCAGAGCCAGGCAGGTACGGAGATGGCGTGGAGCTACATCCAGCAGCACTGGGACGAGCTCAACGACAAGTACATCCCGAGCAAGGTATCATTTCACTGTCGCCCCTCGACCGTCACGGACTCACTCATGTAGATTGGGTCGATTGTGTGTTTGACGATCCGCCACTTCCACACGGACGCCAAGGCCGACGAGATTGCGGCGTTCTTTCGACGCACAAGCACTCGGCCTTCAAGCGCAAGCTCGACACGACACTCGAAGAAATCCGCACCAAGGCGGCGACGTACGCGCGTGACGTGGCGGCCATGGGCGACTACCTTGCATCGCTCGCCTAAGCCGGTCCATGCCGAGGGCAAGCGCTGTGTCGAGAGCATCGGGGCTGGTATGCCTCTGTACAACGACTGTGCATTTGCAAATACATGTACATCATGCTGATCTATGCAACTCTTTTCGACCGTCATGGGACGACGGGTTTCGTCGTGGGATCGAGTAAAACAGCCGATAGGAAGAGTGCAGGTCGTCACAGATGCTGGCGTGGTGTGACGTGACTGCGATGCTGACGGGACCGGCCACGCGTCCGCCGTGCAGAGCGCGATACTTTGACACCACAACTATCTGCATCACCCAAGCTCAACTAGTTCCATGCCCCATGCTTGGCGGCAAACCAGCGAAGAACTTGGTCCCTGAGATATCCGAGATTTGAAAGGTAGGAAATTCATCCCACCAAGTAGGACCAGAAAAGCCGTCCTGCGATAGCGTTGACCCTAAACGGGTCTACTGGACACCACGCTCCTTTGCCGACCGGTGGTTCGTGCAGGGCAAAACGTCATGCGAGCACGAAACGGCAGAGGTCGCCCGCTGCGCCGACTGCGGTGGGCTCGTCCGCAAGACCGAGGTGAAGGCCGCCGACGTCCATTCTTGGCGAGTGGCTGAACGCACGCGGCTTCGTCGGCGCCGGAAGCGCGGTCCATCCACGCGATGACACGCGGGCGGGCGGCCGAATCTTCGACGCAATGTGATTGGCTCAAAAGTATGTTGATGGGATGAGGTCGGTGATGATGGGATCCGAGGGCATGGGGACCCCGTCAACAGTTTGGCTGGCCTTGGGCTCGTGATTGGCCAAAATGTATAAAGCGAGGCCAATCACATCATCATTTCGCTGGGAAATTGCCGGCCGGCTGTCATGCTTAGTTTTCCAAGCCCCCGAACGACGATGGCCGACCACCGGCGCTTGATGGTGCCTGACAACTCGCGCGCGGTCGTCGAGATCGAGCGCCGTAAGCAGGCGGCGGCGCGCGCCGTCCTCCTCGAGAAGCGCAACATCCGCCGCAACCAGAGCAAGATGAACCAACGTCGGTACCGCGCCGAGCAGAAGGACCTGGTCACGTCGCTCGAGACGCAGGTAGGCAGGCTCTCGAACGAGGTCGCGCGCCTCGAAGGCCGCCTCGAGTACCTCCAGCGCGCCGTCTCCAACCTCTACGCCGACGAGATGAGCATCGTGTGCCAGTTCTTCGTACACTTTGCGAATGGGTTGCAGCTCGACGCGGGCCCGCAGCACGATTTTTTGCGCACGATCACGGCCGACAACCTCCTGTACCTAGGCCAAGTAAGCTGAAGTTCATATTGCGTTGCTCGCAGCTTATTTATGCTGCAATAGGCAAGCCGAACCAAGCTCATTGAGCAGCTCGAGGGCTACTCATGTCAGTTTGCATCGTTTCAAATGCACTGCACGCTCATTGAGGGCCTGCCCCACGCCAGCTCGGACAAGCTCCTCAAAGCCCACGCAGAGCTGCAGCTGGGCATCACTCCCAGCACCATCCAAGCGGTCTTTCCACACGTACATCCTGACCTCGCGTCCAAGCTCACGGGCAAGAGCCTCCGCGTCTCGATGATGTTTGTCTTTTGCTTTGATGTCGATGGTATCGTCTATCGGCTCGACTCGGCGGCCGAGCTCGTCGCAGCGCTGGCGCTGCTCGTCTCGAGCGTCGAAGAGGCACTTCTCGTGCTCGAGGGCTCGCTGCTCACAGCACACGGCGAGATTCTCGTGAGGCGAGCAGAACCTTCCAGCACAAGTACCCCTAGGGCCGCCCGATGACCAATCCAAACTAGAAGATTACGGTTGCAGTACGCGATCTGATTGGCCTTCGAGGTTTGTTTTAACGTATTTAACCACGAGTACGTTTATTATGTTAAACACCTCTATGGGATGGATCTCTCCTTGCGCAGCCCACTTCCAACGACCACGTGCTGGTGCCGACGCACACAAATCCAGGCGTCGCGATATGTATGCAACGTCTTTGTAGCAACGATAACGCGGAAAACGTTCATATTCAAAAACCTCTATGCGCCATGAGGAGATGCGATGCAGTTTGTTTATGAGTTTTATCAAGAGCATGAATTACGCGTTTTATGCCCTTGTTTTTCATGGTTTTTCTTTCTCGATGCGGAAGTGCTCAAGCCGCAACATGGACCGCAATCTATAGGCACAGACGCCGGCCAACGACCTCGAGAACTTGGTTCAAGTTGCTCAAGATTGCAACAATGTCAAGGCCTAACGGAGAACGTCGTCATGGACCTCGCGTGAGAGGAAAAAAGCTCCTTGTTGACTACAGAAGGGTCCACGCAGAGATGCCGAATGCACAGGCAGCCTCGGCGGGCGTGTGAAGGGGGTTGTTTCGTGGTGCAAATCTTTGCATGACCTAGAACACGCGAAATCAAGTGCATGTATACCAAGGGGCAAGCCAATTCAACATTGAACGTTGCAGATCGTAAAAAAAGTCAAGAGCTTGTCTAGCTCCTACGTAGTCTAGCTCAAGCTAGCAAAGGAATCCAGTTCTACTCTTTACATCGAGCAACCAGCGCGCCAGTCACGGCAAGCTGCAAGTCTCAGGACTGGGATGTAACCGGAACACGGGATCATTGATGCTGGATGGTTTGTCTGAGCTACTACATACCATTCCTAGTGTGTTGTCGTGACCGAATATTGAACCCGTGTAGCTTGGTCCCCTCGGTGCGACCATCAAGTAGTTGACATGATCTAACTGCAGTTGAGATTGGAAGTCGTTTCGTTGCGTTGGAGGCCGGTTCGTTTTTGATGGGTTGTCGCGGTGTGGACATCATGAGATGGATGGCTTTTTAGCCTTGTTCGACGAGGTTCATTTGATATGTGTGGATTCGGGTGAAATGATGTTGGTCTTGTCGATGTGTCGCTGGGATACAAGTGGTCGGCTTAGATCATGTTGCCAGCTTCAAACACGCATCGAGTGGCAATGATTGCGTCGTGGTATAGTTAGCTGGACTGCTGCGGCTAGCCCGTTCTCGCGTTGAAGCCCGGTTTGCGAAGCCCGCGCCCACCCCGGACCACAGCACTTCCGATGCGGCTTCTCGTTGGTGGATAGACAGAATCTCGTCATGCAGTCGTCCTACCTTGCTCACGATCGATGCGAGAATGTCTTGCGATTGCGGCTCAAGATCTAAGATCTATCATCAAGGATCGGTATATATCGCTACGCCAGTTTAATCGAGTCGCCGACTTCCAGCGACAGATGGAAAAGAATGCCGAAAGGAGCGTGCCAAAATGCTGCGTTTCGTCCCCTCGGCTATAGACGCAAGTGCATGGGGGAGACGAACGGGGTTCGTGTTGGGAGGCCGCCGCCGCCCAGGAAGGGACTGGTGGGTGGGTTAAAAGAGCGTTAAGTAGCTAAGAGGTTCGGAGTTGGACGAGCAAATTGCAAATGAGCTTGGAGCTTTGATCTTCGATCTCGGCGGTTGCGCCTTGCTACAATAAAAGAGCTGGTGGAGCTGCCGCCATCTTGGCGGTTGGGCATGGCGGTTCAAGATGGCGCCCTTGCTTGGCCTTGGTACAAAACCCCAGCTTCACGCGTGCCGCGAGAAACTATCCCTTTGTAAAGCCATTGCAGCATGCAGATACAATGCGAAACCCGGTTCTATATGGGTCCTATACATGCCAACTCGGCACGTACAAAGGTTGTACCGGCAATCCCGCCGCAACTTCGATGCAGACTTCGCGATAAGGTCGTGGTTGCACACGTTCTAATTTTGTGGAACCATCGCAACAACAGCAACGGTTCCGTGGATCCGCGGCCTTTTTCGCAAGCTGCGTGTGCGCGGCAAAACGGCTACCGGACGCGGCTTGCACCTCGTCACTGCTCCTCGTATCGGGGTTTCGACAGGGTGCTTCGACTTCTCCTATGATGTCATCGAGTTGGTTGCTGTCGTCGTGGGCTTCGTCTCTGACTTTTGGCTCCACCAAGGCGTTTCCCGAAGTCACACCCACTAGTATACTAGTACATGCGAAGCCGCCTTACATTAAGCGTCGACTGCGACGGGCAGTATATGGCGATTAAAACGTCAACACAAACCAGCCGCCAAGTACTTCCCGATCGATTAAGGAGCGACTCGCTCCCCTATCGCTCCCTCAATCGCTCCCATGCCTTGACGACCAGCTGCCTCATTATCTCATTCTTATATATATATGAACGTGTTTCGCGTTATCTTCGTTGTTACAAAGAGTTCGCATACGTAGAGACTAGCAATCTCCTTCTTCTTCATTCGCTCGCCGGGCCGTGGCTGCGCAGGCGGCGGCGCGGGGGTGC